TTGATTCTCAATCTATCCAGTTCATTGGTTGATATAGGATGATAATAAGGTTTACTGAAGACCATATTGACATCTTCTCCATAAACACTAGAATTACTGACAGGTACTGATCTCAATAGATTTGAATACACATTACCAACAATTGTAGGAGTAACAATATCTGAATAGATCATTAAGTTATGAACTCCCGCTTTCATGTCAACCGCTGATGATTGGTTAAGACCCTCAGTAAATGAGGGGATAGATATTATTTCAATTGTTGAACTTTTATCAAACTTGATTGTTTCAAAACCTAACATAGAGTCGAGTTCTTCTCCGAATGATATGAGAATGGGATGTTTGGTAGAATCTTCTGCGTTTTGATTCTCACAGCCTTGGATCATTGTTATCGTATGTGATGATTGATTAAACTCTAGTAAAGGTAAAATGAGTTTTGGGTTATTAGAAAATAATTCTTTAACATTTTGGTTAATAATAGTTACTAAGTTATCTACAGAATGATAATAGCCGGGTTGGATGTTGTTAACTATTTCAGATGAAATGATACGTTTTGGATCATATAGGGTGAATGTTGGCACTGTTAGTAAGTTAAACCAACTTTTAGTGTAATTAAACTCCGTGAGAGCAACCTCATAGTTATCAGAGAGGCACAAAGGGTTTGGAAAGTAAGTAGTGTAATCATATAGTTTATTTTCATTAATGCTGACAACATTACTAGGCAATGTTAAATAAAATGAGTTTGACATTGCAAAGCTTTAAGAGACAACACTTTCAAGAGTTGGCTTTATATGAGTTGAATTATCACGTTGCAAATAATTGATTGGTTTCGAATTCATTTTTGGGGTAGGTAAAATACAGCCAAGAGACATTGAAAGCAAGGTTATCCATAGTTTCTGGTCACCAATGTTTAAAGACAAGTTAATCAGTGACGCTAGTATCACGAAAAAAAGTGTGGAAATTTGTGCGATGAATAAATAAATTTTAGATTCATTCATCCCAAGCTCTTCAGGTCGTCCGAATTGATCCATGAGTTATGAGTTGTTGAGTATCCTAGCCACTTTACGAAGTATTGAATCTTCCCTTTATATACACGTCTTTTTAATACTTTTTCTACTCTGTGTTCATCAGCTTTAACATGTTGCACCTCTTTATCATAAAACTTTTTATCAACTACTTTTTCACCTATCTCACTGTTGAGAGTATAAACAGGTAAGAGTTGAACTTTATCAATAGAGCTGATATTATAAATCTGATCGCTCCAATTTGGGTAGAATCCTTTGTCGAATGGTTTCTGCTTGTATTTTACCCTAACTTGGTCTGCTTCTTCGAGACGTGGTATTTTTTTATTGCTTCTATAGACATCACGAAGACATGACTTTCCATACAAATTTTGAAAAACTTGAGAAGAGTTAGATTGATTAACTTTTATTGGTGGCATTTTTATTGCTCTATGATAGGCATTATTATAACTTTTTAAGAGTTTATTTATTACATCCACATATTTACGAGTTCCTTTAGAGGTGAAATACTTGAACATTTTAGCTTTCAAAGTTCTATTAAACCTTTCTACAATAGCACATTTAATATCTCTATTACTTGAAGAATAATAACGTATACAATGATTTTCCAACAGTTTTGAGAAGCCTGAATTTATGAACTCTTTACCTTTATCTGTTCTCAAAGCAGCTGGTGTTCTTTCAGCGAGTATAGATTCAAAAGCACTTGTAACTAATTTCGCTGTTTTATTTTTGATGGGAACAGCCCAAGCATATTTACTGAAACAATCAATAACAGTCAGTATATAACGATAGCTTTGATTTTGTCTAGAAAACTCCTGCATCTCGACAAGATCCGCTTCCCATTGTTCGTCAATAGAAGAAACAATAATTCTATTTCGAATGAAATTTTTTCTTACAGATTTGTGTAGAGTATAAGTGAGCTGTGATTTAGTCCATTCTTCCACTTCAGACCTCTTAATATCTGGAACAAGCTTTTGCGCTTCATCAAAAAGTCTATCTATTGAAGAAAAAGATGCAGGATTTTCAGGACTATAGTAAAGATCATTCAGAGTCTTAATCTTTACTGAGTCGAGCCCATCTTTTTTCTTTGCCATCCCGGAGATTATAATTATTGTTTACTGGAGTATACTTTTTTCTTGGTCTCTTGATCTTCTGTGTGACCTTAGGTGTACCTTCAAGCTCTAAAAGGATTTGAGAATCATTTACTGCTTTTTCCTTATCAAAAGTGTGTAAGTCGTTTCTAGGGATGAATAATGGTGGCTGTACTCGTACATTCGAGAGAACTATTGGACTACTTATACTTGTCTTTTTAAGCTGCTTAAGTTTACTTATTCCTTTAAATCTCTTGATGATTTTTTTATTAGTAAAGTCACTAGAGGCGAGCCCTGAAGCCTTAAGAACCTGTAAAAATTCAGATAATCCCTCACACGTTTCACCCTCGGACATACAGCAGTAAATGAGATCTACAATATCTGTACCTTCAAGGGGTTTCTTTTGGAAGATGATATTATTGTCTTGATTATAAGACCCCTTAAGCGCTAACCTGAGGGCAATCCTAATAACTTTATGGATCAAATCTTTAGATGGAGTCAAAGAAACTTGTGGGTCTGATTTTCTAGCTTTTTTAATAGCACCACCATCTTGTATCAAATGATTCATATCCTCACCATCAATTTGGTACACTTTCTTGATAAAATTATCCATCAATTAGTTCTGATATTAATGATATCACAGTTGGAATAAGTATGGGAAGGTAACCTCCTGACTGCGCTATGTGTTTTTTCCTTCGTGTCTTGGCTTTATCTTTAACAATATCTACAATTTGATGTTTATGTTTCTTTAGCGATCTTTTTTGTGTATCAGTTAAAGGTATATTTTCCTGTATCAGATTCAATGCAATCTCCTTTATCGCTTTAAATAAATCACTGTTTTTCTTGAATTGATCGATAAGAAACTTTTCTCTAAGTTTAACATTGCGAATTTTGGAAGCAATTGTTAATGTAGATATACACTCTTTCAATTCTGAAGAAATCATATTTCATAAACAACAACTGTAGGAGTAGATTTTGTAAATGAAAGACAAGCTTGTACTCTGAGATTCTCTGGTGTTTGTGGAGTAAGGTCAACCTTTAAATAGCTGTAAGGATCACGAGTTGCGTCTTCAAACACCTTGATAAATAATTTAGTCTTAGTAGGATAAAGTTGCCTAGCCAAACAATGAATTTGAGATTTATCACGAGGGTTCTTCATCAATATGAGATACTGACAATTTAAACTTATACCTCTCATATTTTTAGCTTGATGAAAAATGTTTTGGACGATGAAAAAGACACTAATTTTCATATGATGACTTCCTTTTGTGAATAAGTTCAGAAGGCGATTATTGTTACCCATCTCATTCATCAGATCGTCGACTATGATAATGTCATAGCCAGAAGGATCTTCAATAAGACCATCGTGATACTCAATGAGAGTGTTAGGTTTATAACGCTCTTGATCTTGACCATGACACCAAAGTATTTTGGGTGATGGACTCAGTTTTGAAAAAATCTTTGAATGGTTTCTTAGTAAATTTTCGACTAAGACCGTTTTACCACTTGAAGTGGGACCAGCTACCATACATGTGAAAGGATGGACAAATTTCAAAGACATTTTGATTTAATTATTATTTTATTGTTTATCTCAATCAACAAATGAAAGAAATGATGAATGTAAGTAAGATTATTTTAGTTTTCTTTTAAATAATCAATCAGTTCTCTGACGCTTTTTAAGTTGTCCAGAACCATCCAAATTATTCTTTTTCCACTGTTCTCTGATTTCTGCGCGTACTTGCATCAAAGCGAGACCAACAATGTTCTTACCCGTCCATTTTCCTGGATTTTTGATTTCATCTTTTCCTGGTAAAATTCCACAAGAAAAGAAGTCATCTTCTTCATGGTCTGCAGCATAAACAATTGTCCTTGAACCAGTCGCAAGTAATGATTGCCTTGCTTTAATGTTCTCCTTGAACTTACCATTATAAGCTTCACAAAGGATGGTGAACAGATGGTCTTGGAAGTATTTTCTCTTATCGCCATGGATTCCAACATCGATTTTCAGCCAGTGGTCAAGATAACTCGCAACGGATTGGTATGCTCCTTGACCATTCTCACAATGAAAGGCTACATCCTTGTTTGCGGGAAGTAAAAGAGTATTGGTTTCACTGTTCTTCGCGAGTACAAGAAAATCAGTTTGTTTTGTAGCGTAGGTCTCTGGAATGGCTGTAGTAGATGGAGAGTTTTCACGCACTTGAGGTTCTTCATGTTGAATACGACGTTTCTTACCAGCAGTATACATATCATAGGATTTCTCTTGGTCAGAGTCTGAACTAAATCTCGATGAAGACGTGGATCGGGAGTACATTTTGATGAAAACTTTAAGGACTTGATGTTTGTTGATGGAAAACGATGTTGAGAGTAACAAGAGAGAGAAGGTTTATGAGTTCTGGGCAAAAGTGTTCGCTCTTTTATTCTCTAGCTCTGTCAATGAAGGAGCAATGAATGTCTCCCAAATCTTAATCAGTCTACTCTTATTGGTCTCTTCTCTTTTGCAGATTTTGCGCACAATGGGAGTACAACTGGTGTTATCTTCAAATACTAATACTAACTATCACTAACGATACTGACCACACCTCTAGTTGTTATTTACATGATGAAATTTGAATCAAAGTTTTATCATTTGTTTGTTAAATTTGACATTGAACTGATAATTTTTGAAAATCTTTTCACTTAAACGTTAAATTTTTAAAATTTTGACATTAAAGTGTAAACTTTTACAAATTTTTCCCATGTTATTGCTATGGAACTTCTCAATTTTGGCATTGAGTGACAAAATCTCATAAATTTTTGCAAATGATTTGTTAATTTTTAGAAATAATGAAAAAATAAATAGAAATGTTTATCTTTAATGAAATATTTATTATAATTTATGGCAATACATATGTTAATTCAACAAGATGTGTTTATGATGGGGTATATATCCGTATGGTCGTGTATCATTCCCAATTATTTTTCTCTTCTCCGAAACAGCTCGATAAATTTTATTGAAGCTCTTGGTTTTAACAATGTGGGTGAACTTATCCGAAACAATGTTAGTTTGATTGATATGGACAACATCTTGTATTCCATTGATGTAGTTGTCGATCATTTCCATAAGTTTTTGAAGTGTAAGGATATCCAAAGCTGCTGATGTTAATTTGATACCCTTTACTTTCGTAATGGCTTTTCTATTTCCATGTGTATCTGACACTTCATATCCATAATTTTTGGGGCCAAGTGTAACAAAGTCAGTACATTTCCATCCAGGTTCGATCTCATCCGTCAACTCACCCAGATAATCACCACACTTGATCTCTGGATCGTTTTCATTCTCAACAAAGACAACACTATCAGTATCAAAATAAAGTACTCTACCTACTCTATGATTTTCAATCTTGTTAATAAGCCTGAAAAGCTCTAGACGTCCATAAGCAGTAACAAATGACGCTACAGCTAAATTAGTCTTACCAGGATTGACTTGATCAAGAGATGTATCATTGTACTTATGTTGAATCAATAGTGTATCATCGTTGACCTCAAAAAGACCAAGAGTTTCAAGTTCAGGATTGTTTGCTATCTGCCACAAGTCAGCGTAGCTTCTAAGTACTTGTGTCTTAGGCATGTTGGGATTCTGAGCAAGTTTACCCCAGAAGCTATTGAGCATAAGTTTAGCTATGCTTCTCTTACCCGGATTCTTTTCGATATTTTCAAATTCAAGATCAATGTCCTCTGCTGTTTTATAATCACTGATGTATTTGGATTTGTCCTCTTCGGTTTGACACCAACTTGGCCATCCACTGGATTCTTGTTTTATTTTCAGCCACATTTTGATGTATTCTCCAAATTGTGATGAAGATGGTGACTGCTCATAATCTAAAACTTGATAAATCTTGATGATCTTGTATCCGATGGTCATAGCCTCTTGGAGCTCAATTGTTGTCCAAGTGTTGGTCATGTACCTTTCCTCGTCTGTGTGATCACACTGTTGTTGCATTTTAGTGGCGCATGTACGGCAGAGAGGAAAGAGAAGTCTATCCAATCTGAGAGGAAGAACACCAATATTGATATTTTGGGGAGCCAGAACTTTACATTTGATGAATCCAAAATACTCAGAAATATCTTTGAAATCTTCTTGTATTACAGTTGGATGTCCCATAGGGAAAACATTTTTCCTGAGAACATAAGGGTATAATGATGTGAAATCAAGATATCTTATTCTTTCATTCTCACTACACTTATGGAAGAACTTGATGTTATTAGTTCGCCCTCCGAAGAAACTTTCCTTGATATCTATGCATCCGACCTTTTTTAGTGAATGATAATACTCCATTCTATCAGCAATGTATGAATCTTTCTTGTCAAGTTCGTGTTCCCATATTTCCTCCAGTTTGAATCCACGATGAGTATAATAAAGACGTTTCAACTCGACTTTTTCGTAGAGAGTCTGTACATTGATGGATTGGTCACCTATTCTCACATCTTGAGATCGATCAGGATAGCAAACAGGACATCCATGGAAGTAACACCCCCAAAACTCGAAAACTTGTTTAGTTTCGGGAATGAAGCCATCAGCGAAGAAGTTACCTATTCTATATTCACGTGGAATAGGTTGGCCCTGTTTTTTCTGTTGAAAATCTAACCAACATGAACCAATCACTGAGTGTTTCCTCGCAGCGTAACCTAATGTTGGTGTTACAGCTAGAGACATGGGTAACAACATTTTAGCTCGGAATACTTCCATTGCAATTGATGCCAGGGTGAAGCCTCTCGTTATGGGGTTAATACCAGTGATTGAAGAGAAAAGTTTTACGAATTTTAACATTGATATCATCAGGATCTGAACATCTGATCGACAATATTCAACTATTTCTTTACCGAAATCGAACAAATTATTGGCTTGTTCCTGATGCCAAGAACTGAATTCTACTAACTGCTTTGGTTTCATGGACTCAGGATAATAGTTTTCAATAGAAGGTAAAGATCCTACATACTCTTGATTTTCTGGTGTATTGAATTTATGAGGAAAAAATCCTTTTTTAAGTTCTTCAATGTTGAAGGACTCAGAAAGAGAGCTGAGTGGCTGAAGAAAAAGGCTGAGCGAGTCGATAAATCTCAGTTGCTCCATTCCAGCAAAAAGAATCTTTGATCCAACCATTATTAAATTTGGAGTGGCTTGAAAGTCTCGCTTGTAAAAGTCCTGGATGATGAAATGGCCGTCATATCCCCTCTGGTTGTGAGCGATGATTGTTACTTTCGATTTTTTAGCATAAGCTATTGGTGCGATATCTCTGTAGAGATAATCACAAAATCTTGTAACACAATCATTACCTCTGTAGATGTTTTCAAGAGGGCCACACACTTTACATATGCCGTCCTTTTTACCGAAGGTTTGAAGATCAACACACTCATTACAAATCGTGAAACTTATGAGGAGATTTGGCTGGTGAACGAGTTCGTTGTTTTCTAAAGGTATTTGCATGGATTCAATATCGTAGCATATCATAATTGCTGGTCTCTCATCATCTTTTTTAAGATCATCAATTTCCAAGACTTTGATGTGACAATAGTGGGGTGATTCTTTGTAGAGGACATTACATTTAATACATTTGTATGTATCACAAACATGAATCTCTTGAGTATTATAAACAATCCAACATTCTTCACATTTCTGTTTTCTTTGACAAAGAGTCTTTTCAATATGATAATCGAAACATGAATCGCTATTAAAGTCAACATGACAGGTTGAACAAGTTATCAAAGCTATTAAAGGGCACTGAGTGATTTTTGTACACTTTTTACATGAAGTAGAACAACTATGTTTACCTTTTTGGTGCTTAACCCAACATCGTGTACAAAATTCGACAGCGTCCATATAACTTTTGATTGATTTAATGAAGTTGAAATGAGGTGGCTCACTATACTCTAAACCTAAAACTTTCTCTCTTTCAGGACCTGCGTAAAGTTTTAACTGAGTTCTTCTATCAATAACAATTATCTGATAATCATTTAACTTTTCTTGGATTGCGACAATATTATTCATATCTAGTGGACGAAGACAATTGACTCCCAAATCTTGGAATAAATTACTAGCTGCTTTTAACTGTGCTATTGGTGATACTCTCGTTCTCTTCCAGCTAACATGATCTTCTAAGAGTGTACCTGCTATTTTATCTAGGAAAAGTTTACCTATTCCTATGGCCATATACCCACATTTATGATCCTCATTAAAACTTGGACAATTGATCTTTTTGGTAGCTCTGATCGATCCTGGCTGCAGTTTAGATACTCTACCATTTCCAGTTACACACTGAACGACTTGTACTTTGATTTCGAATACATTGTTGTCCAAAAAATTGCCTGCAGATTGCGCTAATGCATAAGCTCTATCTAAAAATTGTTCTTTATTGAAATTTTCTTTTTTGAATGCTATATAAAGTTCTCTATTTTCGCTGCTGTTCCTGAATGTTATATAAATTCTATCATTGTTTCCTGCTTCTGAAATCATACTACTAACAAATCGTTCATAAGCTGAGTCAATAGCTTCACCTACTTGTAATAGATTGATAACCCCTTCTTCATCATGTGATAATTTGGCTCTCAAAAGTTTTGTCTTAGTATGGAATGTACGATTCACTTTCCAAGGTCCCTCTTCTAATATCTGAAACTCAATTTCTATTTCATCATTTCTATTATCATTCCTGATTATGTTATTGACTGGTGGTTGAGGAATAGGTAAACCATGACCTATCTGTGGATGTTCTGGTAGATTTTCTGTTGAATTTCTTTCTTCAGCACACTCTCTTTCATAATCAGAAACATCTACTTCCATGCAAAGAGAATCATACTGATCATTCATTATATTTACTTCGAAAAGTCTACAAAGAGAATCATCACTAGTGTCATTTAACTGCGCATCTAAAACGAATGTGTCAAAAGAAGTGAAGTCCATAGAGTCATCATTCAATTGTGAATCTAAAAGAAGTTCATCTAAACCAGTCAAGTCCATTGATTCATCGAACATGAAATTATCCATTGCAATTGAATTCTAAATTAAATTTGTACTTGAACTTACTACTGAGCTGATTTTGGTTGATTTTGGTTGATTTTGGTTGATTTTGGTTGATTTTGGTTGATTTTGGTTGATTTTGGTTGATTTTGGTTGATTTTGGTTGATTTTGGTTGATTTTGGTTGATTTTGACGATTTTCACGATTTTTTCGATTTTTTCGATTGTTGTCGATTTTTTTCGATTTTTTCGATTTTTTCGATTGTTGTCGATTGTTGTCGATTTTTATTTTTTTCTTTCGATTTTTCGAATTTGTTGGGTTGAATTGGTTGAATTGGTTGAATTGGTTGAATTGGTTGAATTGGTTGAATTGGTTGAATTGGTTGAATTGATTGTGTTGATTGTGTTGATTGTGTTGATTGTGTTGATTGTGTTGATTGTGTTGATTGTGTTATGTTTGATTGTGTTGATTATTTGATTGTGTTGATTGATTGTGTTGATTGTGTTGATTGTGTTGATTGTGTTGATTGTGTTGATTGTGTTGATTGTGTTGATTGTGTTGATTGTGATTGTGTTGATGGTGATGGTGAACAAGGAGAGAAGTTAAAGGTTCAATGTATGAATGAATAATGAATTCATTTACTTCTCTCCTTGTTCTTCTATTCATTTACTTTTTCATTTCATCTTCATCTTCATTATCATCTCCCTTTCTTTTTTCCTTTCTTTTCTCTTTCTTCTCTTTCTTCTAATTCTTCAAACTCTTTATTTGCTTTATTTCATTTATTTCATTCATTTGGTTATAATCTCTTTTTTGACTTATAATCCTTTTCTTTTTTGTATTCTTAATCTTTTGACTTATAATCCTTTTAGACTTATAATCCGTTTTGGACTTTTTTCTTTTTCTATCTTATTCATTTCTTTTTCTTCTTTTAATCTTTTTATCTTCCGAGGGAGCAACACGCCTATCGATGAATATAGTCAAAGAAAAGAAATTTATCATTGTTCATTTAACAACAACACCAACAACTACAATTACTACTCTCTCTCTCTTTGTTATCATCAACAACACCAACAACTACAATTACTACTCTCTCTCTCTTTGTTATCATCAACAACACCAACAACAATTACTACTCTCTCTCTCTTTGTGACCATCACAATCACCAACAACACAAACAACTACTCTCTCTCTCTCTCTTTGTGAACATCACCATCACCAACAATGTCATCAACATCATCTCCACCACCAACAGTTTCATCAACATCATCTCCACCACCAATACAACCATCTTCATCAACACAAATGATGCCAGTTGGTGAAGTGCTCGACCTCCTCTACCTCTTCAGATGTGAACTAGAGGACAATCGAGACAGAGGAGACGTTATTGTCGACCTTTGGCGATGTTATCAGGGGGTTAAAGATCGATATCGATCACCCCAACCATCACGGTCTCCATCTCCTTCACGGTCTCCATCTCCTTCACGGTCTCCATCTCCTTCACGGTCTCCATCGCCTTCACGGTCTCCATCGCCTTCACGGTCTCCATCTCCTTCACGGTCTCCATCGCCTTCACGGTCTCCATCGCCTTCACGGTCACAATCACCATCGCCATTTGTTTCTCTTTCTCTTTCTCTTGAAACTCTCGCTCTCCTTGTTGGTCCATCGTCATCATTATCATTAACACCACCATCGACACCAACACGACCAATCCAATCCTCGACACCACTACCATCACGATCTCCTCTTATTCCCAATTACTCCTCCTCCGATGATTCCTCTTCGACCTGTTTCAATCGAAGAGGATGAGGAGATATGTGAATTTATGCCCCTCCGCTTCAAACGTCATATTGACGAGATTGAGTTGACTTCATGTAAACGAATGAAGCCAATCGATCTCTCAAAAAAACCTTAATTTCCTTTGTTTCCCTTCTCTTTAATCATTTCTTTTTTCCCTTTCCCTTTTATTTACAAATTAAACATTTTTCCATCATATTTTATTTTTGTTAATTTTTATTTCGACCCTTCGGTAACCCCTAAAAAAAAGGCGTTTGTTTGGGATGTAGAAGAGTGAGACAAAGCGATTACTTGATTCAGAATTTCATTTTGATTAATAGCAAAAAAGTTATTTAATTTATAAGATTTCCTTTTTTTTTCATTTTGCGGGAAAATTTACAAGTTTTTTGGCGGGAAAATTCATTTACCAACAGATGGTTGATATTATTCCCCCTTTTTTCAAACAAAGAAAAAAATATTAGGCCCCGCCCTAATGTGCCTTTAGTATACCTTTACTACTCAGTACTATTCGATAAATGTATTGACAATGAACTATTTTCAATTGAAAAGACAAATCTTTACGTTGATCGGATAAGATCATTCAATAGATATCCAAAGGAATCAAAGTTCGTCAGCTTCAGTTCGTATGAAGATAGTTATGCTTTTACGAAAATAATCGAGAAATGTACTCAGGTCACAGCTCAAATCGAGTGTCGGTATGTTCTGTACAAGACTACAGCTCAAGTCTATTACAATAGTTTAGCTGATGAGAATATGCTTTGTATCGAACCTCCAATTGATCTGAACGTTCAAGTCAATACTTATCCAAAGCAAACAGTTTCAGAATTTGTGATCTACATAAGTAGCATTTCGGGAATTTGGTTTGGCATTTCCATTTATGGTCAATTAACCTCTAAATTACAATTACCCACGACTAATCGGGTATTCGATAAAGCCATGAATCGCATGAAACGGAAATCAAAGACTAAAATTCCAGTATCTGTCTTGAAACAAATTCCCGTTAAAAAATGAACTTACTTTTCTCAGTTTGTTTTGAAACTTTCAAACTTTCAGAAAGTTTCAATAAAATCGTTTATTCCATATAATCGATTCCCGTTAATCGATTTTTAACCAGATTTAATAATCATCATCATTGATCGTCAATGTTAATAATCAAATCAATAATCTTCAAAATGAATAATCAATTTAACAGAACCATAATTACAACTAATGGTTGATTCCTGAGAGATAAATAAACAATGGATTCAAATGAAAATTCATCAAGGTTATCAATTGATTATAACTGTAACTCTTGTTGATCAATAAACAAAATTGTATCAAAAATGAAACGATTAACAATTAAAGTTTCTTGGTAATTAAATGTTTCAACTGCAATTTAACTCGATTGTAATAAAATCATCATTTGTCCTGTTAACCAACAAAAAATTGATATTAAACTGGTTAATTACAAGTGAATTGCTGGTGAAGGTGATCAATTAGTTAAATTGTTTACTGAAAAAGTAATACTAATAATCTCAATCATATCAAATAGGATGAAGAGATTAATAATTACTGAAACAATGGACGTTGTAATCAAACAATCAGTTAATTAAAACGTTAAATTGTTTAATTGACTTGGTTGAAAAAACAAATGACGACTGAGAAGATAATCAAATTATCCACAGAACTAATTAGTGAACAATCAGCTAAATTGATACCATTTTCAATGAACAAACTTTAAATGATTATGATTGTTAACAATTTACTTAAATTGATTTTCAATTAAATCAGTCTAATTGTGAACAAGACAAAACTCTGTTACTATGCAATCAAATGTATTAACTAACAATTAATTTAATCAAAGATCTCATCTTACTCTGACCTGGCGATCAGATTAATTGTTATAACAATTAGGGAAACTTAATTGTTTATCTAGCAAAGAGATTATCAAAATAATTAGATTCCTTTATAACCTTTGGATTATTTTTGATTTACAGTTTTGTCTTAACTTAAGATTTAATTGTTAAGATGATCTTTGATTAGTGTTTCCAATCAACAGCCGAAAAACAAATTAAAGATATTTAATTGTTTAATCTAATCAACAATTGTTACCATGCAATAATTATATGTTTAATCATTTAAACTGTTTCTCTTAATTGTTACTAATCAATCAGTTTTACAGAAAAGTTAATTTTAAATGAGTGAATACAACTAATAATTGATTAAAGGAGATTTAAATTTAAAGGTCAATTAACCGGTTCTATTAATATTCAAAAATGATTTAATTTCTTGTTGTTTATCCTCATCACTTGAACCACATGATAATTCAGGATAACTCAGGATAAGCCCTGAAAAAGGAAGTGTATTCATGACGGAATCCGGAAGTAACATGATGATGATTAACAAGCAACAATTTAATCATGATATTGTTATAACCTTTTTTTCATTAAATCATTAAATTTGAATCAAATCACCATTAGCATCAATGTTATATTTGCTTCCCTATGCCAATCAATATGATAATTACTATTAATTTCTGAATAGATATTTTCTTAAATCATCATAATTTCAAATCATGTTATTGATGAGATTCAATGGAAAATTATAATTCTAATTGTTATTAATATGATGGAGGATTGATAATCAAGATGAAGAGATAATCAATGACTTGGGAACATACAACTCGTGTAACTTTTTGTTCATGTTCAAATTCAATTGGAAATTTCTGATCACCAGCAATCAATCAAACCGTCAAAGGTTCATCAATGATTAGATTATAATTATATTGTTATTATAAGTAAATTAATATTTTTATTTTCATATGATAAAAATTAATACATAGTCTTATATATACATCAAGTTACTGTCCAGGGGAAAGTGATTTGTGTATATATATGAAATCGCAGGTAATTTTTTCAGGTTGATCATGATTGAGATCAGAGGTTGTTAATTGTTCAGTAATTAGAAAAAAGGAGCAAATAAATATTTGTCATCAAAATTTTGTCTCTCAATTAGTTTGACTTTTCAGGTGATACAATTTTTAACTAATGAAACATGATGATCAACTAATTAGATTGTATTTACAATAGACTTTGTTGTTGTTTATATAAATCAATGATTTTTTTTGCACTAGAATTTTGTTTAAGGTGGGTTTTGAGTTGATGATTTGAGAGGAAAAGGAAATAGGAGAGAGAGAGAGAGATACAAAAGACACTGATATTAGATGAGATTTTTGATTAAATAACAGGTAAAGATAAACATTTGATTGTTAATGAGAATAAAATACTTTGCAGATTATGTTTCAAACTAATGGAAAAGTTTTCTTTTCCTTCAACTGATATATAATGTGATTGTTTCCGTCTCATGTAACTCAGAAATCATGAAGCTCCTTTGAAGCATCTTAAAGATGATTAACTTTATGGACTTTGATGGACATCCAAATGAAATCAGTTCTTTACCCTTTCGTTTAACTTATTGTTTTTCAATATCTTGATCCATTGTTTTTCCGTGTTCCATGATGATGAACATTTTGTGTCGTGTATGTGGTTTATTGAGAATCTCTGAGTTCATGAGTATCTATTCAGCTCCTTGTTTCAGATTATTCTTTATAATATCTTCATGCTGTCCACTGATTAGCGCTCTTTCATTCAATATTTAATAACTAATTGTTTTCATTGATATAATTTAGATTGAAATGTTTATGTGTGTATCTTGATTGCACATTAATTGCTTTGGGTGTAAGTGTCAATACTCAGTGTGATCCTTTTATCATGCGAGCTGTCAATTGATTACAATCTGAATGATTTGTCAAATCAACTGATTGTGTGTTCCAAAAAAAAAAATATAAACTATTATAACTGTTATGATTGTTAATAATTAGGGGAATTAGAGATGTTTGCTTTGCACTTTTTTTTGCTGTCCAATTGCTATGATTTAATAATTGTTATGATTATGTTTTCGAGTTCATTTGATTGTCATTTACATTGCATTGATATCGCTCACAGTTGATAACAGGATGAAAACAACTAACAGGAAGGCAGTGCCTAAGAAATCACCTAAGGCGGTTAAAATTGGAATTGAGAAATTATCAGGATCAGTTCCATTTCTCCATAAAAGTATAACCAAATTATGAGCAAAATAGAGAAGCATAGAAACCTAGAAAAAATAATGGAAAATCAATTAATTAGTAATCGTAAAAAAAGTTGTCATGATCATGGGTAATTGAGAGATAGTTTCGTGAAAATAAAAGATAAACGGTAACAATTGATTTGATATTATCTATATTTACCTGTAGAACCGCAAATATGAGGTAAAAAGTCATGAAAAAAGTGGTCATCTCGAAACCACCGACACCCTTGATCAGTCTGAATACAACGAGGTACAAAATGTGAGCTGGTATCGACATTAAAAGTAAAACTCGAGCGGTAGAAACATTTATATTGGAACCAATGAAAGCTCTACAGGGTGAAATTAAACAACCAAAGCTTAAGGGTAGATGACCAGGTTTACCTTGACGATGAAGATAAGTTGATAATCGACTTGCTTGCACGGCAACCAGATTACCACCTACACCATTGATTACCGGTTGGAACATTGCTAAACGTTCAAAGCGAGAGGTAGCATCGTTCAGGATGAAACCTCCCATTGACGAGATCAACATCGCTAAAATGATTGGAAGCCAACCTGAAGAAAGAGATCAAAATTAATTAGTAAATATTAGTGAATAATAAATGATAATTGATTATTGAGTCCATGTAATGATTTAGCAGAAAAGTAAAAATTAGTAACGATAGGAGAGATGAGAGAGAGAGAGAGGAAATCGATCAAGTGAATTATGTGTAGGCGGATGAAGATAATGAATCTTAATGAACTTTTTTCTTTCATCTTCATTTGACATTCTTGATAATTTTTTCTTTTCTTCAATTATGTTCTTTCAAAAATCAGAATCTATTTATAACTTATTTCTCGAGATTAACATGATTATCATGTAGACAAGGAAGAGATATCACAGAATTGGAACCAAATTCATAATCATTAATCTCCATGTAAGAGAGATTTCAAAACAGAAATGAAAATTGTAAAAATATCTTTGATGGTGAATTGATTGTACCTTAAATATCATGTTAATTAACCTTAAGGGCAAGGTCATTGATAGATTGAGAAACATATTCTTTTGTTTATTTTCTTGTCAATATAATCAAGTTAATCTTAAGGATTGTTAATTGTGAGATTATAATGAAATTAAGCTACTTGCAATCAGTTGAGAATAAATTTCTAAATATAATTGTCTCTAATTAAACATTGAGATAGACAATTTGATTATCAAGAAGGTGGGGTCATAACAATTAACTATTTCTCTCTTACAATTTAATCTTTAAAAACATATCATAGAAAAAATGATCTTTAATTCATCAAATATTGACATTTAAGAGTCTTTAAGAGATTAATTAAATATATTGATTTTAATTGTTGTCATAATAGCAAATTAAGACACAGAGAAAACAAGGTTCAATATAACTTGTTGAGGTTTTTTGCTGTTCGATTAATTTTGATTGACAGAATGATTTGCACTTTAAAGGTAATAATTAAAAAAGGCATGAAGGAAAACAGAAAAAAGTGTCAACAACTATTGGAACAATAAAACAAGAGGAAAAGATTTAAGGTGGAAATAGTCATGAGAGATTGAAGGGTTTCTATTATTCAGAATTGGGAGATAATCAATAGAACCAATTTAAATCAATCGATTATCATCATCATGAAAGGTCAGATAAGGTTAAAGGAATGAGGAGAGAGAGAGAGAGAAGGGTTTAGTTGTTGTTTGGAAGAAGAAGTTGATGATGATGATGAATAAGGAAGAGAAGGGATTGAAAAAGTAAAGAATTACTCACCAGAGGTGATAACATTGATGGTGTGTTCGTTTTTCCATGCGGTGTATATCCAGAAGGGAAGAAGAGCAAACAGAATGAGGATAATAATACAGGAGGGAATTGATGTTGTACCAGGAGGAGCGTGATTCTGGATAATTTGAGCAAAAGAGGCTAAAAGAGCTAAAGTGGTGACATCGCCAATGGAAGCAGCAAGTGGAGTGGCCACATTATCGGGATCAATTTCAAATCGATTGGAGAGAACAATAATAGTAACCATACAAGCACCAAGAAGAAAACAAGCAACATTAGCGGTCAACAGGGAGGATGCGAGGAGAATGAGAATATTTTGCATGTCAATTGAACCTTTGGAAATTGAATTAGTGGCGATGGCGAATATTGTGGCCAGAAAAGCGACTACGGTTGCTTGACATTGGATCAGTGCCATGTTACCTTTAGCCAGGTAAAGGGTTGACTTAAAGTCTTTCATGTTTCCAAGATTGGCTTGGGTTGAAAGTCGAGCTGCCATGGTCATCTCAAGGTTACCCTTAAGACCTAAAAGTGATGGTACCAAAATGATCAATTCATTGATTGTTTTAAATACTGACCAATGTTGAACAACGTCAAGTATAAGTCCAGCGCCAACATTTCCAAAACCAGATAAGGTAATTGCGATGCAAACCTGAAGACTAGTTGAGAAAAGGGAATCAGATCGAGTTGATTCAGTTGATTCATGTGCTGATCTTTCACAATCACCACTAATTACCAACACATTGCTGTTAGATCCAACCAAAGATAATAAAGCGGACTTGAGTCGGGAAGCCACTCCACATGGTTGACTATTCTCAGCATTTAGATTATTGTTATAACCGACATTGTTGAAGTGTAACAATGGCGATTTAACTGAACCAGCGCCAGGAACCGATGGTGAAGACATCACAGTAGTTGCTTAATAGAAATTCAATAACAAGGTAATCTAATGATCTGTTTACCATTGATTGTATTAAAATAGAAGGTGGTATTGAAAAGGATCAAAAGGATTTCTTGATTGTGGTAAAAAGTAAACCATTGAATGGTCAGTTATACAGACAAAGGATACTATTAATTAGACAGAAAAGAAGTTTAAAAAACACAATTTATAAAGAAAATTATTCAACAATGTGATGAGATTTTCTAATTGTTGAATCCTTGTTGATTGCTGTTGTTGGAGGTTATGATGATATGATATTTCCCAAGCGCACTTGTTGTTGATCAGTTGATCGGTTTTTTATTTCGAACAGAAAAATAAAAGTAACTAATAAACTCACCCAACGTCTCTCATCATTTGAAAATATCAACTGACAGAAAATCAAAAAGAGAAAAACAAATGCACATGCGAATCGATTAATCGTCTAGAAGATCGATTAGATTTCTAATCTGCGATTTAATTGGAAAAAAAAATTTATTTCGATTTTCTGATATTTCGAGTTTAATTTTCCCAATGAAAATTCAATCAGGTTCAATTTCTGGTAGAATATCAGTTTGTTTATTTTGTTAATTATTTCGATGAAATGTCAAAAATTCATGGAAGAAACAATATTTTAAGAAATGGAAAAAACTAACAGCCCATTTCTTATTTTCTGTAAATTCTTTTCGATATAATTTCATCAGAACTTGTTGGAATTGATAAATTATGTCGATTGTCATGAAAAAAGGACCGACAAGTTCAATCAAATAACCTTGTTCATGATCCTAAACTAATCAAAGTTTTTTCTTAATTTAAGGATTAAGATTATTACAGATTATATCGGGCGATTAAGTTAAACCAGGCCAATCATTTCAGTGCTAATAATAATCATCATCTTCATCGTTTTCATCTCAAAAACAAAAAAAGATTCTCAATGGTGAAAAGATGATCATAATTTTCATTAGTTACTGAGCTCATGAAATTAACTCTCTGATTTTCAATGAAGTCTAGTGAACCTTTTAAACGCCTCGAGAAAAATAAATTAATTGTTAATGTTCAAGCTTATCGGTCAAATTGAATTCGCGGGGAATAACCTTTACTTTCTTATCATCATCATCGTCATCATCATTATCATCTCTCTCACTCTATCAATTTATCTTTCGTCTTGATCACTTTCAATCTCAAACTCTGCTAACCTGAAGACCCTCTAGATGTATAATAAGGTTGACTGGCCATTAGCACAAGAAGAAGATAAAAACTGACCAAACCCATAATCTTTTCAACTTGAATAACCTGTAAAAAAACATTCTCTTTACCTTGATTTATCTTTTTCTTCATCATCATCATCTTCTCTCTCTCTCTCTCTCTCTCTGTCTCTCACCATCATCATGTTTATCTTTGCTCCCTGATCTTCCTAATTAACTCTCACTCAATTTTCTTCACGATAGTAACTATTTTTTTCCAACCAGAATAAGATCAACAATCGTAGACTTTGGTTATTTTTTTATTGCTCCAGTTCTGTGACTTTTTTTAATGATACAACATCAATAACAACGTTAATTACTGTGAACAATTAATTCCAAAATGTTTATACTAATTAGTTTAATTCTATTCTGTTCGTCAATATCAGTTGATTCATATATCACCTGGATTGAAGCTCGGGTTCCTCTCCAGGTAAATGCAAACTTTTCCAATTGTTTCCTATGCAAATAATTTAATTAGTTTCCAATTTTACGTCTTATTGTGATCTGATTTTCTATGAATTAGGGAACTCGCCCATCCCCAGGAACACCATGGCCATTGCCGAAGTCCCTGAACTCGACAGTACGAACCGTTTACTTGAATCCGATGGAGTTTTATTTCACCACAAACGGGCGATTCTGTGATATTCTTGATTCATCGTTGACTCGATATCGTCCGATTATCTTTCAAGGTTTCAACAGTTCGTCAAGTGGACCATCAACACGAACCGAGTTACGCTCATTAATGGTACAAGTTGATCGTCCACAAGAGTGCGGTTATCCACAATTAGGTGACGATGAATCATATTCATTGATTATCCCTTTTAATTCAAGTCAAGCAACTTTACATTCAGCTACCGTTTGGGGAGCACTTAGAGGACTTGAAACTTTCAGTCAAATTGTTTACCATGACGATGAATATAATCAGTGTATAGTCAATGAGACTCGAATTGATGATTGGCCTGAATACACTTATAGAGGAATGATGATCGACACCGCAAGACATTTTATTCCCTTGAAGGTGCTTCTCATCAATTTGGACGCTATGGCTTATAATAAGTTAAATGTATTCCATTGGCACCTTGTCGATGATCAAGCATTTCCATTGGAGAGTAAAGTGTTCCCTGAATTAACTGAATCGGGTGCTTATTCATCTAAGCACATTTACACCCAGGAACAGGTTCAATTAGTTATTGATTATGCTCGTATGAGAGGAATCAGAGTATTACCTGAGATCGATTCCCCTGGTCATACCAAAGTCTTTGGTAAATCACATTCTGAACTATTGACACCCTGTTTTGTTGATGGTAAACCTGGTGTACCAAATCCTCCCCATCATTCAGATGCTGATATACTTAATCCAATGAGAAATGAAACTTTCCAATTTATGAATCAACTTTTTGCTGAGATTAAAAGATTATTCAAAGATCAGTTTATCCATCTTGGAATGGATGAAGTTTATTATGCTTGTTGGTCATCTAATCCCGATATTCAGGCTTTAATGATCGCCAATAACTGGACAAAAGTTAATCAAGTTGAACAACATTATGTGAGGCAAACATTGAAAAACCTTAAAGATTTACAATATAAGGTTATGATGTGGCAAGATCCAGTGGATAACGATGTTGAGGTAACATTTTATAATCCACCAATTTACTAATCCTCGAATATCATATTATCAATACAATCTTTCAAATCCATTATCCATTTTGATCCTTGATTGTTGTTTCCTTTCATTTGATTAGCTTTCATCTGATTCTGTGGTTGAGATTTGGAAAGATTCTGAACTTGGTGAATTTGAATCATGGGATAAATATGCAGCCCCTATTATCCGTAAAGGTAAAACTATTCAATTTGAATATTTAATTGTCAACAATCAACTGATTTTCATTGATATTTTAAAAGGTTATCGTGTTGTTATTGCCGCTTGTTGGTATCTTAATTACATTAACTATCCATATCCTGGACAATTTTGGGAGAAACATTATCAATGTAAACCAAGAGCTTTCACAAGTAAGGGAACAATTTAATTATCCTTGATTAGTTTACATTGTTGATTAATTGATTGTCGAATTTTCTTGAGCAGATGATCCAGAGGAAAAGAAACGAGTTATCGGTGGAGAGGCTTGTCTATGGAGTGAATTCGCTGATGGTACCAATATACTCTCAAGAATATGGTAAATTTGAGATTTAATTCAATTTCCAAATTGTTGTGAATCAAATTAACGAATCATAATTCATAATTGAACCTTTTTTTTAGGCCTCGAGCTGCTGCAGTAGCTGAACGACTTTGGACCGATCCTCCAGTTGATGATCTCGATTCAACTCGTTTTAGATTGGACCAACAACGTTGTCGACTTTTACAAAGAGGTAAATTTTTGTCACATAAATTGCCAACAATTAACTGATTAATCATGTTTCGTTCAATTTCAGGTATTCCCGCTTCACCAATTCTTCCTGGTCATTGTGGTAAACATGATTGGGGCTTGGAAACGATTCCAACGATTTATCCTGGAGATCGAGTTACTCCTTGATTAAAAACCAATTTCGAGTCAATCAATTGATCACAATTAACTGATCAATGTCATTTTTTCCACCCAAAACGCTGATAATCAAATTAAAATCAACTAATCAACCACTTTTTTTACACAAAATGTTTTCTATTGAAAATCTCAATCTCTTTTTTTCAAAAACTTTTTTTTTGCTTGATTGTTGTTTCCTTTGGACCATCAAAATCATTAATCATTGATGATAACAATTAAAATTTCACGTTTATGCATTGAACAATTAACTGTTAATCTAATCTACTATGATCACTGAACATTGATCCAAGGAAATGTATTAAGTAATCAACAAGGTGATACAATAAGACAATTGACTTTTAAATTAATCTAATTGTTCAGGAAGTGTAACAATTTAACAGGAAAAGTTATAAACTTGATTCTCAAGAACAGACAACAATTAAACAGTCAAAATTTACAATCATTAGTGAATAATAATCACATGGATGATTAGGATAGTAACAATTGTTTATTTGTAATTAAGTTTTGTACGATCGTAATTAAAATATACTAATATCGAAAAGGGAAAAAATCAAATTGCTGAGAGAAGAAAAAAAAATTCATGATAATCACAATTCTTGGTGAGATTGAGATTCAGTTTCATTTTCATCGACAGGTAGGGGATCTTGAAGCTCCAGGTCAGATTCAACGCAAGCGATTTCGGTGTCACCATTTTTCAAGTTGAAAACAACGGTAACCGATGACTGAGAAATTAAATAAGAGAAAAGAAATTAGTTAATTGTGAGTAATTAGCATCATGATTAAATCTCACCATTGGGATGGATGCATCAACTTTTCCTATGTAAGTAAATTTGGTTGGTACTCCAGCTTTGACTGGACATTCAATCAGCTTTTGACCACAAGCATCATTATCATCAACGGGCAATTCAACAGGAAAACCAAATACTAACGACGATAAATGAAATGTAACTGCATCTGCATCATGCTCTGTAAATAATTAACAAATCACAATTAGTAAATCATCAAGATCATTAAATGAAGAAAAAAAATTAAAGGAAAACAAAAAAAAAACGAATCAACAATCAACCGTAACAATCTAATTAGCATTGACTTTTGGCTTCAATGAACGTGATCAACGATCAGTTTAATCTAATTGTTTAATCAGATTAAAGTCAATCCAATTTAATAGATTGAAATTAAATATGGACGAGGATGAGAAATGACTGGTCATCATCGTAAGGTTCTTGTGGTCATTTTGATTATTCTTACGAGTTTAATCTGATCTCTCAACAATTATGATCATTAATGTTTCTGGAGATTTAAATTGTGATTTTTTTTTCTTCTCGTTGATCATGAATTAGTTAGACAATTAATCACAAATACATGTACGAGAGGTACGAACATAGTTTACCTCCCACTCGAATGTTCAAAACCATGAAAAGTGGGAAAGACTTAATTATAATCCACGCTAAGATTTTGTTCATTTACTGATTAACATCCGTTCAAATTAGTTTAACAATCAACAAGTATATATATACACGACTAATTGTGATCTTTTCAACAATTTATATCAACTCAGTGTTTAATACAGTTTGAAAAAAGTGATTCTCAACAATTAATTCCAATCAATTTGTGATCTAATTAAACAACAACCATGCAAAGTATTACCTTTAGCCTCCTCTTAGCTGCGATTCTCTGTAAGTATCATTTAAATTCATTCATTTCAACCTCAATAATTAACTAATTGCTCTCGATTTTGGTGACAATTTGTTTACCAATCAATTGGTTGATAAGTAAATTGTTAGTATTTATGAAAAGATCAAATCGTTGGATTGTTAATCTAAATTGTTTTCGACTATTAATTGAATGACATTGAATTAGTTTTGCTTAAAGATTGTTGATTGTCTGGTAGATTATCAACTCATCTTCAAGGAATTCAAGCAATTAATTTGTAAACAGAAAATTGTGATTACAATTTAATTGTTGATTAGTGTGGGTCGAACCTGAAAGACCTTTGCAAATAATTAAATTAGTCAGATTCAGTTGATTGTTTACCATAGAAATAATTAAAAAACAATCTTGTGTGATCATCCATTAGGAACATCCATCTAATCATTTATCAATACATGTACTTGATTAGTTAATTGTATAAGTGTATTCTTGGTAATTAGTTGAGTTAATTAGCTCAAAAATTAAGGTAAATTTAGTTTATCTTAATAGAAAGTTGTTGACAAGTTAAAGATAATTAAACCATATTTGGTTTCTACAATTGATTGTAATCAATGTTAATCTGATAATTATGATGATGATTGAATTAGTGATCAAGTTTAATTATAATCAGAATCATAAATGACCTGACAATTTGGGTGAGTGTCTCATAATCAAATCTAAATAAGGTTTTATCGTAAAAAAAGATTAACCATCATCAATTATAATTAGTTAATCACTTAAGGATTATCTCTTAGTGATGATTAAACATTATTGTCTTAATTAAGAGCCAAAGAGTTTGAAACAATTAATACAATATTAGTTACATACTAAAGATTATAAATAAATCACAAAAGGAGATCAACAATTAATAAATTAACTTATTGTTTAAATTTTTGTGTAGGTAATCAAAAAGTTAATCATCATGAACTAATTTGTCCACTTTCACACTCGTAGGTTAAATCACGTTAATTGTGAATGATTTTAATTGACCTGAAGCAACAATTAAATCGTAGGTTGACATTGAAAATTAAGATAATTAATGTTAATTTAATGGAAGATTGTAAATATTGATTGAGTAACAGCAACAATTAGTCAACAATTAAACTGAAACAAATCAACTCATCATTTTCTTTGTTATTATTAAACTAAATGATTACTAGTTAATTAAGTTCATTAAGTTTTAATCATTTGCTTTATTTTAATCAGGAAATCATCGTAATAGTTAATTGATTTAGAAATGATCTTCAATCAGTATATTTACCTTCATTTTAGGTTAATTGTGCTTTGATTAATTAACTCATTTCATTAACTAATATTTTGAATATCTAATAGCACAATGGTCTAAAAATAACTGAATTAACAAAAGTTAATTAACCTTGATTTAATGATGAATATTGGTTAGGTAAATTAAGTTAATTGACATTGGAAATGTTAATCACCTTAAATTGGAATCTATCAAATTTAATGAGGCGAAAATTCATTGAAATCATCAGAATTTAATTAATTATTAAAGACAATTAATCTAAACAAATGCTCAAAATTTGATCAATTGTCGAAAACAAAAATCTCAATCTAACGTTGCAACGATTTGTGACCTTCGTTAATTGTTTAGTTGTTTTGGTACGAATTTTAATTCGGTTTCACTTGAGTCATTTAGACCTTCACAAGGATAAACTTATCGCTTTTCCTGTCGAAATCTATTTTAATCATAAGTGATTAGTGAAAATTTCCTTCGAATGACAATTAATCTATTGTTTATCATGTAAATCGATAATTTTTGGGTTATTCCTAAGATTTGATCAAAATTCTGACTAATTGTTAATCAATTTTCCCTTTAAATGACTGATTAAAACTACCTAATTAAGGTTTCTTTTCGTTAATTCCTTTAGTAATTAATCAAACTCATGGACAATCATGTCACCTCAGGGAATTAGATCTTTGTGCCGCCACATTATTGGTATTCACTCAAAATCCATCAGGTAAGAAATTTAATTACCAATTCTATTGATTAACGGATTAATTTCTCTCTTTAATAATAACAATCACTAATTAATAAGATGATAAATTCTAATTAATCTTAATCACTCTAACTTTCTAATGTAATTTTACTGACTGAATCAAGTTCATTGTTTTCTTATCAAATGATGCAATTAAATTACTAATTGCAATGATTAACGTTACTAAAAATAGACAATTAAACCGGAAACTTTGTCGTAACAATTAGAGAATAACATTAACCTTCACGATTAATTAATGTTTCACAATTGACAAATGATTAAAATGATTCGATCATAATCAAGTTCAACGTTAACCAAAACTAACTCGTCTAATCAATTGATCAATCAAACATTAACAATCAATCAATCAGGAAAACAACAATAATGGATTTGGATTAACAACTACTGACCAATTTAACCAATGATAATATTAACCAAGGAAAAGTATTAACAATTAAACTAATAGATTAACTTAGAATCTAATTGCGATTTCGATTATTATGGATTATCCATTTAATGAAGGAATAGCAACCACTGGTCAAGAGATGAATAAACAATGTGGATATTTACGTGAAGCCGATTCTTGTTTACGAAATTTCACTCGAAAATGTACAACACCATTACAAAGAGAACTGATTGGCTTTGTCACCGAAGGTGGAATGAGATTATTGAATGAGTATTGTACCACCGGGACACAATTGCGACAAAGTTACTTGAAACATGCTCCGTGTTTGAATCAAGCTCAACGTAATCAGCGAATGTGCGTCAAGGACCTTCAATCGGCTCTCGAAATGATCGCTAACGTTGAATGGGATCGTCGGATTCCCGCTGGTTGTTGTGCTTACCGACGATTCCAAGGGTGTGTTGTTACTCTGGTTGAATCGAAATGCGGTAAAGAAGCAGTTGAATTTATCCATATTCTTTTACGAATGGCCTTATCTCGATTACCGGATATTATTTGCGTTGGTTATGGTCCACAAACTTCCGAATGCCGGTCACTTTTACCACCCCCTGGAACATCACCAAGAGGAGCTCGAAGCAATTCTGTCCTTTCACGTCTATTCTCAGCCTACACTGGACTTTAATTGTTCATTTTTCGGTCAAACAATCAACTTGTTGTTTTCTATTCTCTCAACAATTTAAAAGTAACGAGTCAAAAATTCCTATTAGGTCAATTACCGGTACCTGATCTTCAACTTGATTGTTTTAAATTATATTAAATATCTCAACTATTAATCTTATTGCAATGTAACCATCATCTATTTACCTGTAATCAATTTACTATTTATAATTATTACATTAATCATGATCGTTTCCTTAAAAAAAATGAGTTCAGTGTTTGCTGGTTTAGGTTAATTGTTTGCAGAAACTAAATGAAATATTAATTAACGTCACTTGGAAAAGTTAATTTTTTTTCTAAGCTGCAACAATTAGCCAATTGTTTCGTTATGGTTACATGATCTTTCAGTTTAAATATCTCAATCATGGTGATTCATGGTGGTAAGAATAGCAAATAAAAAGACTGCAAGGTCACAATGAACTTGAATTCAGCGTAACTTTTGTCAAAATGAATCGAGGCAAAGTAAACGCGAAGAGATTTGGAGAAAATTTCAAGTCCGAAACGATTTTGATTGTTATTACCACGAATTTAGAAGGAAAATAAAAAAAAACCCTCCAAAGAATTTGAAATTGAATAGAATTCAAATTCAATTATAATCTTGTTTTCTTTTGTATTGACCATTACTATTTATATACAGAAATCACTGGATCTGAAATTGAACTGGACAAACAATGTGGCTTCATAAGGGAAGCTGAAAGTTGTCGGCGTAACTTTACCCAGCGATGTACGACTCCTCTTCAAAGAGAGCTGATTGATTACCTTGGTGAGGGAGGTCGACAAGTGGGAGATGAATTTTGTACCAGAGGAAGTCCACTTCGAGAAGAGTATAAGCGTCATGCTCGTTGTTTAGGTTCAACTCGACGTGAATCAGCTTGGTGTTCAAAAGATTTACAAAGAGCGATGGAAGTTGTCACCAATTCTGCTTTGGATGCAAGAATTTCCACCGCGTGTTGTGCATTCAATAGGTACGATTCTTGTACCAGTAACATTATCTCATCTCGATGTGGACCTCAAGCTTTAGCTTTATCCCGACGGGTAATTAGACTTGCCGCTTCTCGATTACCAGAAATGTTATGTTCGTCCTATCCGGCCACAAGTAAAAAGTGCATCGAAGTGCTACCCGCTTCCGGTGAAGCTCCACTCGGTTCGAGATCTAATAGTCTCTTATCAAGACTTTTCTCAACCTATGGTTCAATCTAATTAGATTTCATTTCTACGATTCTCTTAATTGGTAATCAAATAATTCACCATAAAAGAGATTAAAAATTTACAATTTAAATGATTTTTCAATTGATTTATAATGTAGACAGTTAATTGTTTCCTTCGTTGTGTAACAATCAACAGTTTCCTCAATTATCAAATCATAAATACTCGTGTTTGCATTAATAAAATACAAACAATTTAGCAAAAAATGACAATAAATCAACAAGAAGAATCATTAATTCATTAGTAATACTAAAATCTTTCTAATGATAATCAACAATCAAGAGGAAAATTGTGATTGAATCAATACAAGTTAACCTTGATTGTTTACTATTAATTAAATGAGAGATTCATAATTTCAATGAAATTATCATGCAATAGATATTATAATGTACTTTTGATTAAACCACATGATCATAGATTGTGATGATTAACGATTAACAATCAATGTTAATTAACATGATTGAATCTAATGTATTAAATGAATCACTGCTTTCAATAAATGTAAAAATCAATTAAAATCAATAAAATTGATCACAATGAAATTGTAATGTAAACGATAAGAGTTAAACATGATTACAATTAATGAATGAATGAATTTGTCAGTCAATTGTTACAGTTAATCAAAGTGAAAGTGAATCAAATAAATTCAACTTACCAGGAATTAAATCCAATTCAACTGTAAATGGTTTTCCTTTGGTCAGTACACATGTTTCTTGTTCTGGGTCACAAACGTCAACTTTAATACCCTTCACTTGACCATTACCTTTGAGAGAAACACTTTTACTTATTAGATGGACAATGGTCAAGATTGAAAGAGAAAGAGAGAAAATTAAACTCACCACAATCACGATATTCAAGAGCATAACAAGATGAAAGGAGAAGTGTTGAAATTAGAAGATGAAATTGATTGAACATTGTTGATCTTGTTAACTGATTGTATTTCTATGGATCAAATAACAATTTAAGAATATGAATCAACTTAATATTAGAAAAGAAAAACAAATTCTAGTGACTAGAGATTATCAATTTTGAGAGAGTCAAAAATAAGACACGGAGACAAATTTCACTTGGCCTGAGATGAAGATGAAGATGAAGAGAGAGAGAGAGAAAGAGAGTGAATGGGAAGATAGAGAAGGAGAAAATGAGAGAGATGATGATAAGAGGGAGAGGGAAAGTGGATTTAAAGTAATCAAACAGGTTGGAAATGAATCTCCGAGGAATAGGAAGACACGAGGGGAAATTGTTGTCTTGATGATTTAAGATTTTCTCTAATCATCTTTTTCTTATGTTCTGTCTATTTCTCTGTCTTCATTTGGTTTCTCTTCTTCTTCCATCCGATTAGATTAACAAGAGAATCTAAATTAATTCTCAGATCACTTTAATTGCGCTTCCATTTTTTTTTTGATTATTCTTACACTTTTTTGCTTTTCTTCCAACAAGGACTTTGCTCTAAATCATCTTCATGGATATTGTAGATTCTTCAATTTATAATTAACTTACTTTTCACTTGTAAATTTGCATCAAGATTAATCTTTAAATCACTAATCACCTTTTCCATCAAATACTTTCAAGTGTCTTCCACTTTACTCTTGGATCATCTTTGTTAATATAACTCTGTAAATCTTGTGGTGATAATCAAGTCAAATTAAAGATCAGCAACAATTAAGAAAATGAAAATAATGAAAAACTAAAATTCTAAACCAACAAGTTAACAAAGAAATAGAAAAAAAATAATTCGTTGCCTTGGTAACCAACGAAAACCTAATCAGCTGATTTACCAAATTTCTGAGCGTTTGTTTTGATTTTCTTACTGTTTACAATTAACATTATCATTTGTCTTTTTGTGTTCATCATTAAACTTGACCCTTTTTTCATTAAGATCAAGGGTTGTTACTTAATTGTAACAATATAATTAAATCATTTGTTTATTTATCTGTTGCTTGGTGTCTTCGTTAGAAACATTTTTTTGTCTAAATGATTGTTAATATAAAAAGTTTTTCGTTTAGAAATCGACAATCGAAAAATTTTCTCTGTGATTAAAGAGATGAGAAAACAATTGTAATTGTTCTTGGTCAATTTGATCTACACAATTTATTTTCCGCAATCAAAATAACAATTTAAAATGGATTAATTTTTTCTCTTCTTCTATTTAGATTTTTTTTCTATTTGAATGTCCATCTCTTTTTACTTTCATTTGGATGGTCATCATTTCCATTCAATGGTCATTCAGTCTCCTAGAAGGTTCCTCGCCAAAGGTTATAGTTGATGGAGTTTCTTTTTCGTGATTCATCACAATTCAAGTTGGGGTTTAAATAACTTGGTAATAAGAAAGCGTGTTGTTGACTGTACTTCAATTCCGGTTCCGTTTGACACAAGAGATTTGCCAAAGTCACTTTGTTTTTAATCTCAAGCAATTGAGCTGTAGAATTGAGAAAATGTGAGAAAGTGAAAGTGAAAATTAGTTTACCAATTAGATGAGACCGTTGTTTACAATTTGTACCTTGAGTAAATGAACCAGCCTGATCTTTGTGAGAGTAAAAGTATCGATCACCAAATTTAAGATGATAGAATTGGATTCCGACAATACAAGCGAAAGTAGGTCCAATATCGGCATCAATTGCCTTCTTTTCATACAAACCACCAGTGAACAAATCAATATCTCGGAAATCTCTGTAATTGTTATTAATTAGAAACGATAATTTCTCTCCAATTTGGTTGACAACTTACTGGTAAACACTTCTAAGTTTTTGTACATTTTCTCTTGGTATAAAGTTAAATAGATCATTCCAACTTCTAATTGTAAAACCAAAGCAGAATTTGATATATTCAGTGTAAGGAGCGATTCCATGATCTCTACCTCTTTGAATATTAAATGCAGCTAAATCACTTCCAAATGAATCTTTTCCAGGATGGAAATAGAGATGATTCTTCAAAGATGGTGTTAAGAATGGGTCAATCACAGCTGATTTACCGTTCAGAAGAGTTGCAATCAAATTTGGAGTCTAATATATAAGATGAATGAATAAAATGAAATGTCACCAACTTTTGGTCAGCAAGAAGATACCGAATACTCACCAAACCTGAATGGATAAACTTTGGATCGAAGAAAGAATCTTTGAGAGAAAGTTTCGCGTCTGATTGAATAATCGCCATGAATGAGGTTACTTGTGAATGGCCGAACCGACAAGCAGCCGAAGCACATTCATTCCAAGTTGTCGCATCGATATCTTCTTCGTATTCAGAAAACAAAGTATCCTTTTCGATAATGTTAAAATAATCGCCCATTTCTGGTCCAAGAAGAACTGGTAAATATTCAGTGAAAGTGATATGTTGAAGTTCAGCTATGGTTAAACGACGAGCCTCTTGGAAAAGTATCTCATCTGGTGCTCGAGGATTAACTCGAGCTAATCCTGAAGCATGTTGATTGTGTCGACGGACGAAAAGTGAATGGATCAATTGGATAAAAGGTTGTTGATTAACTCGAGCATCACCTGAACGGAAACAAATCTTATCCTTTCCTGCATGTGGTTTACTACATTGATCGGTAAGAGGAGATTTACTGTCAGGAAGAATTGGCCTACTCAATCTATCGCTGCCCATCTTGAGTAAACCACCTCTAAAGGTACGAAGTGACGCAACCGTTTCGTTATCCCCTCCATACATGGCACTATGATCGATATAAGAAGTGGCCAAATTGGTTTGTTGCCTTGGACCCATTGAACAAAGTGGACAAGGAGCTGATCGGATAAAATTGATACACTTTCTGGCTGATGCTTGTAAATCATTTTTAGATAACATGATTGGCATACACTTGGATTCATCATGAATTTCTGATGAACAACACTGAACTCCTGAACCGTGACTTGGGACACTTTGTGGGGTTGACATAATATCATGGATAACATATTGACCCCAAGTAAAGTGCCAAGGAGTGTAATAGGCTTCACCCTCCCCAGACTCATGGAGACTCAATGAGATCGTACGTGGTGACGGTAAAGGTTGACCAGAGATTCCCCGTGATCGAGGTAAATAAATACCATCCTCATAATATGGAGGTAAAAATCTTACATGGCAAATGTTAGATTTACCCCAGAATGTGTGCTTCAAGTTGTTACAGAATCCATCATATGCTCGATACCTTGAATTTCTGCACCTTGTTCCAGCACTACCACCAAAGTTTCCATGTTTCCGAGAACATTTCAAGAACTTGGATTGAATAGATGAAATTGGAACTTTGTCAGCTTTTCAATCACATCAACTGGTCGAATACACATTCTAATTGAGATAAATTCAATCAAAAAAAAAACAAAAGGAAAAGGTCAACATCGATCAATCAGCGGGTTGATAACCAATCTCGAGTTTTTCGAAACAATTTAAGTCAACATTTTGACCTTATACTCCATGATAACTAAATGAAACACTCGGTATAAAAATCTTTCTCAATATCCACTTGAATTTTGACTTATCTATTTAGCTGATACATCACCTTGATTCATACAATCAAGAATCTAATCGGTAATATATTGATGATTTAAAGTTTCGACTCACCTTTCCTGTAAGTTTTTAGCAACATATTCAAGGTATTGAGCCTCTTCTTGATCAATGTAATCTTTAATTTCAGCAGGTAATTTACCTGTGATCAAATGACGACCATCGGCAGAGATGACATTCGATGCGATGATATTACCTGCTCTAGCATTAGCAAGAGCTTCGGCAATTTCTCTGTCCACTCTTAAAGTGGCCGCTTTAACGGCAGCAGCTATGATAGATGGTGTAAGTTCACCTCTGTAAGGTTGATTGGGTGATCTACACCGAGCAGCCAATCTCCCCAAGTACCCATGGTAAATTGCTTTAACGTCGAACTTTTCAATTAGTGATGAATTTGTTTTCCAATATAATTCACTTTTATCATATAAGCTGGACGCAATTCCCGGTTTCACATTATATGGTGATTGTCGAACGGGTGCTGCTCTTTCCTCCATCTTTATTGGAACGTGTCGGGAAACGGGATCACCACTTGAACGAGTTCGAACTGTAGACTCTGAACGTGTCAAATTTTTTGGTTCTTCTTGTGGTTCAGGTAAAATCTCAGCTAAATTGGGCATAAAAGAGACCAGATTTGAATTCTTAGCTATGTCATCTTGTAATTTCTTATAATTTCCAATGAGTATTTCCATACTTGCTTCAGAAATATTAAACGAAAGTCCTTTATTCTCATCATCGGCACCAGTAAAAGCACCTCTGGTTGGTTCGTTTTGCTCAAGTGGTGGTGAATATGATGCAACTTCCTTTTCAGGATTGATTTCATTTTCATTCTGTCCAGTGATTAGTAAATTGTTGCTCATCAACACTAAAAGTGCGATGGCAGCTCTACATCGTGTGGAAATTAAATTACACCAATAAATTTTCACAAATTAACTGTTAACCATTTGGTCATTTCTAATGGTCAATTTATGTTTACTTACCCAATGAGCTTCATTATAACGAAAGGTCTTGGCTCCTAGTGGTCAAGCTGAATCCCTTTATGTTGTCTTCAGTTGCAATTAACACCCAGGAAAAAAAAGTTAATTAATTTGAACAGAATGAAACAGTAACTTGTAACGTAAGGATTTAATTGTAATTGCGTTTTTTTCATCGTTAATCTAGATGATTAGAATACAATTAGTGCTGACGAACAATTTATTTTCGTTCTCTTCTTTAAGTATCTTCATTGGAGAGATGAAGTGAATTTAAGAGCATCTTTTTTTCACCGACGAACTTTTTTTTCTGCTTAAATCGACAGAATATCATAAAATCAGATTACATCCTTATAATTGACAACAATCAATAGAACAATTTAGACATTTAATCACCGATTGGTATTAATTTATCAATTGATTCGTAAGTAAATTTTTCGATAACATTTTGTTATTATGATCGCAATGGTTTGGCTTAAATTAGCGGCAGAGTCGTTAACTAATGTTACTGAGCTAATTAATGTGAATAATTGACTAATTGTTGCGTTTAATTTGTTTTAGGTTAGGTTTAACTCGTAAACGAGTTAATTGATAAAAAATTGTGATTCAACTTATAAGTTGACAAAGAAAAGGAAAAAAATGATTCGTTGCCATGGTAACCAACGAAAACCTAATCAGCTGATTTACCAATTTCTTACTGTTCACAATTAACATTATCATTTGTCGTTTTGTGTTCATCATTAAACTTGACCCTTTTTTTCATTAAGGTCAAGGATTGTAAATCAAATTCTGTGTTTATTTGTTTGGTGTTAATTTCCTGTTTATTTACCTGTTGCTTTGTGTTTCCATCATCATGTTCATCACCTTGATGCTTTTTGACAGATACAATTAACTGATTATCGTTTAGTGACTCTTACTGTTATTCTCATTGATTTCATACGAATTATGGTTTCGCCAATTTCAAATAAAACTCTCACCAGATTACTCAGTGTCCCTGGATTAACGGGTCGATCAAATGATCTCATTCTTTCTCGAAATTGTCACGAAAAATCAGATAATCTTGTAATCTTTTTCCATGGAGATATTCAGGTTAGTTGAAAATACTTTTGAAAACAAATTGATTCTCATCTGATTTAGGTTATTGTCTAATTTAATAATCTAATCTTTAATCTCTTACCTTTTTTAAGGATTATCCTGAAATGATGTCAGCAAACACCAATGCTAAACAATATTCACAATGGAATCTTGAAAATACTTCAATTCTATTGGCTAAAAAGTTTTCCACTTCCGTTATAATGACAATTAAAGCTTCTGCGATGCGATTAGGGGTTAAAGCTTGTTTCGATCATTTTGTAGGTTAGTTGATCAACAATCTTAATCTATCACCGGATTAACTCATTTCTCCCTTTTAGAAACTGATATTTTCGGTGAACCAAATTTTCAACTGGACTCTAAACCTTTGTCACACCTTCAATGTCTAACTGACCAAGTGATTTCCACCAAATCTGATTGGCTATTGCCCATTAAGTGTATCAGATTAATCGGATTTAGCCAAGGAATGACTGTGGTTAATCAATTAATCCATTCTCTGCATGTCTTGGATCAATCATCATCTAATCATCTTGAATCATTTGCTTCCCTAATTAAACACATCTATTGGTTAGATGGTGGAAAATGTTGGTTAACCGATGAAAAGATCATCTCAACTTTGAAAGATCGAGACATTTTCGGCCATGTTTATGTTACACCTTTACAGGTATGTAATCCTGATCGTTCCGAGAATCAGATTAATTATAAAATTTTTAAAAGTCATTTAGATGCCATGAAAATTTCCCATGTAGATAAACTTTACTACAAGGATACCAAACCCTCGTTTGATAATCATTTTCAACTGTTATCAGACTTTGATCCTTAATCAATCCTGTTCAGAGATGATCTCATGATTAACTTAAGTCAATCCGATTATATGATTACCTGAATCATAAATGACTCATCCAAATTACAGAATCATTTATCTGAGTGTTATTTTTTAAATCAAAACTTTATTAGTAAAAAAAAATGATTGAAACAAAAAATGGCTCCTTTTTGTTTACATTAGAAAAAAAAATCGATTCCTGTTGTCGTAATAAATATGTGTCAATATCAAATAGGTGTGGGGACTTTGATCGGAAATTGATTGTGATTATTGATGATGAAATCGGCAGCAATGGTGATGATGATAATCAAGATGAAAAAAATAAACCATTTGATTGGAAGTGTTTAAGATTAACAGTGATTATGTTCAGGATTATGGTTGTTTTTTTTTCTTGATGTATATGCACAGACAATGGACTTTTGTAATGGTAACAAAATGATTAATCATTGATATTGAAAAGAGAGATCGTCAGAAAGTTTGATTCGCAATTCAAATCAATTTGGTGGATTTGTTGGATTAGTTGATTTAACAGGATTATCATGATTACTATTGTAGATTCCAGGATTAAAGTATAGACTTTTATTCCAACCTCTCCAAATAACTTCAATCGCTTGTTTAACACTCTTTTTACCTTCTCTTTTGCTAAGTTTTGAGCTTACCTGGTAAAGTGAAAAAAACAATCAATTAGTATACAAAGTTTACAATTAACTTTTAGTTATCAACTACTTACCACCATCAATATCTCATGCAAACTCTTTTCCCATGCATGGTCAATCAATGCCCATCCTAAAGCCTCAGCAAACCATGATCCAGATTGAACACTTCTCAAGGCAACATAACCTTGAATCGTTGACTGAACTATACACATATCACTCCAAGTGGGTATACGATCGGGATCAGTTTTTTTGGTAAAAATAACTGGACCAGGAACTGGACCAGCATCGGCGGTCGTAGTAGCGTCCATTATACCAAAATCGTATTCATCTAGAGCAAAATAGATAAACAAAGTAATATTTCATTAGGAACAATTAATTAACGTGATCATGAAGAAGAAAGATAATTAAGTCATCATCTAGGGTTTTCAGAGAAAAGGCTATCCATAAAGAAGAGATCATGAGTGATTAATGATTAATGATCAATTAATTGTCAATATCTAACTTGATATGTTATACATCTGAATTAACGTGAGAAAATTTTAACATTCAAATAATTAATTTGTAATCAAAATGCAAAGAGGTAAAAGTAAACAAAAAGTAAAAAAAAACAGTAACTCTAATTAGGTGATCCGATTTGCATTTGTATCTATTGATCAATTGTTATGGTAACTCTTACTGATTAATCTTGATTAATTGATTAAATTTTCACGTTCCAGTGTAATGCTTGAGTTTGAGCATGCGAATAATGAAACATATAATACTAATGATGGTTCCTAAATGACGACAACTCATTTTGAGCACTTGAAGTTATTTTTACACTTGATTTGTTCATAAAAAAAAGTGAGTCAATTGATTGATTTTTTTTTCAAAAGGTAAACAATCAAATTACACAGAAGCAAACTGATTAATTAAAATGAATTAACTTACCTCCTCTACATGCTTGGATAAAGAAGAGTTTAGGTTTGTTCATCAAGAGTGGACAGTTAAAGTTGTTGAAATAGGAGAGGAGGGTCTCAAGGCGGACATAGAGACCATCGGAACCAACTATGAGATCACATTTAAGTCCATGGGACATGATGATACAAACTAGAGCATCATGATCCTTTAATGAATCCATTTTGGAATATTTTTGGAAAACCGCTTCAATATCACCAGCACTCAAGTTCTTGAAATAGTTCAATTGGTAGCCTAATTGTTTAAAGATCGATGCAAGGAAGGCTCCATCTTCCTCAGCTGAAGCTCGCTGATCAAACACCTCAAAATCGACATTATTGATAATTATGCAAAATCCTCGAGGATCAGATTTACATGGATAAATGTCAGGACCTTCTTTAAGTTTACCCTCAGTTTTAACCAGAAATTGATGTTCAGGTTTAATGGAAACTGTTCCAGTGGGTGATTGATAAATTTTACCTTCAAGAAAATGTTCACCGGTTAGGTTACCATTACTAAATCCATGGTCACTATCATCGCAAGAGGAATAAGATCGAGTATGTGATGAACGAACACCTTCCCGACCAGGAATGAAACGACTTGACGTTGCTCGCGGTAAAGTGGAGCTACTTGGTGGACCTGCATCGGAGCAACAATTACCACGGTTAGGATTAATATTATTATTATTATTATTTTCTTGAATTTGAGTTCTACCCGAATTTAAAATCTCAATGGCTCGAAAATTTTCTGTCTGAGCAAGAATATCTTTCAAGGCATACATAGCATCAGGTCCACTGCGTCCAATGGCTAGTAGAAGACTTTCCGTTTTAGCATCATTGTCATCTTTTGACTTGATATGAAAAAAGAAAAGGTAAAATAAGAGAGGAGAAAAATGGATGATACAATTTTAATTAGAAAAAAAACCAAATGATGAGAATTGATCCGATTGAGATCAACTTCTATTGCAGTCATAAACTGTTAACCCTTGCAAGAGACTTATTAATATCTCAATTGCAGACTAAAAGGTAACCAATATTTAGGACCATTTCTTTTTGCTTCGGATACTTTTTGAAAGAGAGGATAAGGAGGAAAAAACTTACATAGATTATATCCCAATCTTCTTGGGTTAAAACTTCTCGATATGCAATGAGATCTGAGATAAAGTTACCATTAATCAGAGGGATTAGTCGATTTAAATTGGACATAATCAATTCCATATAAGAATCCATGTTTAATGGTCGGTTGAGAGTCTAAGGTTTAGTCTACCTATACCCTCTCTTTGAACACTTGGCACAGGTCACGAGATCAACACACAAGGCACCGTGGAAGAATAAGAAGAAGAAGATGGATGATAAGAAGGAACAGTTACAGAGGAAAAGATGGATAAGGGATAGAGAGAGAGAAAGAGAGAAAGGAAGAGAGAGAGAGAGAGAGAAAGAAAGTAAAAGAAAATAAAACCAAGGTAAAAAATTGTCCACTAGAGAAAAGAATAAAAAACAAACTGAGAGAAAGATAGAGAACAGAGTTTCAGGAAGATAGAAAATAAATTGTCAGGGTAGGAAATGAATAATAGGAATTAAAAGAAAACTAGTTTGACTTGGAATTAGGGATTGGAGGAAAATGGCGATTAAAAGGCACTTTGGGCAGTTCTTTATACTAAATAAAAATGATGGAAAGTGAGAGAAGAGAGAGAATAGAAAAAAAAAGAAAAACACTTCACTGTTTTGATGCGAAAAATAAAAATGGAGGTTCTTTTTTTGGAAGTTTGGAACAAAGAAGAAGAGAAAATTATGAGGTGAGAGATGATGATAGTGTCGATGGATGACAAAAAGACAAATAAACCACCGAAAGGAGAAAGAGAGACAAAGATAAAGAAAGAAACTGATTAACAACAAGTGAGTTTAAAAAAAAAAAAATTTTTTCCAAAACTCGAGCCATCTATCGGATGGAAAACGTATGAAAGGGCAATTGTTCCATTCGGTCCGTTTGTGGTTGAGTTTCTTACAAGTTATCGATCGTTGTAACTCCTCTGATTGATTGGCACTAATAACTCGATGAGTCACTTATCCTGTTGGGACAAAAGGACAAGTTTCTTTTTTTTTCCGTTGGAAAAACGAGTTCATCTTTTTAAAAGAGAAAAATAATTTTAGGTTAGCAACTTTGAACTCTACAAACGGAGGCCAATGTTTTCTTTTTCTTCTCTTTCTTGAGCCATAGAAAAGAAGATGAAAATGATCAAGTTTATTTCGATTGTGATGGTTAATTGTTGCTTCTTAAAGTTGATCAGAGAAAATTTGATTGTTCGCAATCGAATAGAAAATTCTCAATATAAATCGATTGGATTAAGTGAATGTAACTCGTTAATCTTTTCATGTTCACATTTTGCTTCATCGAAAATTGTAAACTGATTGGTAACAATTAAGATTAGAATTGCGATTTAGAGAGAAAATTAATTGGAATAGTAAGTAGTGTGATCGTGTGATTTACTATTTGTTAATCATTAGGATTATTTTGAGAATCAGTAGTTAATTGGTCAACAAGTTTGAACTTTTTTCTTAAAGTTTTTCATCTTATCCTTATGATTAAATTAATAATTCAAATTGATTAACTTTTGTCTTTCAAAAGATTTAAAAAAAACGGTAATTTAGTTGATCAGTTTTTACCTGATTGATTTTAACCCTTTTTGATGGATGATTAGTTTTTGTCTAATTGCTTCGTCTCATCTTTCGTCTTATTGTCTGTTGTATGTTGTTAATCATCTGTTAGCAATTTAACAGTTGAAAATACACTAATTGAGATGTTAACAATTAACGAATAATCAACAAGAAATACTTATCTTTGTTTTCTGGTTTTAAAGATTAAGAGAGATACAAGAGAGAAAGCTGAAGATGATTATAATGTGATAACGACGGAAAAGTGACCTGAATATAAGTTATTTACAATAGTTGAAAGTACTTGTGGAAGTGTGACCATCGGTTGATTGATCATTAATAAAATTCGCAGGAGAGCAAAAAAGGTAAAAGGAAAGGTGAGAGAGTCTCACCTTTCTTTTTCTTTATTTCTCTTTTTTTTCTCTTTTTTTTCTTCTCTTTCTTTAAAATCCATAGTGTGTGTGTGTGTGTTTGTGGGGCGGGTGGTGTTGGGTGAATGAACGAAGCCGTAGTGGGAGGAGGAGGAGTCATAGAGTTCGAGAAGAGGGTCTAAGGTCTTTGGCTCGTGTCGAAGCCTCTGTTGTATAGTTGCAGCTCTAATTCACCATCAAAATTCAATACATTTTCTCTTACATCTGCTTATGGATTAAGGGAAAAGAAAATCAATTAATCCATTAAAATCGACTTTTTGTTCATTTTCGATTATGTAACTTACCTTTTCTCAAGATTCTTTTTGAAGATAAATAAGATGATGAGAACGTAAATGACCATCGAGATCAGTAGACCGGAAGAGGAGGATGTTCGGAAGTGAAGATGAAATGAAAAGGATTAAGAAAGAAAGAAAAAGAGTTAAATTTGTTTAGGATATTGTATCGAAATGTAAAAGGAAGAGGGAAAAGGACGAAATGTCCAGTTTGAATTAGAAAAAATTGACCAGCGATCGAAAGAGTTGGCGGGGTTTTTACAATACGAGTTTTGCCGCGAGAGGAAAATGATGACAAAAATGATGATCACTATGATGATTAGGATGACGGAAAGTGACCTGAATGCATTTAGTTGAATTAATACATAAACGCCTGTGTGTCCATCGGTTGATTGACCATTTGTAACATATGCATAGAAAGAAAGAGGGAAAGAAGAAGAAGAAGAAGAAGAAGAAGAAGAAGAAGAAGAAAGAGAGAGGAAAAGAGAGAGAGAGGGAGGAGGAGGCGTTAGTATTAAAATGTAGCCTCAACATCCGTAGATCGTATTTAGGCCTTTTCCTCTGTACTTACCTTTGGTACTTTGTCTCTCTCTCTCTCTCTCTTTCCTCCTCCATACAATAGAGACCAAGGGTGAGTGAACGAAGTCTCATCAGAAGGAGGAGCCCCACGGGATCTAAAAGAGGCCTAAATTTATGACTCGTGGTGAACCGCTGTTTAGTTCCAGTTCACCGTTTGATCTGTTAACAACATCGAAGAGAAAAAACTTTATCATCGAAAATTCAATTTTTATTAATAATCATCACGAATAAAAGTTTCAATTCTTACCTTTCCTCTTCTGTTCAGAAGTGACCGTTACCTTTTGACCCTTTCACCATGAATATTTATTCAAATTCCTTACCAACAACCTACATGACAACAACGGTACATCAACAACCAACACAACAACAACAACAACAACAACAACAGTCCAACACCATTGCGAACAATGTTATACTCAACAGTTTACTCGACAACAACACCGAGATAAAACCATCAATGTTAACCGATATTTCAATTGATTTACTTTCTACCGACTATTTACCCGATCCATTGATTAATTCAACTGATTTAACTTCATTGGACAATTATGAAGACGGTGATGAAGAAGATGATGAACATTTACTAAGTGACCATAACTACGAGACCATAATCGATGATACAAGTCATCGAAAAAGTAAAATGGCCAAAAAAACATACGAAACTACATGTGAGCCCATTTACCATTCACCGAATCACAATGGATCTTATGTCAACGATAAATCGCAAAGTCCACGAATAACTTCATCAACTGAGATTATTTTAGTCAAACGCAGGCCAAGTTCGGTATCTTCAACCTCATCTTCATCATCCTCATCATCATCTCATGGAACAATTAACAAAAGAAATGAACGAGAAAGAAATCGAGTTAAATTAGTCAACATTGGATTTCAAACATTACGACAACACATTCCCAATGGTGCTAAAGGTAAACTGTCCAAAGTTGAGACCTTAAGGTCAGCGGTTGATTATATTCGGACATTACAATCAGTTCTTAATGGTGATGATCCAACAATCCAATCAATTGATAGTAATAACTTCATGTGCCTAAAAAATTTGGAAAATTGTTTTTCTTTTCAATAGTAAACAATTAAAAAAGATCAACAAACTGTATACCAACCGTTTTTCTAATTTAATTAACAATCATTGTAACAATTATATTAAAATTGCCTTTCTTAATTAATCGATTAACAGTTTTCCATAATTTCTTGTTCATTAATAGTAAATTTTATGCTGACCGCTGGTCAATTTTTCCTCAACCATTTGCTTGGTATGATAGTTAAGGTAATAAGAGACAATCAAGTAAATTGTTTAAAGATGTAAATCAAATCAATTGGATGTGAATTATGGTAACATGATTAGTTGATGATTTACTCCAAGTAAATCCGGTCATTAACTCATTCTTTCAATTTCTCTCTCACTCTCTTTCTGACCCTTGTCCACTTCTTCTTACTGGACACCTTTCGTAAGATGGACAATTCATTCATACATTTTGATACCGATGTTGTCTGGACTCTGTCTGTTTCCCCCTTTCTCTTGTTATTATTATGTTGACCTTAGGTCAGTGGCCTTAGGTCAGTAAACATTTATAAAGAGAGAGAGAGAGAAAAGAGAGTGACCAAAACGCGCCAACTCTTTTCTATTGTGCTGACCCTTGACCAGCTTTATTATTCTTCGCAACAAAAGTTCACCTTTTCATCTTCCTCTCGACTTTCATTGATTTCTAACAATTGGTAAATTACAAATGTAACTTTGTTTTTAATTCTCATTGAAAATTTTATTTCCTTTTCTTCACAATTTGTTTTTTTTTATATTCTAAATTGATCCGGTTTTTAATTGACTCAATTAATTCATAATCTCAGGTGTGTTTGTGAATCGCGTGAATGAATATAGTTACATACACACGGATCTCTAAGGTAAAGTTTTCTTTTTCATTCTCTATTCGAAAGAAGAAAAAGAAAATTAATTAAATTTGATTCTCATATTGAATGAGTCAATTAATTGATTGTTTTTCTTTCGTTTCCCTTAATCCATAAGCAGATGTAAGAGAAAATGTATTGAATTTTGATGGTGAATTAGAGCTGCAACTATACAACAGAGGCTTCGACACGAGCCAAAGACCTTAGACCCTCTTCTCGAACTCTATGACTCCTCCTCCTCCTCCCACTAGGGCTTCATACCAGCACCACCACCACCACGAAGACACAGAGAAAGAGAAAGAGAAAGAGAAAGAGAAGAAAGAAAGAGAAAGAAAGAGAAAGAAAGGTAAGTAAGAGGAAAATTCGATCTACGGATGTTGAAGCTGCTTCTCTCTAAATACTTTACGCCTCCTCTTTCTTTTTCTCTTTCTTTTCTCCCCCTCATACATATGTTACCTATGGTCAATCAACCGATGGACAAACACATCCACACGCATAAACACATAGACACGCGTCCATATATTATTATATATAAATTATATTGAGGTCATTTTCTGTCATCATCTCCTCAGTCTGCATGTTGTCTTGTTGTTTATTTGTTGTCTTCACATTTTTCATACTCCATTGAGTTAAAAATTTACCTCTGACCCTTTTTACTTATATGGTCAAGGTTTAAGTACCTTTAGTTAATTTAATAATCCATAACAATGTTCAATCCCCAAGATGTCCAGTTATCTTTTATCAATGGTCAACATTATGAGTAAACATTTCAACATTTCCTGTTGTGTTAATTTATTATTCATTTCTGTTTCTTTTTTTTCTCATCATTCTCATCACAATCAAAACAGTTACTAAATTACAACAATTACTATTAATTGATTGAGAAATCAAAACATCTCATAATTTTAACGGATTAATATGATAAGAGACTAATATTGACAATTTAAGTTGATTTAAGTTCAATTCAATGATTAAACTTGGCTTTATGTTGAAAGTCATGATTAATTTAGCACAATTAATGTTACTCAATTATTACAATAAGCTAACAATTAATTTGATTTCTTGAGAAAAGTAATTGTTTTACTCGAGTTAATATTGACAGGGGAAAATTTGATCAATGATAATCTGATTTAATTGCTATCGATTAAGTTTTCATTTTAACCTTGATTAAATTATCAACAGTTATGATATTGGATATTCAATACAACGTTGATTACACGTGATTAAATTGCTATCTAAATTTAATTGGTGTATTGACCAAATGATATTTTTAACATTTAACGATAAATTGTTCAATTGAACTTGAAATTATTAACCTTAATTGTTTTCTAACCTTAACAATTAGACTACAATACCTTAGCCATTCACTAATCATGCTTCAAGATGATTAACATTTAATCATAATTGATTGATTGTAATAAAGAAGATCATTGTTATGTAAAAATTGGTGGAAATGGAGATTACAATTAATTAATTCTTAGCCATGTTTTCCGATTAAAATTAAAATCATTATTAGACGAAACTTTCATTTCTCTGTAACATCACAATTAGAGTTACAATTTGAGTTACAATTAGGAAATTATTCTTGATTAACTTAATAAACCTCATTGATTACAAAGTTGTTGTTAGTTGAACCAAATCAATTATAATTACCGTTACCTTTTCCTTAATTATTAGAAGAATTTAAGCAATTAATTGATTGTTATTGATTATAACAAGGAAAAAGTTTCGGAATCAGTTGATCAGTACGACAACAATTAAATCCTCAGTAATTCACCATTGATTCATTTAATATCCTTTGATTATCCTTACAAAATTATGGGTAAGTCTTACAATTTAGATTAGATTTGTTTTCTCGTTGATTACTAATCCAGTTTCATTGTTTATCGATTGATTAATTGATTGATTTTGTGATTTAAAAGATGAAAAAATGATCAATGTTAAACCTTCATTGTTTCTGGTCTATGCTGTTGGATCATCGCTTTTGGGATCAATCTCATTGGGATTAACTGTTGGATTTAGTTCATCAGCTATTCCAAGTATGGAAAGTAATTTAACTTCACCCAGAATAATTGAACATGATCACAATGAAACTAAATCATGGATTAAGAGTATAATCTCAATTGGTGCCATGATCGGTGCTTTAATTGCAGGTAAGTAAAACAATTAATAACTTTTTGCGAGGATTAAACTTTTTTTTTTAGAAAACCTAACATCTAATTGGTAACAAGGATTTCCTGTTAATCTCATTTTGTTTTGACTCTCTGATAATCACAAAGGTCCTGTCGCTAATTTGATTGGCCGTAAATTGTCATTAATTGTCGCTAATGTCCCTTTCTTTTTTGGTTGGCTTGCAATCGGATTTGCTCCTGGAATTACATCAATATTAATCGGACGATTGACCACTGGTCTATGTTCAGGTTTTGTTTGCACAGTTATACCTTTGTATTTGGTTGAGATTTCACCTTGTCACCTACGAGGTTTAATTGGGTCAACATTTCAGGTAAAAGTTTTAGTCAATCGGTTAATCAATTTACAATTAACAATTGTATCACTTCACAGGCCGCAACTATCGGTGGTATACTTTTATCATCAATTCTTGGCGTTTTCTTGGAGTGGCGACAATTGGCCTTAATTAGTTCACTGCCGTGTTTAATTATGCCTTTACTTATGTTTTTCACAACGGAATCACCAGCGTTCATAATTAACCAGCAATCAACTAATTTCAACAACAACAATAATAATAACAATGATTATCAATCTACTAGTACCAAAGAAACATACAAAGTATTACAAAGATTACGAAGTCATTCAAGTGACATTGAAGGTGAATTAAAGGAAATGGGGTCATCAGGGTCAACCGGTGATGAGTCTAAAGTTTTCGTCCCTTGGTCAGTGATCAGAAAACCCGAAGTTTACAAGCCATTTTTAATTACTTTGGGTATAATGTTTTTCCAGCAGTTTAGCGGCATAAGTCCAGTTACTTTTTCAATGGTTGAGATATTTAAATTGTCACAAATTCAATTGAACGGTTTTGTCGCTTCAGTGATTGTTAACTCGGTCTCATTTATTTCAACCATAATCGCAAGCCTATTGTCCGATAGATGTGGACGGAAGCCACTTTTAATCATCTCAGGAGTTTTACATGTTATCAGTTTATCCGTTCTTGGATTAACCTTTTACATTGTCCACTCGAATCCTGAACTTGGACCTAAATACGGTTTCATTGCGTTAATTTCACTCATGGTTTTTGTCGCTGGTTTCGCGCTTGGCTATGGGTGTTTACCTTTCACCATGATATCAGAATATACCATTTATGAGGCTCGAGGTTTAATCAGTTCGGCTGGTGTTTGTTTCTGTTGGACATTCGCCTTCCTATTGGTTAAATCGTTTGAAGACTTACAACATTACCTTAAACCCTACGGCACTTATTGGCTATTGGCATTCATCTCGATATTCAGTGTACCTTTTGTCACTTTCTTTGTACCCGAAACGAAGGGCAAATCAGCTGAAAAAATCGCTCATCAATTTAACTGTAAACTGTTTCAAGATGTTCCCTGTACTTTTCGTAACAATTAAAGTCTCGATTTAATTACAATGTAAATTGCTACTCGATGAAAATAAAACAAGCAAAATATTCCGATATTCATATAAACAACTTGTTGATTTAAGATCTAAGATTTCAATCAATGAGATCGATCAGTTGAATGCTAATTAATTAACCTTTATTAACAGATAAATATGATAACAATTATTATTATGATTTTGATAAAATTCAAAGTATTAATAATAAGAATCAAAAATTAATCAGATATTTGACTAGGATTTTCTTTGTTTATTTCCTTTTCGATTAAATTAAATACTATTAATATAATTAAAATATTCTTGTGGCAGTAGATTAAAGTTCCCGATTGCCATCACCGTTTGGATTTAATTGATCTTGAACAGTTCGAGTTGGTTCAATACCCAATGTTATCGAAGCTCTGATTCCTCTGGCAAAGTCACCAGTGGTCACTAGGATTCCAGCACCTCGAGACTGTTGGAATCTAACATCATCGGGATTAGTAGTTCGAGGAGTGGTCACCGTATTATATGGGAAACTTGTTCTAAAAGTTCACCAAATTCTTCAGTGAAAAACAGTTGACCAACATAGACCAGATTATTGCCCATTCGAATTTCAATGTGAATATGAAGCGATCGACCTCTATACCAACCAGGTACAATGGAAATAAATCGAACTTGTCCCGTCTGGGTTGTTCGTTGGACACCACGTAGCCAACGGGAAGTTAATTGTGGAATTGAATTACCATCGTTAGCCCATTGGACACCAGCTAAATCGTTGAAACCTGAATAATTACCGAAAGAGTTGGCATGCCAAATGTAAACATCAGCACCGGACACTGGTCGACAACTACGGGAATTAGTTACACCGATGATCAAATCCATTCGAGACCCAATTTCGTTTTCACGGATATTGACCCGTCGAAGTGGCTCCGGAATAAAATATGGACCAGAGGTGGTCATTGGCGCTAAGACACATGAATGCTGATATCGGGCTCGACCAACGGCTCGACAATCAGTTACCGTTGAATTGTAAGGTAATTCAGTTCGAGGGGAAACATAATCAGGATCTGATTTAACTAAAATTGGAAACAAAGTTAAAAAAATTTTCACCAAATTATTGACCAACATTTTCAATCTAATTGTTAATTGTTATCTGATTAACCCTCTAGCAAATTTTGGACAATTAGATGGTTAATATTAACCAGAATTGATGAGGAGACAAACAATTAATAACTTTTATACTAAATTGTTGCTCTAGTTTATATCTTCTTAATCTGATTGTTAATTAATTTCTTATGCTTTTCCATCTTGATGACAAAACAAAAACATTGTATCGCAATTTCAATTAGTTAATTGATCAAACCATAAAAATTAAGGAATCACCAGTAATTGTCTAACTATCTATTAGCTTAATTGTTAATCAGTTAATTTTTTAACCTTGACTTATTTAATAAATGGTTATCCTTGATTGTGACAATCAATTTTTTTTTAATTCTTGATTATTGTTATCAAATTGTTTCGTTTAATTGAGCAAAAAGTTTTTAAACATAATCATCATTGTACTTTTTTTTTTTGATCAACTCAATTAGTTAAACTTTGTTCATTGTTTCAGTTTAAAAGGTGATTGATTAATGATTTAGTAATTTAGTTTAAATTAAAAACAATTAAAAGAATTACAATTAAATATTGTAGAGCTAAACTGGCACTTTTTAAGTTGAATGTTGTATACACTAGAAATTGAAGATAATTAAATAATACATCAAATTAAAGGGAAACAATTAATAGATTATGAGAAAAGATCACCAATCAAATATTGACGATTAAATTGTGATGGATTATATAAAGTTATATGACTTTGATTTCGGTTTGTACAGTTGAAAAGGTAAATGTAAGTTGATTAGTTAATGATTTTTTCGTTCAATTAATGTTGATGATTAAACTGATTTATCACTTGAATTATAATTGTCCATCACGAAACCAGCATTAACTTGGTAGGCTGAACTTTTCGGATGTTTCAATGAGCTTTTATATTTCAACCATTCCTCGAAGTGAACTGGATCCCTGGGTCCCCATGTTTTAGTTGGACTGAATGCTTTTCTTATTTTCTAAATATTAATACAATAAAATCATGAAGATGATCAATGAAGATAAATTAGAAATTTTAATTGTTGTTGTAATAAAAGCTAAAGTGGTCTAGTTAATTGAGAGAATGATTCTTACTTGTTTGAAATCCCCTGATTGTTGGTAAATTGTGATCATCATCCAAAGTGGAATTTGCAATAGAGCGAGAAAAGCCAAGGCCCATCCTAGCATTTCGCCCCAAACAGGAATTCCGTTTCTCAGTGGATCAGAATGATGATGAGTAATGGCGGCTTTGTAATTTCCGTAAATGAAGATGGACTAGAATTGGAAAAACGAACAGAAAAACAAACATTAACAAAGTTACAATTTAGATTATTATTGGGAGACTTAATCAAAAGACCAAATTTGAACTAATTCCATGTTTAGACAATGGAACTTAACAAGAACTAAATTGATCGAAAGTAATTGTCTTAATTACCCCGAGTAAAAATGGAGTTAATATTGTCCACGTTATTCGCCAGAACCAACTAACTGGCCTGCCGAGCATGAATTTGATATCATTCGCGAATCTAGAATAACCATAGATCCATGTTATTCCGATCGCTTGAAGGATCCCATAAAGAAAAGCGGTTATTCCAACTCCAAATTCTTCCAAGAGTTTCATGATATACATTCCACCCTGTAAATGGTAAATGAATACATAGAAAATCATCATTAACAATACAGTCAATAGATAGAAAGTTAGTCTACATACATTAGTAGCCAAAGGAAGTCCTAAGATGAAGTAAACAAAACAAACAGTGAACGCAGTCCACGTTTTGTGTTTCATTAAGAAAGGCGATGAATCTTTAAGACATGTTATCGCTGTCTCAACTTGGGCTACACTCGATCCAATACCAAGGGTAAAAAGCATAACAAAAAATGAAACCGACCAAAGATTAGGCCAGAATGTGAACTGTCCCAATGCTTGAGGATACGCGATAAATGCCAATCCAGTTCCTAAGAAACGAGAATAAAACAGAAATTCAAAGTTTAATATAAAATGTAGAAGATAATCCAATGAAAGAGGATGAAGAAGTCATCGATTCATGATAATGGATGAATAATCAGTAGAATCATGATAATATTTACCATCAGATTTTGCAACTTCACTGACAGGAACACCTTGACTTTTAGCCATCGATCCAAGGACAGCGAAGATGACACAACCAGCTAGAATGCTGGTTGCAGTATCCAAGACACTGATGATTATCACATCTCTTCAGAAAGAATAGCAAAAAAGAAGCAAAAAAAAAGAATCAATCATTTGAACATTGCAAGAAAATCATCTCCATGATCAAGAAATAATCTCAAGGAGTCAAAGGTTAAAAAAGTAATAAAGATCTTTCAAGTTAGGGTGAGTTCTCCTTGTAATATGAGCTTTCATACCAAAGGAAAAGCAACAAGAAAAGTCCTTGAAGTGGAAGAGAAAATAAGTTAAGCCCAGATTCTTACGTGTAAACATTTTTACGAAAATCATTGTAACTTGAATACATTAGCAAAGAACCGGCACAAACACCGAGCGAGAAAAAGGATTGAAGAACAGCGTTGTACCAAACCATCGGGTCCCAGAGACGATGCCATTGGGGCTTAAAGAAGTAAATTACTCCATCAACTGCTCCATCAACCATTAAGGAGGCAATTAAAATTGCTATGAGAACCACGTACGGGAAAATGGCCGTGAAATAGGCAACCTGATGATAAATGATATCGATTCTTGTTTTAAAACACAATAGGATTGTAACTTTTATTGAAAACACTTTTAGTGATCTAATTCATCTAATTGTTGCGATTAAACAATCAATCGCTCATGGAGATAATTAATTGATTACCTTTCCCAGAGATTGGATTCCTTTGATTAAACTTAGAAACACCAAAGTCCATGAGAGTAACAGGCAACCTGCGATTCTCCAATTAAACCATGTTATCTCTCCCAGTCCACTTGATAAATGTAATACCTCTTTACTGTTGAATTAATTAGAAAAAAATACAACAATTAATATATGAGATGATTGGAATCAATAAAGAATCAAAGTAAAAGTAACAATTAAAAACTTTTGAACAAAAAGTTAAGTAAAAACTGTTAAAGTCTAAAATTGTTCTCGTTAGATGGCACCACTAGTGGAAGTTAAAGTTTAACAATTAACAAGAAGAAGATGAAATTAATTAATTAACAAATTGAAGAAAATAGTAAATTAACAATTAAAGTTGAAAAATTGATTGTAAGATTTTTCTTGGTTAGTATTCAAATTGATTCTTTTCAATGTAAATATTATGTGTAAACTTAACTGGAAATATTTTTCTGGAAGATGAACCAACGAGCTTTTGATTGATTGTAATTAGTATAATTATTATTACACAATGATGATGACCAGTGGACATTTGGGTCACATATTGTCCAAGGTAAAGGTGATGAAAATGAGGCAAAAAAATAATATAAAGTTAAGGCCATCAAGTAATTGTAAAAAATTGTCACATAAGAGCAACTTGTCATTTGAGCAAATCCAATTCCTGTAACAATTAACAATAAGAAATGGATATAAACCAGACAGATTTTAATTAAATAATAATAACTGTATAAATAAATCATCAATGATCAATATTTGATTGATTACATTTAGATTTTAATTGAGTAAATGTTTGTCAAGAGTAAAGGAAACTTTTACCAATAACTGATTTGTTGATTGATCAAAAAAAAGTTACTCTTATTACAATCAAGCACATCGTTGATTCAATTCAATGTCAACCAATTGTGTTTGATTGTATAAGCTTAATCCATTTAACAGCTTAATTGTAATGATAAAAAAAAGCTTATCCAATTAATCCGGTGAAACAATTAGCTAATTAACTAACCTTTAAAGGCAGGAACAACTTTCCAAACTTTAATTGGTCCACAACCAGAAAATTGACCCAAAACCAATTCCATATAATACAAAGGTCTTCCAATTAGAAACATCAAAATAAGATAGGGAATTAAGAAAGCACCTGTTGGAACAATTAACTAATTGATTAGTTGATATCTGATGATTGTGATGATATTAATTAGTGTGCGATTTGATTAACTAAATGATTTAGTTTGTATTCATTTTACTTCATACTTTTAGCGTTGGTTGGTTGGTTGGATTGTTAAATTGCTCCTTTCATTTTGACTGATTAAGGTAACTTTTAATCACTGATTATCTAATTAACTCTTTAATCACCAGTTAAACTGACAGAACTTCAACAATCAGCACCAATCACGATTAACTTAATTACTATTTGACTTTGTGAACACTTTATTTGTGTTGATTGTTTTTCGTGATAAAGATTAATTTTATGTATCGAAAGTGTAAATTGTTACAATTAGTTCAATGATTTAAGAAACAACAAGAAAATAATTAAATGATTTTTTGAATAAATTAACTAATTTGCTGATTAATATATTAATCGTATACGATTGATTAAACCTGATAAGCTAGAAATTGAATTCATCATGTAAATTTAAATTAATTTCAACTGTAAGTTTATAATTTTTCCATTAATTAACTATTGATCGATGGGATTAACTTGGTGATTAACTGTCATTAAAAAAAAACTTGTAAACAATTAACTTGATTGTTTAATCCAGAAAAAAATTGAATAGTTCGCAAATCTAATTGCTCATTTAAATTGTAGACAAGGTTAATTGGGAATCAATTGTTGTATACTTTGCTGATGTTGCTGATAAATTAAATTGGAAAACAAAACAAATTTAACCATCACCTTGATTTAATCACAATTAAATTGATTGTAGACAAACACTTACCTCCACCATTAGTATAAGCAACATAAGGAAACCTCCAAACGTTTCCTAATCCAACGGAAAGGGAAATACATGATAACAGAAATTCAAATCCTCGACCCCATTGACCTCGTTCAACTTGATCACAATTAGCTACTGATTGTTCACAATTAACTACTTTTAATACCTATGGAGAAAGAGATCAGTTTTCATATTAGATTGGAAGAGATTAATCAGTTAATCAGAGGAAATGGAAAGTATTGATTGTTAAGAAATCAGTAAATTGTTACATTATTTTGTCACAATCGTCTAGAGGTTATCATTGAACTCAATTGTTACCATCAAAGTTAATCACTAAATTGTCATGATAATTATATCAATGAATGTTAGGCCTCATAATCATGTGAATCTTTAATTATGGAGGCGATAACCTCGTAAATTGTTTGGTTAAATAATCATACGATTTGTGAATTAAATTGAATTGTTGACAAAATTTTAAGGGAAATTGTTTCAATTATAAACAATCAATTTAAATCACGATCAAAGTGATTGTTGGGTATGAGAAAGACGAACAATAATTAACTAGTAATTAATTAATTGCTCTTTCCAAATAAAGTATGATTGATTTTCTGGTTATATTGTTGTAAATAGATTAGGATAGCGATTAAGTCAAATCGCTTCTCGATAATATAAATGATTCGAAATTGATTAATTCAAAATAGTAAATTAATCTCAGGGATTATCTAAAGGATTATATTAATAATAGAAACAATTTGGATTAATCTTAAATGAGAATAAGTTTTTAGGATAAAGTTTAAACTCCAGCAAGTGGAAATCAACCAAATACTTTGTAAAGGAGATTCTCAATTTCACTTCCCGACAATATAATTTAATTATCGATTATTGGACTGATTAATTCAAGGTTATCATGATTATCGCTACTGAATATGATGAAGATGATACAATTTGATTTAATTTAGAGGAAGGAAAATATTTTCTGTTCAAATGTCGTAATCAAATCAATGGATCAACTATTAAATTCATTTGTAATCAATTTCTAACCTAAATACTTTAACTTTGCTAACAATTTAGTTAGACGGTGATGAAGATTAACTTGATTATCAAGTTAATCGCTTAATATGATGAAGGTTGTCTTCATAATCTGTATAACAATTAAAATCACCTTGATATTATTAATCAGATTAATCTCAGTGATTTGTAAATTTACTTATTTACCTGAGTAAAAGTTTTAATTGTTACTATTAACTTTAAAAATAATTTGATTACATTCATTAACTTTTACTGTGGTTAATTCATGAGTTAATTTGCTTAATTGTTTATTAATTGTTCAAAGAAATAAACTTCTTATGATTTGATCATTAAACTGGTTTCATTGGGAAATTAAATTATTAGAAAACACAATTAACGTGTCCAACTTTTGTGCAATTGGTTAATTGTTTCACGAGAATCAATTGATTTTGAAAACATGAAAATTGAACAATTTAGATTTTATCATAATAATTAACTAATTGATAACATTATAATTACAATTACAACAATTAAAGATGAGGAAAAAACAACGAGAAAAATATTGACCAATATTTATAAAATGATCTTTAGTTGGAATCAACAATTAAGTTGATTAGTTGATATTCTCCAGTTAATTAACTATCAATACTTTACCAATTAAATTGTTTTCTAATTATATAACTACTTAGAAAGCATTTACTTTTAATTGTTCAATTAAATGAATAAGATAGTTAGATAATAGAAACGGAAATTACAACGGATACAACAATACGATTGTGTTGATTAAGTTGATTAAGTTGATTAACCGTTAATGATAATATCATCTTAATTGTCGTACACACAAACCTTGGCCTAAAATGATTCAAAACATGAGGTTTCCTTCAGCTAATTATACAATGTAACTACAATTAATATTGATTGTTACCTAAAACAATTAACTAACAATAAGCAAACAGTTTGATTGAAATCAACTCATAGATATTGAAAGTTGATTAGACTTTTTTTTGTTGCTGATATTTGATGATAAATTGTTAGATTTCAATGATTTTTAACGTGAACAATTTCACTTAAATTGATACAATTATCTGATTGACAATTTATTTGACTAATTATTGTTGAAAATGTTATATTTATCATGTTAATCAAATCATCTTACCTGATCATTTTGATTGTTGATACATGTCCCATTTTTAGCAGCTTTGTTTCCGCCGTTGGTTTCAATTGTCATTGTGAATAATCAAACAAACTAAATTAAATTGGGGAAAAGTTTTCTATCCAAATTAATCGGTTATCGTATTGTTGTTGACACTTTGGTTGAAAGAAAAAATATCGAAATTAACAAATCAATTCTTATAAATCATAACAATCGTTGTTGTTTGTGTCTTGTTTCAACTCGATGAACGATAAAAAAATACTGAAAGTAGAAACTTGTAACGATATTGAAGATAATGATGATGATGATGATGATGATGATGATCGTTAACAATTGATGATCGGATGATGATGATTAATAAAGTGAGACTGGCGAAGGGGTTGAAGAAAAGATGAAGATTAATGAGAGATTTTTTCTTCTTCAGTAGAAACTTTTTCTCGAAATCGAGAGAGAGAGAGAGAGAGAGAGAGAAATGATAGAAGATGATAAAGATTAAGAATGAAAGAGAAATGATGATAAATTTTATTCTACTATTGAAATAACATGATACACATTATGAACGCTACGAATTATTTGGTTGTAATGATAAAAAGCCAATTGAAGGAAAATTCAGCCTTCGAAAATGTCGAAAAAAAAGAGAGAAAGAGAAAATGAGAGAGATCGAAGGAGGGAAAATAAAATGGGTGTGATGAGTCTTTCTTTCCTTTCTTTCCACGTGACAATTAGTTAATTGTTGTTTCTAAAGTTTTCTTTTATAGAGATTCAATGATTCTGATCAGTTAATTTTTCGATTAAAACTTTTTCCAATTGTTTTTATTCCCTTTTTTTATGATGATCTTTCAATTATCATTCACATCAATTCATAATTCCGATTTGAGTTAATTGCTGACATTATTTACTAAATTCAGTTGGAAATGCTAATATTTACTTGTAGCAATTTATTGTATTAATCAACTAATTAACTAGATATATTCTGAATTTTCTAGAGATCATGATCACTTTGAATCCTTGAAATGAACTTTAATTGGTTACGATCTTAGTTAATTGTATCAAGAAATTAAGTTTTTCCAACAATTTGTAAGATCAATATTTTCTTAATTGTTTATTAACATTTTATTTCTGATTAATTAACAACTAGTTATGATTGAATTACAGAGAGAGAGAGAGAGAGTGAGAACACAAAACTGATTAAGTTAATGATCTTTGGGAAATTAAATGTCTTCAGGTAAAATTTAAATTGCCAAATATCTTGAGGGTAACAAGTTACTAATTGTTTAATTACCCATTGATTAGCCCATTTGCTTAATCACGTTCATTTAATGATAAACTTTTCATCAATTTCATAATTAAAATTGACATAAGGGTTATATTAGATTATTGTTAGGGATCAACTAATTGTTACGAACTTTGTCTTAATTATTATACGAGCAATCGAGCAGAAAAATTAAGACACAAGACAATTAAATTTGGGTCAAATTACGATTCATACTAATTTAAAAGCCTTCAAAAAATTAACTTTAAATGTTTATCATTGATTGTCCTTGACAAAAGTTAATTGAGTAACAATTAAGAGCAAAAAACAAAATCAAATCATCACAATTAATTACACATCGCAATCATTGAATTAGACTATCAAAACCTTGAAGCAATTTAATATACGATTAGAAAGATGAACCTCGAAATGATATTAGTTAATTTAAATAGAAAGAAAAACTTGATTAGTAAAATCAAATAACCATTGGATGATTAGTTAATCATTGTGATTTAAGCGAAACAGTTGATCATCTTAAAGTGATGCAAATTGATTCTTTGGGAACAATTAAATTTCCGGTGTTAAATTGTCATTCTTACTACAAATAAGGTTGTATAATTTTCACTTGACTTTGAAACATTGAAATAAATCATCATCATCGTAGTGATAATTAAGATGAATGTGAAATTAGGTCAATGGTCTTGATAATATAATGACAATGACCCGACCAATTGATGCAATTTAATTCTAATGCTGATAAATTAATAGTAAACAACCAATTAATCAATTCCCACTGTAAATTGAATGATGATAATTTAAATGATGTGGAGTGAAAAAGTTACCCAACGATTTGAATTATAAAAAAAACGAATCAAATTATTGGGTCGATCTCATATTAAGACCAATTAACAGTATTTGTTGGTTGGGTTAATTTATGGTTCCGTCGTTGATTAACATAAATTGTAAACAATAAACAATATCATTGGTTGATTCTTAGATTAAGCAACTTTTAATATTATATAATTAATATTAATATTATATCGTGTGGATAGTTTGTTTGTTTTATAGATTTTGTGCCACCCCTTTCAATATTATCATAGTTATTTTTTCATCTTTTTTTTGTGTCAAATTTGACATAGAAAAGCAAGTTACATGTAATAGATTCTTATGGGGCTTCAGAAGCAAAAAGTATGAGAAGAGATGAAAATGAACGAAAAAAAAATTGCTTGTGTTGTGAGAAAAAGAATCGAAGAGAGAAAAAAGAAAAGAGAAACGAGAGACCTGAAGTAGGAGGAGAGAGAGAGAGAGAGAGAGAGAGAGAGAGAGAGAGAGAGAGAGAGAGAGAGAGAGAGAAGAATTTAGAAAAGAAAAGACAAAGTGAAGTAGAGAAGAAAAAAGAGAGAAAGCAAAAAGAAAGAGAAAAAGAAAGAAAGAAAGAAAGAGAAAGGGAGAGAGAGAGAGAGAAAATATGAGGTTTGTGAGGTTTTTCTCAATTTAAATAAGGTGAATGATATGGATGGTGATTCGCCTTTAGCTTTACGTTGAATAATATTCATCGTATTTAGGCAAATATTAATAGAAAAAAGAGAAAGAGAGAGGGAGAGGGAGAAAAGGAGATACATTGAGATTAATTCATGCAAATGTACAGGTGAGAATCATGTCTTGATCTGTTGAGAGACATAAAGACAAAAAAGCAGAGAAAGTTAGAGAGCTGAAGTGAGCTGAAGGTTCCTTAATCATGGTGAGACTTCAGAAGCAATTATTGGCTTGGGTGTGGTAAAACAGGCCATGTTTAGTCCAGGATGTGCTTGTCGATGGTGAACTTTCAACTGTTTACGATTAGGTAGCTCGATATTACAATGGAGGCACTTGACATAGAATCGCACTCCTGTTGATATTCCTGATAAATTGCCTTCATCATTTATCGGCACATCATTTGTGAGATCAATTGTATTGTTTTTCATCAAATTAGCATTCATGTTTGTTAAATTACTTAAATTGTTCAAGTTCATCATCATGTTCATCATTAAACTACTTGCACTGTTAATATTAAGATTACTATTACTTAAATGTTGATTGTGTTGTTGTTGTTGTTGTTGTTGTAGTTGTTGTTGAAGATGGTGCTGAAGTTGCTGTTGTTGGTGTTGTTGCAGTTGTTGTTGTTGTTGCTGCTGCTGTTGATTATGATGGTGATGATGTTGATTGTGCTGATTACTGTTTCTGTTATTATTTTTGTTGTTTGTAGTTGACAATGCTGAAGATGAAGATGATGAGGACGTATTGTTGGTTAAGGTATTGGTGTGATGTTGATGATGAGAATGAGGAGTCGGATGTTGGCGTTGATTTTGTTGATGTTGGTGATGAAGTTGATGATTCTGAATATTTTTATGATTCATGACATTTCCATTGTTATTGTTACTTTTCATTGATAAATTCATAACAGAACTCATGTTATTATGAGGATTTTGCCGATATTGATTCTGATGCAAGTTTTGCTGCTGATTCTGGTGGTGGTGATTATATGAATTTCTGTTGATATTCATGTTACTATTATTATTGTTGGTGTTGTTACTATTACTACTACTAGTACTAGTACTGGTACTGGTATTGTGACTAGTACTGTTACCATGTAAAGAATAGTTATTTTTACTTAGATTACTATTGCCTGGATTACTTAAACTACTTTTCAAGTTGTTTCTCTGTTGAATCGCTTTAATCGAAAGAGGACTTGGAAGATTGACAACTCGACCTCCTTCAACTCGAACATGGTTAACATTATTCTAGAATAAAAAAGAGAGTAACAGAAAGAAAGAGAAATTGTTAGCAAGTTAGTTGAAGAAAGTAAGAATAAGAGAGATAAGAAAGAAGAGGAAGAAGAGAAAGAAGAGGAAGAAAAGAAAAAACTAAGAGAGAAAAGAATATCGATAATAATAATAACATGATAGTACCTTGAAAGGAACGAGAAAATTGTTATTCCTTTGAGAACTATGGGAATTTTCGTGATTCAATAATAATCCAAAGCCGTTCGCTTGTGGTGGATATTGCAATTGATGTTGATGTTGGTAAAGTCTCGCCGCGTTCATTTGTTGCTGCAATTTTAATCTTTCCATTTTTATCTGTTCTATTTTATATATTCGCCATTTCTTTTCCAGGAGACGACGTTTTTGCACTGATTCCGCAATAAAACGCTCCAACTTTGCAATCGTAAGGGTCTTTGGAAAGGCTCGACTTAGTTGATATAATGTAGCATCACGCACATAATGATTTTCACGAACATGCTTCAGGGCAGCAGAGTCAAGGTTAGGTAAACGAGTACTGTGACCCAGTTTCTTGCAAAATGTACACTCGTATGCATTGTAGGCCAAATGTTGATGGATGTGTTCAGCAAAGGAAACATCATTATGACTGTTACAGGGTGTGCTCGCAGAGGCGACTAGACTTCTCCGAGGCAACGATTTCTCACAAACAGGGCAACAAGTTGCACAGGAACAGTTGAGGCTCAATCTACTTGATGATACCGGTGTTATCTGAGATTCCAGGAATTCATCCACCCATCGTTCAATATTCTGATCTTCACGGATCTCGTACATTAGATCAGTTGCCTCCCGATGTTTCTCTTGGTGATGCACAGTAAATGCATCAGTATCGGGAAACTTGTTGTCACAAAGAAGACACAAAACTGGTTTGTACTCCAAATGTTCACCGAAGTGTGGATAGGCGTCTAGTTTACAAGGGAATTTGGCATTACAAAAAAGGCAAAAATATTCTTCTGAGTGTCGACGTTTATTGGACGTTCTTCCAGATTCAATGTATTCCGCGTGAGAAGGTGAAACAGAGATTATCATGGAATTGCTGTCTATCGGTTCTTCCGAACAAACTAAAGATTGATCTTCAATATCTTCCTCGTCATCCAATACAATAACTCCATTGTCATTAATTGAGTTGTTCATGTTGTTGTTGTTGTTGTTGTTGTTATCATCATTATTATTATTATGGTGATTATTATTATTGGAGCTGGAGGTAGATGTCATGTTGGTGTTGGTGTTGGTATGAGATAAAGTTGAGGTGGTATTTGTATTTGTATTGATGTTTGTGTTTGTGTTTGTATTTGTGTTTGTGTTTTTATTTGTATTTGTGAGAATGGAGGGTAAAGTTTCCGTTGGTGGTGAAGGTAAAGCATAATTATGACGATTAATTGTTGTTATATTGTTACTATTACAACTCATTGCAATTCCATTTCCATTGACATTTGGCGAACCAACCATTTCTCGAATCAACTTCTTTGTTGGACGTCTTTCATATTCCATTGTTATTCCAAATTTAGACAAGTAATTGGCAATAAAATCATCTAATTTAGAGATGGATATTGTTTTCTGGAAAATCATCCACCGAGAATCAGTATCATCAATCTCTGGGTGTTTCAATTTAATATGATTGTTTGCTTTGCTCTCGAAATAAGCCACAGAATATTCTTTACCTTCCTCCTTACAACGTACACACTCATACGGTAAATAACAAAGGTGACGATGGATATGATCAATTTTACGACTAAATGAACTTTTCCTTGGTCGCGCAGATTCAATCTGACTCCCTGAGAATATTTTCTCACACACTGGACAATGATCTCGAGGTGGTAAGGCTCGGGTAATTGTTGCTTGCGCATAAAGAAATCCATTTATCCATTTATCAATAATTGGCTGTTCTCTTCTCTTGTAACGTCCTTTCTTTGCTTCAGGATGTGATTCTTTGTGATGCCTCACAAACTCTTGCATATCAGTAGCACCCTCACCACACAAGGAACACATCATAGAATAATAGTTGACATGCTTCTGGTAATGACGACGAGCCTCATCTCGATCTTTAAATGTTTCCGGGCAGAAAATACAAAAATATCCAACATTCAATAGCTGCTGTGGAATATACCAAGAGAAAAAAACACAATTAATATCAACATACAATCAAATACAATCAATAAGAATCAATTAGAATCATTCAGACAATAATTTAAACTGAGACAAAAGAGAAAATAAAAACACATACCGAATCGTCTTCACCAGTGAAATCAACCTCGGCCATTTCTTCTTCATCAAATATATTAGCAAATTGTTCCTCGAAAGTAACTTGATTAGATTGGAATATACCATTTTCTGATTTCATCGAATTGTTGTTGTTGTTGTTATGATTGTTGTTGTTTAGATTCGAATTGATAAAATTTCCTACTAATTTTGGCTCACGTTTTGAGCAACTAGCTTCTATTGGTGGTGTAATATTATCCAAGTAGTTGTGATCATTACTAAAAGGCTCATTTTCATTAGCATTTCTTTCTTCATTAGCATCTTCATGGTTTCTTATCGTCTCAATGTTATCCTCGGCATCATTGTCGTTGTTTTCGCTTAGTATAATATCATCGGCATTTGTAATCGTATCGGTCATTGTATTTAAAGTCTCTAAATCACCGATAATACAATTTGAATCTATTTCATTTATACTGTCGACAATATCACCAATAGGATTGTCCATATCTTCATCTTCTTCTTCTTCTTCTTCTTCTTCCTCTTCTTCCTTCAGAGTACTTTCACAAACCATTGGTTCAATGTTGTCGTCAATGTGGTCAATGTGGTCAACGTGTTGATCGTTCATAATGATTATATCATTATCTATGATACAATCGCCATCATCGATATCCTCACCATCTTGGACATCATCTTCAACATCTTCAACTTCATCTACTTCATCATAATCTTTATCATCTTCATCACCATCACCATCACCATCGTCATCATCATCATTGTCATTGTTATTATTAACATCAGCTAAATCTTCAACATTATCACTTTCAACTTCATTGTTATTGTTGTTGTTGTTGTTGTCAAATGTAGTAGTCGAAATCATCAGGCTGTTGTTATTTTCATCATTCATATTGATTCCATTTTTATCAAATTCATCAAATTCTAGAATCTGAGACTCATCCATTTTCCTAGAGGACAAAATATACACAAGAAGCACAAGAACAAAAAGAACAGATAAAAAGAAGAAGAAGAAAATGAAACCAAAGGAAAGGAACAAAACACAATTAAAGTAGACACATTGGTTTTACTCTATTAGAGTTCTGGTTGTGGTACTGGTGCTGTGGTCATGGTGAGTGTAAGTGTAAGTGTGAGTATGAGTGTGGTGGTGGTGGAAGATGAAGACAAGAGAATTAATAAAATGGAAGAGGAAAAGAGAAGAAAAGGCAAAGGCACATCACAGAGTAAAAGAAAAAATAGAGAAGAAAAACAGAAGAAAAACAGAGAGAAGAGAAAAAGAGAAAAAGAGAAGAGGCAAAAATATAAGAGAAAAAACAAAACCAAATGGTAACCGAAAATTAGTGAAGGTTACAAAAAGGATAAGTTTATTTCGGATTAAAATTCATTCACTTACCGATTAATATTCCAATTATTCTTATCATGAAATGAACAATATTTATTGTTCACCAGAAGTCACAATAAAATATAAAATTGAGAATAAATGAGAAACAGGGATATCAACAGAGAGAAAGAGAAAGAGAGAGAGCACAAGGGAAGAAACCGAAGCGGAGACAGCGAATGAGTGAGAAAAAGAAAGAGAGTCTTTGGGAAAAGAGAGAAAGAGGAAAATAGAAAGTGAAGTGAAAAAGAGAGAGAAAAAGTAAGAGAATAAAGAAAATTTAAATCTACACCAATAGTGACCGAAAAGTAAACAGTTTGACTGAAGGAGATTAACTCAGTCAACTGAAGATTAGTTGGTGATCATTGACAATCTACTTTCACTCAGGTCATCATATGGATAAACCTTTGACATGGTAATGGAAAAGAAAGAGAAGAGAAAAAGAAAAAGAGAGATGAAGATGAAATGAAGACAGAAAAAGGAAAAAGACAAGACGGCTTGATAACAAGAGAGGGAAGAATAAAGCAGCTAGATCATGATGGAAGATAGAGAGAGAAAGAGAGGGAGGTAGAGAGAGAAGAGAAAAAAAATCGATATTAAAACTGGACAAAGAAAGAGGAGAAAGAGAAATGAGGAGAGTGGAAAAGATGAAAAAGGTTAATTCTTAACAAGAATATATTGATTTTCTTTCTTTACTCTCTCGTATTCACTTGTTCTTCTTCTTCTTCGCTGTACATTACACACTTAAAGTCCGAATTACACGAGTGACAGAAAATGTTCATTTCATGATAAGAATAATTGGAATATTAATCGGTAAGTGAATGAATTTTAATCCGAAATAAACTTATCCTTTTTGTAACCTTCACTAATTTTCGGTTACCATTTGGTTTTGTTTTTTCTCTTATATTTTTGCCTCTTCTCTTTTTTTCTCTTTTTCTCTTCTCTCTGTTTTTCTTCTGTTTTTCTTCTCTATTTTTTCTTTTACTCTGTGATGTGCCTTTGCCTTTTCTTTTCTTTTCCTCTTCCATTTTATTAATTCTCTTGTCTTCATCTTCCACCACCACCACACTCATACTCACACTTACACTTACACTTACACTTACACTCACCATGACCACAGCACCAGTACCACAACCAGAACTCTAATAGAGTAAAACCAATGTGTCTACTTTAATTGTGTTTTGTTCCTTTCCTTTGGTTTCATTTTCTTCTTCTTCTTTTTATCTGTTCTTTTTGTTCTTGTGCTTCTTGTGTATATTTTGTCCTCTAGGAAAATGGATGAGTCTCAGATTCTAGAATTTGATGAATTTGATAAAAATGGAATCAATATGAATGATGAAAATAACAACAGCCTGATGATTTCGACTACTACATTTGACAACAACAATAACAACAATAACAATAACAATGAAGTTGAAAGTGATAATGTTGAAGATTTAGCTGATGTTAATAATAACAATGACAATGATGATGATGATGACGATGGTGATGGTGATGGTGATGAAGATGATAAAGATTATGATGAAGTAGATGAAGTTGAAGATGTTGAAGATGATGTCCAAGATGGTGAGGATATCGATGATGGCGATTGTATCATAGATAATGATATAATCATTATGAACGATCAACACGTTGACCACATTGACCACATTGACGACAACATTGAACCAATGGTTTGTGAAAGTACTCTGAAGGAAGAAGAGGAAGAGGAAGAAGAAGAAGAAGAAGAAGATGAAGATATGGACAATCCTATTGGTGATATTGTCGACAGTATAAATGAAATAGATTCAAATTGTATTATCGGTGATTTAGAGACTTTAAATACAATGACCGATACGATTACAAATGCCGATGATATTATACTAAGCGAAAACAACGACAATGATGCCGAGGATAACATTGAGACGATAAGAAACCATGAAGATGCTAATGAAGAAAGAAATGCTAATGAAAATGAGCCTTTTAGTAATGATCACAACTACTTGGATAATATTACACCACCAATAGAAGCTAGTTGCTCAAAACGTGAGCCAAAATTAGTAGGAAATTTTATCAATTCGAATCTAAACAACAACAATCATAACAACAACAACAACAATTCGATGAAATCAGAAAATGGTATATTCCAATCTAATCAAGTTACTTTCGAGGAACAATTTGCTAATATATTTGATGAAGAGGAAATGGCCGAGGTTGATTTCACTGGTGAAGACGATTCGGTAAGTGTTTTTATTTTCTCTTTTGTCTCAGTTTAGATTATTGTCTGAATGATTGTATTTTGATATTAATTGTGTTTTTTTCTCTTGGTTTATTCCACAGCAGCTATTGAATGTTGGATATTTTTGTATTTTCTGCCCGGAAACATTTAAAGATCGAGATGAGGCTCGTCGTCATTACCAGAAGCATGTCAACTATTATTCTATGATGTGTTCCTTGTGTGGTGAGGGTGCTACTGATATGCAAGAGTTTGTGAGGCATCACAAAGAATCACATCCTGAAGCAAAGAAAGGACGTTACAAGAGAAGAGAACAGCCAATTATTGATAAATGGATAAATGGATTTCTTTATGCGCAAGCAACAATTACCCGAGCCTTACCACCTCGAGATCATTGTCCAGTGTGTGAGAAAATATTCTCAGGGAGTCAGATTGAATCTGCGCGACCAAGGAAAAGTTCATTTAGTCGTAAAATTGATCATATCCATCGTCACCTTTGTTATTTACCGTATGAGTGTGTACGTTGTAAGGAGGAAGGTAAAGAATATTCTGTGGCTTATTTCGAGAGCAAAGCAAACAATCATATTAAATTGAAACACCCAGAGATTGATGATACTGATTCTCGGTGGATGATTTTCCAGAAAACAATATCCATCTCTAAATTAGATGATTTTATTGCCAATTACTTGTCTAAATTTGGAATAACAATGGAATATGAAAGACGTCCAACAAAGAAGTTGATTCGAGAAATGGTTGGTTCGCCAAATGTCAATGGAAATGGAATTGCAATGAGTTGTAATAGTAACAATATAACAACAATTAATCGTCATAATTATGCTTTACCTTCACCACCAACGGAAACTTTACCCTCCATTCTCACAAATACAAATAAAAACACAAATACAAACACAAACACAAACACAAACACAAACATCAATACAAATACAAATACCACCTCAACTTTATCTCATACCAACACCAACACCAACATGACATCTACCTCCAGCTCCAATAATAATAATCACCATAATAATAATAATGATGATAACAACAACAACAACAACAACAACAACAACAACAACAACATGAACAACTCAATTAATGACAATGGAGTTATTGTATTGGATGACGAGGAAGATATTGAAGATCAATCTTTAGTTTGTTCGGAAGAACCGATAGACAGCAATTCCATGATAATCTCTGTTTCACCTTCTCATGCGGAATACATTGAATCTGGAAGAACGTCCAATAAACGTCGACACTCAGAAGAATATTTTTGCCTTTTTTGTAATGCCAAATTCCCTTGTAAACTAGACGCCTATCCACACTTCGGTGAACATTTGGAGTACAAACCAGTTTTGTGTCTTCTTTGTGACAACAAGTTTCCCGATACTGATGCATTTACTGTGCATCACCAAGAGAAACATCGAGGCAACTGATCTAATGTACGAGATCCGTGAAGATCAGAATATTGAACGATGGGTGGATGAATTCCTGGAATCTCAGATAACACCGGTATCATCAAGTAGATTGAGTCTCAACTGTTCCTGTGCAACTTGTTGCCCTGTTTGTGAGAAATCGTTGCCTCGGAGAAGTCTAGTCGCCTCTGCGAGCACACCCTGTAACAGTCATAATGATGTTTCCTTTGCTGAACACATCCATCAACATTTGGCCTACAATGCATACGAGTGTACATTTTGCAAGAAACTGGGTCACAGTACTCGTTTACCTAACCTTGACTCTGCTGCCCTGAAGCATGTTCGTGAAAATCATTATGTGCGTGATGCTACATTATATCAACTAAGTCGAGCCTTTCCAAAGACCCTTACGATTGCAAAGTTGGAGCGTTTTATTGCGGAATCAGTGCAAAAACGTCGTCTCCTGGAAAAGAAATGGCGAATATATAAAATAGAACAGATAAAAATGGAAAGATTAAAATTGCAGCAACAAATGAACGCGGCGAGACTTTACCAACATCAACATCAATTGCAATATCCACCACAAGCGAATGGCTTTGGATTATTATTGAATCACGAAAATTCCCATAGTTCTCAAAGGAATAACAATTTTCTCGTTCCTTTCAAGGTACTATCATGTTATTATTATTATCGATATTCTCTTCTTTCTTAGGTTTTTCTTTTCTTCCTCATCTTCCTTTTCTTCCTCTTCTTTCTTATCTCTTACTCTTACTTTCTTCAACTAACTTGCTAACAATTTCTCTTTCTTTCTGTTACTCTCTTTTTTATTCTAGAATAATGTTAACCATGTTCGAGTTGAAGGAGGTCGAGTTGTCAATCTTCCAAGTCCTCTTTCGATTAAAGCGATTCAACAGAGAAACAACTTGAAAAGTAGTTTAAGTAATCCAGGCAATAGTAATCTAAGTAAAAATAACTATTCTTTACATGGTAACAGTACTAGTCACAATACCAGTACCAGTACCAGTACTAGTACTAGTAGTAGTAATAGTAACAACATCAGCAACAATAACAACAACAACACTAACACCAACAATATCAACAGAAATTCATATAATCACCACCACCAGAATCAGCAGCAAAACTTGCACCAGAATCAATATCGGCAAAATCCACATAATAACATGAGTTCTGTTATGAATTTATCAATGAAAAGTAACAATAACAATGGAAATGTCATGAATCATAAAAATATTCAGAATCATCAACTTCATCACCAACATCAACAAAATCAACGCCAACATCCGACTCCTCATTCTCATCATCAACATCACACCAATACCTTAACCAACAATACGTCCTCATCATCTTCATCTTCAGCATTGTCAACTACAAACAACAAAAATAATAACAGAAACAGTAATCAGCACAATCAACATCATCACCATCATAATCAACAGCAGCAGCAACAACAACAACAACTGCAACAACATCACCAACAGCAACTTCAGCACCATCTTCAACAACAACTACAACAACAACAACAACAACAACAACAACACAATCAACATTTAAGTAACAGTAATCTTAATATTAACAGTGCAAGTAGTTTAATGATGAACATGATGATGAACTTGAACAATTTAAGTAATTTAACAAACATGAATGCTAATTTGATGAAAAACAATACAATTGATCTCACAAATGATGTGCCGATAAATGATGAAGGCAATTTATCAGGAATATCAACAGGAGTGCGATTCTATGTCAAGTGCCTCCATTGTAATATCGAGCTACCTAATCGTAAACAGTTGAAAGTTCACCATCGACAAGCACATCCTGGACTAAACATGGCCTGTTTTACCACACCCAAGCCAATAATTGCTTCTGAAGTCTCACCATGATTAAGGAACCTTCAGCTCACTTCAGCTCTCTAACTTTCTCTGCTTTTTTGTCTTTATGTCTCTCAACAGATCAAGACATGATTCTCACCTGTACATTTGCATGAATTAATCTCAATGTATCTCCTTTCTCTCTCTCTCTCTCCTCTCCCTCTCTCTTTCTCCCTTTTTTCTATTAATATTTGCCTAAATACGATGAATATTATTCAACGTAAAGCTAAAGGCGAATCACCATCCATATCATTCACCTTATTTAAATTGAGAAAAACCTCACAAACCTCATATTTTCTCTCTTTCTCTTCCTTTCTTTCTTTCTTTTTCTCTTTCTTTTTGCTTTCTCTCTTTTTTCTTCTCTACTTCACTTTGTCTTTTCTTTTCTACATTCTTTTCTCTCTCTCTCTCCTCCTACTTCAGGTCTCTCGTTTCTGTTTTCTTTTTTCTCTCTCTTCGATTCTTTTTCTCACAACAAGCAATTTTTTTTTCGTTCATTTTCATCTCTTCTCATACTTTTTGCTTCTGAAGCCCCATAAGAATCTATTACATGTAACTTGCTTTTCTATGTCAAATTTGACACAAAAAAAAAGATGAAAAAATAACTATGATAATATTGAAAGGGGTGGCACAAAATCTATAAAACAAACAAACTATCCACACGATATAATATTAATATTAATTATATAATATTAAAAGTTGCTTAATCTAAGAATCAACCAATGATATTGTTTATTGTTTACAATTTATGTTAATCAACGTCCAAAAACTTTACCATGATTAACTTACCACTAATCGTTTTCTAAATTTTATTAATAATAATCGAAATTCAATCCAATCCGTGAAAACAAATATCGTTTCGAGCTTTTCTTACAAAAAAATGATCTTATTATTTATAAATATTCTCATTTGAAATTCGTATTCAATTGAATAGAATCAAATTGCGTTTCGAGTTGATATGGATTCTTTTTCATTCTAAATCATTCAACTCTTTCAATATATTGATCGATGATAAAATCCAATTTGAATATAAAGTGAATCAAATAGTATTGAGGATCTAAACGATGTTGCAATTATTTCTAATCAATCGAGATTATAGATAATTTAATCTCTCAATCGATTAATAATCATCGAGGTTCAAGTTACCTTCATTTCTTTAATCTTCAGATGATTGAAGATGATCTTGATTATTTTCGTCTTCATTAAAAGTTGATTGTTCTTGTTTCCATCACATGTTCATGATACCTTTTCATTACGCAGACCCAATGGTCCACTAATGTGTCGATTGTAAAATGAGCATCGATCCTTCAATGGGGAATCATTTCAATCAGATCAATATTCATGTTCACGCATGAGAAAAGTTGATTTTTGCGAAATTTTCAATAAATATTACATAACATGCGATCGATTCTAGAACATTTAAAAGGAATTCATGTTTTGATATAAAGCAAAATAAATCAGAATCTGAACACTGAAACAACGGGAGAAATAGATAAGATCAATTGAATCGACTAATTTGTAAATTCGCTAATTTAACTTTACTTTAATTGTGATTGATGAATAAACTTTGATTAGATCAGTTTTCGTGGAATAATTGTAAAATTATCTAACTTTATTTTCCTTATATTTGGATGTGTCCAATACTCCCTAATGACCTTGACCGTATGAACTTTACCTTGGACTGTAAGTGATAAAGTCAATTAATCGTTTGATAGTTAAAAATATTTTTCGTTTCAAAATTTCATCGATTAACTAAATTTTCTCACAAGATGGAGTCACACTAAAGAATCAAGCTTGATAATTAGTTACCATCTAGTGACTTTAATTGTAACTTTTTTGTCGTTAGAACTAAATTGTATTTCGATAATTAATTTCAATTTTCTATTCTCAAGATAATGTCATTCAATTGCTAATCGATTAGCCAAAGTGAAACAAAGAAACAACTCTAAATTATAATGATGACACTTTGAAGAACCTATTGATCTTGATACTGTTTAAATTGCGAGAAATTGTTTATCTCAATCAAAATCATTTTGATCGACAATCAATATTCAGACTATTTAATCACTTTGATAAGCGACGATTATCAAGTCAATTATCAAGAAAAAAGAGTTATTATCCAAGTGATAGATTTTTCCATGTTTTTTATCCCATCGAAAGCGAAATTATCTCAATTGTATTACAATTTGTATCTCTTGATTATCTAGGTTACAATTTTCACTCTAATCAGAATAAAAATAAAGTTCAAAGCCCAGAATTAGATGATTACAAGAGATGAAAATACTTTATCAATGAATCTATTGGAAGACACACCCAACTACTATTGGTAAAGTTCAATGAGGTTTTTTCATTGCTTACCCAACATCTAATGACAATCAACTAACAATTTATAAATAAATCATTATTCCTGGGACCTGCAAGATTATAAATATAATAGATGTTGATAATAATTGAATTGGCAATTTATTATTATACTTGACAAGTTGTTGAACAAGTTAAATCACTGGAAATCAAAGAAAAGTAATCAAATAAATTAGATTTAAAGAGATAAAAGTGATTAACTAATCCCGAGAAAATCTAAAGATTGGATAACTTTTCTTTTCTCATAATTAGATTACCTATGATTAGATAATTGGCTTGGATTTGAAGGAAAATTATGCAATGGTGATGATTAGATTGTTAACAGAAAAGTGTTAAACAATTAAGAGTGTATATGAATCTCATTAGAAACTGGTTGAAAGTATTAACTGTAATCAAATATTGAAAGTAAATTGGATTGGGATAGAAATATGATTTAACCTCCTTGTCGATTAATGATTAAGGCTTCATCCTGTATAATCCAATGTTAACACGCAATATTATTCAATGGATTTGGTTGTATATTATATTTATATTAACATTACAGTTATTTTTTTTCTGTATATTTACATCATGAATCAATTTTGTTTATCCTTGAATTTTCAAAATGAATGATTATCGAGATTTTTGTCGAAATTGTTATTTGTTTTGTAATCCAATTGTATTTGCATTAATTATGTTAATTCATCATTACAACTACAACAGCAAACAAATCAACTTTGGAATAGATTGATTATCACAATAAATTAACAGAGTAATTTTCCAATTACAGTTCTGTCTTTGAGTTTTTTTTTTGAATTGTCAGTCAGGTATTGGTTGTTGAACGTTGTTGTTGTTGTTGCAATGATGATTTTTTGGTGTTTTTTTGATGAATAAATTATTTGCTTTGAAAAGAGAGAGTTAAAACCGTGCAATCAATCAATAATTGGAGTAGATAAAAATTAATTGTGCGTGTATAGTTTGGAAACATTGGATAACCATATTAAATCTGAACAAGTTGCAAGGTGCATATGAACAGCTCCAATTACAGCAAAAACGTGAAGTAGATTGTGACTATTGAAAAAGAAATCAAAATAACCCGGATACCAACGCTCAGGTATTCGAGCCGCCGATATCAAGGCTCCGATGATAGGCCAAATTTCTTGCATAATGGTATGAATCAAGGGCTGTATAAGAAAGAAATTAAGAAACAAAGAAACAAAGAAAGGTAAAGGAACGAAGACGAATAAAAAAAGAAAAGAAAAACAAGAAAAACGAGTTAGATACTAGGATTATCATGGAATAAAATTTGTAACTTGTTCAGCAGAGAATGAGTAAAATCAATGAGCTAATCATCTTACACTGGCTTGTCCTCTTTCAATGGCATTTAGGCGGAGTACGAAGGCCAAAACTCTCATGGCTACCAAAATGGCGAAACCAAATCTCCTCTTCCAAACACTACTTGCTATTAGAGTATGTTGAAGAGCTCTAATTGCTATAAGAGAATAAAGGAAAATGAAACTAAATTGCAACCAAAATGGATAAAGAATAAGACTGGTGTATATGGTTGTTGATGCACCCAGACTCTGAGTAATCCAGATTCCAATGACATCCCATTTGAGCAGTTTTTGATACAAATCAACTCCCGAATGATGATTCATAAAAGTATGATAGACACAACTACCAAGCCAAGGAGCAACACAACCAGTAATGTGTAAATATGCTAATAGATGATAATTGATCAGATCCCATGGAATATGTCGCGGCATGAAGAGTAGAAAATAAAAGAATGGTGCACCTAAAAGGAAATAGAGAGAGAGAGAGAGAAAAAAAATAAATGAAAAGAATAAAGAAAGGATAATTTACATATTCGTAAGGGTATTCGAACTATGGGAAGGAAAATAGAACGAATAATAAGTAAAGAGAAATAATTATCATTTGCTAGTTGATTATCATGAGAGATCGATATTGTTTAATAAGTAACGGATAAGGTTGATTGAGCTAATTGTTTTTCTCATGAATGTTAAATGGAAAAACATGGATGAAAAGGAAAAGATTTGCCTTGTATTGAGATGCGAATTTGAAGAGAATTAATAATAGAATAGAATAGAATAGAAAATAATTCTTACCATGAGTGAGTATATTAACAGTTTCATTGTGAAGGTAAAAAAGTGAATAAATAGATTGCCAAAAGGACAATTTGCAACAACGATAACCATTGGTAACAAATGGATTAAATTGTAAATAATCGGGAATCTCGGTGATCTTATACAATTTAGGTATTTTCCATTCTCTTATTGTGATCTTCCATTGTTTAATTGTTAACGATGTACACTGAGCCAAAAGGTGTTTATTTTGGACGTGAGATTTAACAGATAAAGACATGAAAATATCATCAAACAAATAATTAAACCTCCAATTTTCACACTTTTGCTAAAATTATTATAATTCCAACGAAAAAAAAAACGAAATTTACAACATTCAAAAAGATAAACTTGAAAATAACAATAAATTAATAAAGAAAGAAAATAAAATTAAAATTCTATTCCAATGAAAATCCTAATCAACACTAAATTTGTTTTCTCTTCTTCTCCTCAAGTAACAATTTAATTCTGTCGTGAGAATAGCCTTTTGGTAACCATGGAAACGATTCTAACCCTTTACGTGTAAATAGCTCACAAGTAGTGGATTTAGATATGTGATCCTTTGGTGATTCTCTTGATTGTTGTCAGAGTCTCTAATGATTTTCTTGATTGATTGAAAATTAATTAAATTTAAATTTAATCATAATCAATTCATAATAGGTGATTTATTAGAATTTTAGAATTTACTAAATTGTAACTAATTTCTTAACATTGAAGAATCAAAATGTCATCAAAAGATGTTTAATGTCGAAAATTAAATTGGACAAATATCGAAAATCGAAACTCGACATTTGATGTTTAAGGTGATCTAAATAACAAATTTCAATGGCTATTAGATATCTGAAAACTGCTAAATATTACGATAATCACAATTGAACTTAAATATTGACTGATTAATTCATCTTAATCAGTAAAATGCAATTCAGTGATATATTTAGATTCAATTTCTATTATTATTTTATTAAACGTTCGACAATTTGTCGATTTGTCATTTTGATACTTTGACTTGAACTTTCAACTCAAATGTTTGTTATATATTCTGAATTTGAAATTGTTCAGGATCTGTTCTTGTTATGACATATACTTACTGACCTGTGATGATTTAGACGATTCATTCGATTATCGAAAATTTTCGATTAATCGAATCTCAAATTTTATTAATAATCATAATTGTTTTCTCAGATGTGAATCAATTAAAATGAAATGATCGGATAAATCTAGATGAGACATCTATAAATAACAAGGTCGATTATCTAATAAGTGGAACTTTGAATCGAACGACAATCTAAATTAGTTGATTGTTCAAGATTATTAGTGATCTTTATTCTGACGTGAAATCTTATCAGAAACTAAATCATCATTATTACTATGTATGTCAATCATAATGATTTTTTGAATCTCATGATAAAAGTACTCAAATTGAACAATGGATCATTGAATATTCAACTTGGACTATGATCATTTAGTCAATTTTGTACAATATATGTTTAACTTTGTAACATTCAACATTTAAAAATAATCCATTTGATTCTATTGATATTGATTATTATTTCTTTAATTATCATTTGAATTAAATTTAATTCTAGACCATTCAAGCCGAAAATGTCTTGAGATATCTTATTTGATGATTCTCTTGATTGTTGTTCAATATTTTCTTTGTTTCAATTAATTGTGAGTCTATTTTTTATTTATATAGAATTTGGAATTTGAAATTTAACTTGAACCTGACCTGGAATAGTTCGAACACTGAATCCTTGGTGTTTAAAGTGAAAAGGTATCGAAAGCTAATCCAAAGTATCTAAATACTTTTTCTTTTCATCCATTGAAACGGATCTTTTGATTTTCTAATTTTTTTTTTCTTTCTTCATTTAATCTCCTGTTTGTTTGTTTGTTATTAGAATTTCTGTTTAGTGGATTACTTTCGGTGTCATCTTATTGGTTTGGTGAATTCAATTAATATCCATCATGAGTGATCAGGTTAAACCATTTAAACTGCGAAAGGTTCTTCAAACTAATCAGCTTGATGTACGTTCGGTTGCTAAATATTGTGATGGATTTGTTTGTGGCTCTCGAGATAGAATATCTAAATTATTTGTCTCCGAAAAGTAAGTAAATTACTTTCTATACATTTGATTACAATTGTTCTACTGTCTTGTTTTTGTCTGTTGACACTTTTTTCATTTGTTATCCTTTTGCCAACTACACTGGAGAAAGTCAGTCAATTTATTTGAATGTGTTACCTTTTGTTTCTGTTACAGAACTGGAAATGGTTTCACTGAAGCTCAAAATTTCACTGGACCTCAACACTATGTTTCTAGTGTTACAGTAATGACAATTAACAATGAACATATTATCTATGTCGGAAGTAATGATGCATGTATTTATGCTTATGACCTTAAAAGTGCTCAACCAAATTCAATTCTTATTGGACATTCAGGCACAGGTGAGGAAATGGCTTATAAATATAGCAATTAAGCTCTTAAGTTTAATGACTTGTAATTATTTCCTTTTGAAAATTATCTCTATTCTCTACAGTTTGCTCTCTTTATGGTGACTCTGAGAATCAATTGTTAATGAGTGGATCTTGGGATCAAGAAGCTCACATATGGCGAGCCAATGTTTCAGAAAAAAAGTTGAAAGGTCACTCAGGATCTGTTTGGGCTGTTTGCTCTTTAGGTCAAGTTTTCCTAACTGGTTCAGCTGATAAACTGATCAAAAGATGGGACAAGGAGGGTAAAGATATAAAAACTTACGAAGGACATACAGACTGTGTCAGAGGTTTGGTCATCTTGAATAGTGAAAACTTTTTGTCATGTAGTAACGATGGGACCATTAGGCAATGGAACATTGGTTCTGGAGAAACAGTTCAAATATTCAATGGTCACGATAATTATATCTATGATATAAGTATACTCAAGAATGAAGCATCTTCTTTTCAATTTGTTACATGTTCTGAAGACAGAACCATCAGAATTTGGTTAGCTAACGGTGAAACCGTTCAAACCATTCGATTACCCGCTCCCACTGCTTGGTCAGTTGCCGCTATCGATGAGTCAAATGTAGCCGTTGGCTGTTCTGATGGACGAGTTTACACATTTACTCGAGACGATTCTCGAGTTGCTTCTGAGGATGAGATCAAAATATTTGATGATGAAGTCTCTAAATCTACCTTACCAATCAAAGAGCTTGGAGATATCAAAGCTGATCAACTTCCAGGGCCCGAGGCTCTTCATCAACCCGGTAAAAGAGAAGGGGCAACCAAATTGATCCGCGAAGGTGATAATATTTGTGCTTACCAATGGAGTAACATTAAAATGGAATGGACCAAAGTGGGTGATGTTGTTGGAGAAGCAAATAGTGATAAAGATCCTTCAGCAAAAACAGAATTCGAGGGAAAAGAGTATGATTTCGTTTTCAATATTGACATCAAAGACGATGAACCAGCACTCAAGTTACCATTTAATCTAGGCGATGATGCCTGGATGACAGCTCAACAATTTATCTGGAAACACAATCTGAGCCAATTGTATCTTGATCAGATTGCCAATTTTATAATTAAAAACACCCAAGGATCAACTCCAGCACCAAGACAACAAGAAACATCAAATGAATATGTTGATCCATGGACTGGTGGCTCTCGATATGTTCCCCCTTAATTATCGTCTACATTTCATCCTAACTCACACAAATTGATTCATATTAATGTCAATTAAACACTTTAATGAGTTTCCCTAATCATACACAAAAAAAAACACTAAATGTTCAACCATTTTTTTAAATCCATATTATGTATCCATAAAACAGGAAAATAAATCAATAAATAGAAAGGATTAATATGAACACTTTTGTGGCTTTTGTTTATACAATTAATTTATTTTAATTTCTCTTTTTCAGTTTTTACAAATTCTCACAATTTTAATCGTAACAATTTACGAAACAATTATGTGTTGTCATTTGAACGTCACGTTACATTTAGCGTCAAAATTGAACTGAAATCGGCGTTAGTTTAATATTGATTTTTAATCAATAAGTTAACATGTTATCCTTATGAAAACCATTGATGAGATTGTTAATTGTCGTTGGGTTGCAGTTTTTTTCATGAGTTGATTAAGTTGATTGTCCTTTTAAATGAGAAAGAGCATGAAAAGTATTCCCAATGTGACACTCGCCAAGTAAAATGTTATCCATGTCGATAGGAAGAAGAATAACAAAATAATTAGAGCACAATTAACTCGGAAAACTTTCTTAAATCCTGGAAATTTATCACGATTAATACCCAATAAACGGTCAAAGGTTTCCAGGTATTTGGATTTGGATTGTTCATCAAATAAGACAAAGGTAACCATGTTTTAAAGGGGATTAGGTTAATCTAATGTCGTAAATTGGATTAAAGTTGATCAACAGTAAACGTTTTCAACTTAAACAACTAAACTGTTATGAGATCAGACAATTAGTTAATAATCATCAGTAATAACTAGAAATTATTGATAAAACAATGGGTTTGGTTTTTTTTTCGCACGATTGATAAATAAGCGGGAGAGTTAATTGATTGTCATCATTTCTCTCTCTCTCTCTCTCTCTCTCTCTCTCTCTCTCTCTCTCTCTCTCTCTTCTTCCTTTGGTTATCTCCCCTCATTTGTCACGTTCTTGTTTGATGTATATCACAATTAGAGTTGTTGATTGATTATGAAGTAAAATCTATGTAATTTTTGTATTGACACTAGTCTAGAGTCTCAAGAGGATTCAATAAAGATAAAGTCTATTGGATTATATACTGAGAAATTGTTAATCATTTGTTTTTATTTCAATATTATCAAAATTTGATAATTTGATTAGTTGCAAGATCAATTCAACAATTATCATAATCGTGGTTTATCATTATGAGCCCATAAATTACTGATAATAGAGTATCCGCTCTAGTTTATTATTTCTACTTCCGTAATTTAACTCGAGTTCATCAGAACTTTAATTAGTAACAAAAACTCATACAAACATGTAGACTAAATTGTATCTTTAATACATACTTATTGTTTAGATTCTATGAGCTAAAGCGGAACTTTATTGAAATGAAAGTAATTGAGAACAATTAAAGATGAAACTTCAAAGAATTTAATAATTTATTAAAATCCTATGAAATGTCCACTTTCGGTACCAGAATTTGGTCCAGTCTCACCTTCCGCTTTTAGACTAACCATCTTTGCGTTTTGTTCAAAAGTGAGACAAAGGTGAGACTGGACCAAATTCTGGTACCGAAAGTGGACATTTCATAGGACGAAAATTCAGTATCCATTTCAACCTCAAATTCACTAAGCCAGTTAAGTGATTTAAACTTAACTTTTCAATTCATTCGAGTTAAACTATTTTACAGAAGAAAAAACTTAATCCGGTCCGAGAATCAGAGTTAATCTCTTTATTTTCAAAGCAATTCATTTTTTTCTCATTATAATTAACCTTTTTTTCAGAATAATTAAATTCAGTTATCAGAAAAAGCTACAGTAGCGACTTCCAATTTCATTCATTTTCCAAATCGGAACAGAGGCTCACCCTACATGCGATTCGAGGGACTTGAAGTTCCAACAGTTTGTTTTGTTTATTTCTTGATTTCTGTTTATTTTTTTGCCATTTAATTTTTCTTTAGTTTTTAAATTATTTAATCGTAATTTTTATTGAGTCCACAATTGCGTTGTGTCCAATTATTCACACCTCTGTTCTTAAGGGCAACGAGATTAATATCGTAGCAATTTTCTGCTTCTACTCTTGTGCTTTTTCATCACTTTTTTATTATTCACATAAACAAAATTACTTCTCATATTGATAATCTTTTCATCAAATATGTTTACCTTTTTTTTTACTTATTCTTAGGATTATTGGAAGTAAATTATTTCTTGAGTTGTTATTTTTATGGTAAAAATAATTAATTTAAAATGTGTGAACACTCAGAACTGGTCGCCGAGATGCCAGTGTTGGAGAAAATGTCAACACAGGAGAGATTGAAATTGGCGAGAAAACGACGAATGCAACAATTAAAGAAATGGAATCTCCGAGAAAAGGATTATAATTACAAAAAGAAAAACAATGAAACTTTTGGTAAACGAAGCGGTGGTAATGTCGGTGTGACCGGTGGTGGAAAGAGAGATTATAAAGTTCATTTTGTTCCAAGTGTTATGCTGCTTGAAGCCGCTGCAAGAAATGATGTTGAAGAAGTGAGAAGACTTTTAATGCTCGGTGTTAGTCCTGATTCTACAAATGAAGATGGTTTAACTGCTCTACATCAATGTTGTATCGATGATAGTGAAGAGATGATGAAAATATTGATTGAATTTGGTGGAAACATCAATGCCCAAGACAGTGAACAATGGACACCTTTACATGCCGCTGCTACTTGTGGACTTTTACACCTTGTTAGATATTTAATTTCTAAAGGAGCCGATCTGTTGGCTGTGAATGCTGATGGAAATATGCCTTATGATATTTGTGAAGATGAAGCGACTCTGGATTATATTGAATCTGAGATGGCAAAAAGAGGAATAACTCAAGAGATGATCGATGAGACTCGAGCTTCAGTTGAGAATCGGATGTTGGCCGATTTGAAGAAAGTCGCTGAATCAGGTGGAGATCTTGAGTTTCGTGATGTTCATGGTGCGACACCTTTACACATTGCGGCTGCAAATGGATATTCAGTAGTTGTTGAGTTTCTTCTCGATAATCATGTTTCAACCGATGTTGTTGATAATGACCTTTGGCAACCAATTCATGCAGCAGCTTGTTGGGGTCATGTAAGTATCAATATCAATAATATCCACAATATCAACAATAATAATGATAATTTCCATCAGCTGATTATAATTTTCTTTCTCTCTCTCTCTCTCTCTCTTTTCCATACTTTATACTTTATCCTGTGCTCTTTTCCTTTTCCTGTTCCGTTGTGATCAATCAATCATTTATAGCCTGATGTTTTAGAGCAATTAGTTCAAGCTGGAGCTGATCTTAATGCTCGTACCAAAAATGGAGAAACTCCTTTAGAAATATGTGAAGATCCTGAATCCAAAAGCAAGATAATTGATTTAATGGGTAAAATTGAATGTAAAAATTCAACTCATTACACAAAGTCCAAAAAATGTCATCTACAAAATACTAGATGTCAAAAAATTCTACGAACAAAATTAACGCAGAAATCTCATATTTCTCGGCGTGAAGCTCAAGAAGAATTCAAACTTCTTGCTAGTTCATTTCAAAGTGGTGATGAAAATGAACCAACAGACCAGAATCACACCAACAATCAAAATAACTCTATTGTGAGTCCTGTTGATACAATAATCCACAATGAAGTCAATGAAATTTGTTTAAAAGTGAAAGAAAATCTAAGTGATATCGGAATCGTTAACCATGACACCGGAATAGATGATACGAAAAAGCTTAGAACTGAGCAAAATCATCGTAAAAGTCTTTCTCCCATCGAATCACCAAAAACCTCTAATAACGATCGAGATCAAACTATTAGCTCTCGTTCTTTGCGTAATAGCAATTCATCATCATCCACTACCCGTCATACTAAAGTCAGTGACAACATGAGAGATTATAATTATCCAGAAGATTCTGAAGATTCAAAGTTATCTCATGTTTTGGAGATTTATGATTTCCCATCCGACATAAGAACCCAAGATTTGGTTACCTCGTTGGCAGTATTCAAGTAAGATTTACAATATTTTCTAAACGATAAATATATTTATCGAAAAGGGCGAAAGTTATTATAATCTATTTAATGAATACTTTGTTTGCTTTTAAACAGTTTGCGAGATTTTGATATTAAATGGGTCGATGATTCTCATGCATTAGCTGTTTTCTCAAGCCAAGCCGCTGCTAAAGAGGCCATGTCAATGCCTCACCACAATATACGCTTGAGACCTTTAAATGAAGGTATCAAAGAATCTAAAGTTAAAGCTCAAAAATGTGCAGGTAATTAGATAATTGTGATTAGTATTTAACGAATATTATTCTCTTTCAAACTCATAAAAATTGTCCATTTCTTTTTCCATTCTCTCCAGATAACCTTTTACCTTACAAACAGAGACCACAAACTTCAGCTATACTCGCTCGTAGACTTATTACCGGAGCGTTAGGAATAAGAAGTAGCATAAGCTCTGAACAAAGAGCCGCTGAAAAGAAACGTCTACAAGAAGCTAAAGGTAATTATCACCTAAACAAACACTCAAAATGAATGATAATCTAAATAACATTTTTGTTTAATTTCTTTTTCTTTTTGTTTTGTCCAGAAAAACGACGATTAGCCATTAGACTGAATCAAGAAGCTTGGGATGAAAATGCTGGATGAATATGATGGCAAATCGAGTGACGTGGTCAAACTCTCTATTTCCCAGCAATTAAAAAGAAAATCAAAATGTGAAATATAAAAGACACTCACCAATGAAGACATTGATTCCAGGGAGGGTTCAAATGATGAAAACAATAAGGAATCAATGAAATATCATGATGATGATATTGAGACCGAAGGGTAACAAGGGAATGATCTGTTGCTCATTTTCGAATTTCTGTAACTACCTGAGCTTACAATCTAATTTATTCTGTATCCAACCAACAACTTCTCTTGGATCAGCTCGAAATTTTCTTGAAATCTCCACAACAAGGGGATGGATAGCGAAACGAAATTTTAAAAGCCTTAAGAAGATATAAAATTGAGTCAGCTGATCCGAGAAATATTAATAAATTAAAAATATCTATCGTTTGTAATACATATTAATACCTGAAAGAAGCAACCCTCAACTCCCAAATTCCCAAAGGTAAATTGAATGGAAAACCAATTTTATTATTATAATTATTTAAATCTCTAATCTCTTAATCCAATTGAAATTCTGACAAAGACGAAAAAAAAACTTTAATTTTGTTTGTAATTTACACTGAAAAAAAAAACAAATCAAAACAAATTTTACGGAAAATTTTTACCAAACTAATTCTCTTATTAAATAAAAGTATTTAAATTAAATTGATCAACCAACTTACTCATAATTAACTCAACGATTTAATCCAGAAGAGTAATCAATGAATACTTTTTACTCTTTCATTCAATTTCTCTCCCATTCTTTTCTCCTTTTCTCTCTCTCTCTCTCTCTCTCTTTTCATCACCGACTCAATGAGTGAGTCTCTCAGTCTTCATTTGCCTCTCCAAATATTGAGTTATTTTTGTTTGTTTTCTGTAAATGTTAATCAATTGTAATTTATTTCTTTTTTTTAATTTAATTTCTTTTTTATAGTCAATTGTTTTCCCTTTTCTATCAATTAAAAGGTAAGTTAATCTCTTTTCAATTTACTTAGAATGGAGATAATCTTTTCTCTTGTTACCAAGTAAAGAAAGAGGTGAGAATTTACCTGGTGTAGCTTGTTCACTTTATTTGTTTTCTCTTTGTGTTGATGAGTTACTCTTCTATTTAATTCTAATTTAATTCAGTGATTAATTGTTGACTTTCTCTAATTGATTATGTCACGTCTACAATCTTTTAACAGAGAAAATTAACTCACATTTTTGTCCTATTTTGCTTCACTTTAGAAGATCAAATTCTTACTCTCTATCTGTCTTTCTCTTTCTCTTTCTCTCTCTCTCTAGGTGTTCCCTTTTTCTCATTTTTTTTTATATTCTTTTCCACCATTAATCTCTGACCGTCATAAAAATCTGTTTATTTTGATTTCTTTTCATTGATAATCTTTCATATTATTTACCTTTGTGAACTTGATCATTTACTTGATTCTCTGTTTACATTAGTTTTAAGTGATTATCGATTTGTTATCAATTACAAAAGTCACAATCTATGATTTATACATTAGTGAAAACAAGTCAACAAAATTACCTCTCATATATTGATAATCTTTCATCAAATATGTTTACCTTTTTTTACTTATTCTTAGGATTATTGGAAGTAAATTATTTCTCGATTTGTTATTTTTATGGTAAAAATAAGTAATTTAAAATGTGTGAACACTCAGAACTGGTCGCCGAGATGCCAGTGTTGGAGAAAATGTCAACACAGGAGAGATTGAAATTGGCGAGAAAACGACGAATGCAACAATTAAAGAAATGGAATCTCCGAGAAAAGGATTATAATTACAAAAAGAAAAACAATGAAACTTTTGGTAAACGAAGCGGTGGTAATGTCGGTGTGACCGGTGGTGGAAAGAGAGATTATAAAGTTCATTTTGTTCCAAGTGTTATGCTGCTTGAAGCCGCTGCAAGAAATGATGTTGAAGAAGTGAGAAGACTTTTAATGCTCGGTGTTAGTCCTGATTCTACAAATGAAGATGGTTTAACTGCTCTACATCAATGTTGTATCGATGATAGTGAAGAGATGATGAAAATATTGATTGAATTTGGTGGAAACATCAATGCCCAAGACAGTGAACAATGGACACCTTTACATGCCGCTGCTACTTGTGGACTTTTACACCTTGTTAGATATTTAATCTCTAAAGGAGCCGATCTGTTGGCTGTGAATGCTGATGGAAATATGCCTTATGATATTTGTGAAGATGAAGCGACTCTGGATTACATTGAATCTGAGATGGCAAAAAGAGGAATAACTCAAGAGATGATCGATGAGACTCGAGCTTCAGTGGAGAATCGGATGTTGGCCGATTTGAAGAAAGTCGCTGAATCAGGTGGAGATCTTGAGTTTCGTGATGTTCATGGTGCGACACCTTTACACATTGCGGCTGCAAATGGATATTCAGTGGTTGTTGAGTTTCTTCTCGACAATCATGTTTCAACCGATGTTGTTGATAATGACCTTTGGCAACCAATTCATGCAGCAGCTTGTTGGGGTCATGTAAGTATCAATATCAATAATATCCACAATATCAACAATAATAATGATAATTTCCATCAGCTGATTTTAATTTTCTTTTTCTCTCTCTCTCTTTTCCATACTTTATACTTTATCCTGTGCTCTTTTCCTTTTCCTGTTCCGTTGTGATCAATCAATCATTTATAGCCTGATGTTTTAGAGCAATTAGTTCAAGCTGGAGCTGATCTTAATGCTCGTACCAAAAATGGAGAAACTCCTTTAGAAATATGTGAAGATCCTGAATTGAAAGAAAGAATAATAGAACTGCGAAACGAAATGGAAACCAAAAAAGCGAGTCATTCTTTACGATTGAAAAGATCTCACTCACAGAATACTAGAAGTCAATCTGTTCGTCGAACTAGTATAAGAGAAAAGTCTCAAATTTCTCGACGTGAGGCTCGAGAAGAGGCTAGACTTCGTGTTGAATCTTCTCAGAATGGTGAAGATGATGAAGATCAGACACAAAGAAATAATCTCACCAATAATCACAACAATTTCGCTAAAAATTTAACCAATTCAAGTTCTACGATAATTTCCAATTCCAATGATAAAGATGAGCCAATTGTTATCAACAAAGTCAATGGTTTTTCTTCACCAGTTAAAGGAAGTGTCAGTGCTTCAGGACATGTTAATAATGATTTAATAAATTCTTCCTCTCTTCTTCCTTCTTATGGTGATAGTTTAATTACACCAGAGCCAAACAAACAATCTTCTAACCATCAATTCATCGAGTCAAATGTTGTTCCCAAGCAAATCCCATCCTCCTCTTCATCAGATTATCAAATCAATCTTAGACCATTAAGTAAAGATGCAGTTGTCATTCGTAATGATGGTTATTGTGAAAAAGATTCTATTGGAACTGAAAGTGTCACCAACAGTATTAATGATTTTAATAGCGATTTTGATTACTCAAGAGATGATCAATCAGTAATTGATGGTATACCAAGTGGAACAACTAGCGATTCATTATCATGCCGGTCAGGGTATAACAATAACAACTTAATTAATCGAGCAATTGAGGAATCATCTGGTCGATCAGTAAGACAATTAGCCACATCTAAAAGCAATAATCGTAATTCAATTAGCTCCGGATCAAGTAGTACCACCACCGGAAATACTAGTAATAATATGCTCTCCAATGAATCAGTTAAAGTGGAGATACATGTAACAGTAAATGCGAATCCACCAAACAACAACTTTGGAACGGGAACTTTAGCCGATCTAAAGAAGCATCGAGCTGACCTACGTCATCGTAATAGTCTTTCTCCCGGAGAATCACCAAAAACATCCAATAACGAACGAGATCAAACCATTGGTACTCGATCTTTACGTAATAGTAATTCATCTTCATCCACCACAACAACAACAACAACAAACGCCCGTCATCTTAAGGCTTCCTATTCCTTTCAATCTCCACCCTCTCCCAGCGGAGATTTGAAAAAGTTTCGAGCCGATCCAAGTGAAGTAGTTGGTGAAATACAGAACAAAGGATGTTGTAAGCTCATGTAACTTTCAGATAGAAAAGAGAAAAACTAATCATTCCCTCTTTCTTTTTGCCTTCCATTCTCATTCTCATCATCATCATCATCATACTTCACCACCACAACCCTTATCATCATCATCATGCTTTTCATCATCTCATCATTTTTATCCTTGCCTGTTCTCTTTCTCCTCTCTCTCTCTCTCTCTCTCTCTCTCTCTCTCTCTCTCTCTCTCATTCTCTTTCCACCATCAGAAAAAAATCCTTCTTTTTTTATCTATTTTTTATATCTAAACACACACACTTAACAACAATTAATTATTATTACTATAATATTCAACTTTCCATGAACACTAAAACATGAAATGATTAATTTTAATCATTTGAAACCTCAATTATAATTGTTATTTAACTTTGTTTAACTAACATAATCAATTGCGGTGGAAAAGTTGAATATTTTGTAATTGAAGATATTCCTTTGTAAATTTAATTAATGTTTTCTCACCCGCGCCCCAACTACGAAGGTCATTTTCAAATACAACAATCAATTATGAAGAAGATAACAAGCTTCATTAATCATAAGCAATCAAGATATTTAAATTATATTTCCATTGATAAAAGAAAAGAAGAAAAAAAAAGAGAGAAAGTGGAAACATTTCCGTTTCCTAATAGATACGGAAATGAGAATCATCTCAATTAATTAATCATCTAATCCACCCTTTCCCCATCCTTTCCAATATTTACTATTAACTTTAAATTGTTGGACCAAATTAGCCACCCTTTAATTGCCTTCTCAACAACCAAACGCAATTTAAAATGCATTTCAAATCAATTCCAAGATGATTTTATTAATGTAAAACAATTAAGGATCAACCACTAATCCCTTCTCAATCCCTAATCCATCAAAAAAAATCAGCTCTCATGTCACAACTTTTCATTTTCCTCTCAAAATCAGCTATTTATTATTACAATTAAGTAATTAATTATTACCTTAATATTAATCATGTTGTTATAGTTGTGTAATAATTTACTTGATAACAAAACAATTTAACTTTTTTTTATATATATAAATACATAGTAAATATACAATCATCACCTTGTATTATTATCATAATTAAATATGAGCTTGATACAATTATTTTCATACCCAACCCAAGAAAATTAAGATTAATCATCAATTGAAACAATTAACATGATTTCATCTTGGAACACGAATTGTTCAACTTAAATTGATTGATTGTAAAAAAAAGTAAATATCAATAATTAAACATTTACTTTACATAATAGATTTTTTCTTTCTAAATTGTTATCATTTGATCAACAATTAAATGATAGAATGATAATTTATCATTACTATTAAACAGGTAAGAATTTGGTTAATCTTGTATTCAAACAATTCAACTTTCAGTTGTAATTAAATCTCTGTCTTAATCATCTAATGATCAACCATAATAAAGGTTAATTAATTACTCTTATTATGATGACAACCAGATTAATTAGATTAATGAACTAATTCAATTAAGTGTCAACCTTTAGTTTACATAAGTAATTGTTTTCTTTTAATCATCATCGTCATCATTTAAATTTAATTATCTTTACGTTTCTCGTTCAATTCAATTAATAAAATGTTTAATCTCAATGTTTAATCATTACGATCAATTTTAATCAATCGTAATCATGATTCTGGTAATTAGATGGATTTATTTATAATGCTGCAGACCTTGAAATCTTATAATCAGATTACTAATGTCTTATTAGAGGAAAAACAGAGAAACAATTTGGTTAATTGAAAATCAATTGATCAGCGCAATTTAATTCTAGTGAAATTAAATTACCTTTTGTTTCATTCAATTTATGATATTCAATTGCTGAATGATGGTGGATGATCAAGCAAATCAAGAAGATAGAAAATCAAATCAAATCAAATTGTGATCCATTTTTTTTCTTCTAATACAAGTAAACATAATTAAAACAACAATTTAATCACTTAATCGGAAATCATATCACTTATTAAATTGTCATCATTAATTGTTGTTCATCATTAAAAAAAAAAGGTAAACCATTTCAACAAAAATTCATTACAATCAATGTGATTAGTAAATGATTAAGATTTTGATTAAATTGATAAACTGAATAGAAAACTAGATAAGAAAATTGTTTCTATGGAGAAAAAAAAAATTCGCAACTATGAGAAGGTCAAAGGTCGAAGAAAAAACTTTTTCCAACTTCAAATCTTCGAATTTAAATCCACCGGCTCTTTAACTTCCCCTCGGGGTCGAGTGGAAATTAACCAATCAAATTTACTTCTTTAAAAGAAACCAGTCTTTCTTTTCTCTTTCTTTTCGTTGAACTTTAAATTCTCACAAAGAGTCGAAAGCGCCATCTGTACAATTAAATTCGAAATTCGCTTGTGTTTATCAGTTGAAGTCTCTTTTTACTCGTTCATTTCTTATTATCTTATTTCTTGTTTGTTTTTATCTCTCACTTGGTCAATTTCCTGTTTTGTTAATTAGTTTCTTCTTGTTTTCTTTTCTATCTGATACTTATATTTATTAAATCATCTTTATCTCTAATTAGTATTGATTCTATTTCCTGTTCTTCCTTTTTTTTTACACAGAGTTTCATTGGTGAATTTTTGATTATTCACAATTCAATGTTATGATGTTCATATTGTGATAATCTTTCTATTTATTTATTTACTTTTTTTGGGTCACCTTATCCATCTTAACTTTTTGTTCAATTTATTTTTTTTCTTCTTCTATTGGCCTTTTGACTGGTTCCTTAACCATTGGTGATATTTGCCATAAAATATAAAGTATTTTACAATCATCTATTTACAAGAAAAATCAAGTCACAAATTAGAAACAAAACAAAATGTCTTCACACAATTCAACTGATGAAAATCAGCCACTTTTAGGTGAGTCTATTTTTCTTGAGATTTTTCTCTCTCTCTCTCTCTCTATTTATCCCCTTTTAATCTAGAATCTCAGATGAATTTTCTTTATCTTCATTGAGTTAATCTTTTGCCTTTTCTATTTTTTTTCCTCTCTCTTTGTCATTTCCTCTTTCTCTTTCTCTTTCTGTTTCTCTTTGTCTTGTTTCTTCCTATTTTGAAGGAGCTGTTGGAGGCGTCGAAACAAATAATGGAAGTAATGGTGATAGATGGAAACCGCCCAAATCTGAGGTTTATGTTCGTCCAGCTGATCCTGGTTACAATGGAGATAATCCACCAGCTTATGAACCGACCTTAGCCATGACTGGTGGTCGATTAGCAATTGCATGTAAAGTCTGTGGCTCCATGATAGATGTCACTGAGAAAAAGGAGCAACATGTTGTCAAATGTGATCAATGTAACGAGGCAACTGTAAGGAGCTTTTAATTTAACCTCATTCATTTGATGAAATTATTGTTACAACATTTGTCATTCTAAGTACTCAAATGTCTCTACCAATTTATTGATTCATTGAGTTTATATTTTATCATTTAGTTGATTGTAAAGAAATGTAACCATTCAAACTTGACAGGGACTTTAATCTGATAGTTTTTTTCTATTATTATTATTTTTCTTTGTGTTCTTTGACAGCCAACTCATTATTTTTTGTTCTCTTTATCTCTTACTCTTTCTTTTCAGCCCATCAAACCTGCTCCACAAGGGAAGAAATATGTTCGATGCCCATGTAATTGTTTACTTGTTTGCAAAGCATCAGCTCAAAGGATCGCATGTCCTCGTCGTAATTGCTTAAGAATTATCAATCTAAATGTAGAGAGTCGTAATACTGGTACTCAGATTCCTCCAGCTCTCAACGAGGGAGGTGAACGTATGGATGCTGTCTCAAGTTCTGGCCCTTTACCAGAAATGTGTAGAGTAACTTGTAGCCATTGTAGTGAATCTTTTCTCTTCAATACATTAAGTAATTCTCTGGCTCGATGTCCCCATTGTCGTAAACTGTCCTCCGTTGGACCTGAATTTGCTCGTTTCAAGGGATTGATTTACCTTGTTGTTGCTATTATCTTTTTCGCCATTGCTCTTGGAGTGACACTTGGTACTCTCAAGTATCTTTCAAATATGAAAGGTTTAATTGTGCTATATATCATACTATTTCTCGTTGATGTCGCTATAATCTTTAGATCATTGTTTTACTTGACTATGAAAGTGAGCAACATTGAACACAGTGCCGCGTGATAATTCAATTACAAGAATTGGAAAATCTTGCAAACAAAGAAAAGATAGAAAAAAAGATTCATCATCATCATCAACACCCATAACAACATCGCCATAACATCATTTTTCATTATTATTAAATGCATACCTTAAACTTCAAAGGAAAACAAGCAAATAACCATTTAGGAAGTAAACAAAAAAATCACCAATAGATCACACAAAGATTTCTATTTCTCTCATCTTTCACTGAGATCATGGCGGAAGAAAAAAATCATAATATTTTTACCGAATTCATATTTCATCCAGTTAAAAATATAACCAATGGTAACATCAATTAGCTTTTCTCTCAAACACTATCGTGATTTCTAATTATGATTGGTCATCTGAAAATGTTTACCGGACATTTTAAAACTTAGAGGAGAGAAAGTTTAAAGAAAAAGGAGTAAAAATCATCATCATTCAGTGTTTACAGTTGAAATTCATCAAAAAGTAGGATCTTCATCTGATTTTTAGCAGAAAAAAACATCATGTTATATTTTTATCATATTTTGTAATCATATTATTTACACCAATTTGATTCATTTTTTTTTCGAATGGATTAAGAAAAAGATTAAAGAAAAGAGGATAAACCATCAAATAGCAACACTCCGTTCATCTGATCACCTTATAAAAAGTTGAATCCTGTCTGCTTAATTTGGTTAATCATAATTTCCTGTTGATTCTGTATGAAAATCAAAACCAACTTAGAGGCGAAAATGGCAATCGGGATTATTTCAAGTTTAAGACTGAGTTTATTTCACAAAGTAATTGGAGATTGAAATGATTAACACAATGTTTACTAAATTACTTCAGCCATTTTGTTAAATTGCAACAAAATCAACAAAATTCATTGGTTCCTGTGTCAATCTATCCGGCAAAAACCGAGAAATTTAATCAACTAATCAACAAATTGATTCTCTCTTTACCATTATGATAAAATTATCAATTAATCAACTATTTCCTTTTATTGACCATAAAAACAAACAAACATTTAAAAGTGTTTCCGAAATCAATTTGCAAAAAAAGCTTCAATGAGGAAAAACAAATTACCATGAAATTAATTGTCCATCCTCATTATTACAATTATTATTTCTTAATTCAAATTATTATCATTAAAAGAAAATTTAATCTTTAACAAGTAATTTGATATAATTTCCTGATTTTATCGTCTTCGATTAGTCTAATATGAAAACTAATTAAATTCAGAGTAAAGAGAAAATCAACTTTTCTAAATTGGTTCATAATCAGTTAATTAAAGTTAATTTTTTGATTCCAATTAAGTTTAAATTAGAATTTGAATTTGGCGCTTCTCCGACAATCGACTGGTTTGTTTTCATTTGGATGAAAGAAACTTTCTCAATGTTGACATTGAAAACCCTTTAATTGGGATTCTATTCTCGTTTGTCATTAAATTATGACAAGAAATTAATTAATTATAACAGTGTTCAATCGTGCCTGACACATTATGACAATTAATCTTTCTTGACTTGATTTTGTTTTGAATTACTTAAATTGATCAATTTTCTATTCAGTTGTGATAAAGTCAAAATTTACAATTGGCGTTCAATTGATCCGATGATACAATTAATTTCTAATTTAATTGTATCAACATGGTGACTATTTCTAAATAAATGGAAGATATGGAAACACTCAATGCATTTAGCTAAAGGTATTTATATTTTTAATCTCGTTACCCTTTTATCATTTCTTATTATTGTTCACAATTAGCATCAATCAGTCATCACAATAAGTACGAGATTGACAAAATCATTTCTCTCATGAAAATCCTTTCATCTAGATATTCATTAAGACAATAAGAATATGAGAAAAAGAAACAGAAATTTCCACAAATTTCTAACTTTGGACCTTCAGCCACCATGACATTGGCTCCATTTTCTTGCAACGATCTTGTCTACATTCCCATTAGATTTCCCCCAAATTTTTACACTAAAATTAGTGAATCATGATAATTGTGTGAACAATTGTTGATTTCAATGTTGAATTTCTAACAGGTTGTCAATCATTTTCTTGTTGGCAGTTAATCCACTTCTATCCCTTTCACTAAACTCAGTGTTTTCTTTTCAATTTTCAAGCAATTAGATCAGACTGATCTCTGATTTCTAGATTATGGAAGTAGCAATAATAGGAGCGGGTATTTCAGGTTTGGCTGCGGCTGTTACCTTGGTAAGATCGGGTTTCGAAAGGATAACAATCTATGAGGCTCAAGATTATATCGGTGGAAGGATTAAATCAATTAAACATGGTAAGTAAACTTTAATTAATTTCCTCCAATGTAACCAAATTAATCTTGGCTTAATTTTTTCTAATCATATAAATTGATCCTTTATATTTAGACGATGGTTATCTCGAACTGGGAGCTCAATGGGTTCATGGTCAAGAGGGAAATAAGGTCTTTGAAATGGCCTCACAACGCGATTTGATTGCTCCCGATGCGAGCGTTGAAGGCGAGGGACATTTTTGTACTCAAAATGGTCAAAAGATAGATTACAATCTAGTCAACCAAGTGATTATTTTTCTCGACACAATTAAAACATCTCTTTCTAATGGTGATTACAAGAAAGATTTTCAAAGAGTCTTGAATAATGGTGTTGATAACAATCTCGATTCATCTAATTTGCCTGATGTAATTTCAGTCGGTGAGGTGTTTAGAACTGCGTTCGGTAAATGGATTGCGGGTAAAAAGTTTAAATCTCCTCAAGATGCTAAATTAACCCAAGGGATCTTCGATTGGTTCATTAAATTTGAATCAATCGACAATTCCTGCTCTTCATTGGATCAATTGTCTGCAATGTCTTATGCAAATTATCATGAATGTGATGGTGTCCCACTGAACAACTTTAAATCAGGCTACTCGTCTTTCATTAATTCACTGGTTGAAGATATTCCTCAAGTGCTAATTAAAACCTCTTGTCCAATATCACAAATCATTTATCCTTCCAAAAGTTCAAACAATTGTAATCAGGTAACTCTAATTCTCGAGGATGGATCAATAGTCAATCCAAATCATGTTATAATTACCAATCCAATTGGATTTCTTAAAAATAATATGGATACATTTTTCCAGCCCCAATTACCTTTGAACAAACGTCTCATAATTTCAACCATGGGATTTGATTCGGTGAATAAAATCTACATGGTCTTCGAGAAACCTTTCTGGCAACCCTGTGATCTTGGATTTCAACTGATTTGGTGTAACGATAATGGGAAAATAATTAACAATGATGATGAACAAGAATATCCTCCTTGGGTCTATGATGTTTCAGGAATTGACACTGTTTATGGTCAACCCAATATTTTGGTTGCTTGGATTGGTCGTAAAGGAGCAGAATTAATAGAAAAGGAAGATGATCAATCATTAATTACCATTTTCCATTCACTATTAACTAATTTCCTCTCATCGGTGATCCATCATAATGAGATACCCAAACCGGTTAGAATAATTCGGTCCGCTTGGTATTCTAATAACTATATTTGTGGATCTTATTCTCATCGAACAGTTAATTTTGCCAAATTAAATGCTTCTCTTGATGAATTAACCAAACCTTTAACCATCTCATATCAACTCGAACAATTAAATAGTAAAACTATTGATTGGCCTTTAGTTTTATTCGCTGGTGAAGCAACGGAGGAAAAATATTTCTCCACTACCCATGGGGCTCTTTTATCGGGTATCCGAGAGGCAAATAGATTGTTACAATTTTGGAATCAACATCAACTAATTAAGCTAAATTGATTGTAAATCTCTCTACATGATTAACGTTTCATCCAATTGCGTCCAATCCAGTCCAATCAACAATCTATCGGGGATAGAACGTTAAAGAAACAAAAACTTTCGGGATAATTTTTTCATCTTCTCTTAGGGATATTTGCATTTCAATCAATCAATCAAATATTGATTTCGAAACATTAATTTTGTCCAATCTATCGATTTAATTGTTGCTCAATTTTTTGTATCCAAGATGATTATTAAAGAGTAATTTAAACAATTAAACCTCTTGTCCATTTAATTGAATGATGTAAGATTAATAGTCTCATCTTTTTTATATAAACCAACACCATTTATACGGGATAATTAGTTAATCATTTTCTTGGCTGTTAATTTAATGATGGTAAATGGTGATGAATGAAACATTTACAGAGATAAATTATGTTTTTCTGTAATTTTCCAAAGTTAATTGTTGATCTTTTACAAGAAACAATGTCCAATGAATTAAAGTAAATCTGTTAACAAATCAAGAGAAATTAATATTATCAAAAGAACAGCAATTTGATTTCATCGAGTTAATTGTAGTTCAATAATCAGAAAGTGAACTTGATAAATTGTTGTACTTTTTCATTTAATAGTAATACGGGAAAGTTAATTAATCTGAATCACCTTTTAATTGTTATTCTTGTATCTTGGTGTGGTTTCCACAATTAACCTTAACATTTTACCTTCTTCTTGACAATGAACTTGGCAATTTAGTGGATTTGATGGATTAATTGTCTTAATCATAATCTTCCATTAATTAACTTCTCTCTTTCTGGTAGAAATCATTGTGAACTATAAATACACTTTAAGAATCAGTTAATTGTCTCATTTAAAAACAATTTCTCTTACCTAACAATTGAAACACGATTTGTTTTAAATTTGTTTATTGTGTGTAAATGATTTAATTTGATTCTCTCATCATCTTAATTATCACCTTTGATTTATCCTCTCTCTCTCTCTTAATTTTATTAACTGTTTTGCTTCATCAATTGTGAACTACCATCAATCTCACCGCAACAATTAAGATGATTAAATTAAACGTTTCCTCTTTAATCGTGATTCAAGTTGTCTTATTGTTTCTCAATTTAATTAGTTCATCACATGAAGAAAATTTGATCCGAGTTTGTACAATTAAGGAACTACAATCAGCTCGATCACGTATCTGTTCATTATACAAGAGATCATATAATCCGAACAGCTTAATGAACTGGATTAGAGAACGAAGTAAGAAACAAAAAACTAAATTAACTTATTATTAACCATCTAAATGATCAAATTTACTTACCAATTAATCCAAAGTTACTAGTTAATTGTTGACAATTTACCATAATCCAAACATCATTAACTTTTATTTTTCCTCCATTTTCATTAGGAGCCATTTCCAGTATCGCTTCATCATGTTGTTCACCGGGTTGTCCAGAATCATTATTAACGGTTGGATGTTGATGGAAGTGATTAAATCTAAATCAGTTAATCCATATCACCAAAAAAAAATAGAAAAATCAATCACAATTAAGAAGAAGAGAGAAATCAAATCAACAACAAAAAGATACAATTTCTTGTTAACCAAAATGTAACCGAAAGATACAAATTAACTTTACTTAAATCATTTGTTTCCAATTAAATGAGTTGATAATTTTTGATTAATTTACCAACAAAGTACAAAATGTAACAATTAAAAAGATGTAAATCCAAGATAATAAAACAATTAATTCAATTGCGAGAAATCAATGATTGTCTCCATGTTTATATTTCTATTAGCTGAAAGTATTAACCTTAGCAACGGTTAATTTTGATAAACAAACCAAAGGAAAATAGTGAATTTAATCAATTTAGCTAATAAAATTTATGAATAAATTGTTGACAATTAACTTGTAGAATGTTGAAAACTGTGTTTACAATTAATTTAGATGAGAAAATTCAACCAGGACAAGTAGCAATCGGTAAATTTGATGGTATTAATCCTTGTGTTGTCGCTGTAACAACAAGTGATAAGGTAAATTGAATTAACAGAAAACGAAACAAATTAAATTAAATCTCTGTAAATCATCAAGTTAATCACAGTCAATTTTGATTATTTCTTGTGTTTAACTGTTTTCCATAGGTTCTTTTACACAATCCACTCCGTCGTTCTCAACAATCAAGTGAAAGAAATTGGAATCAACCATCAGCAGGAATCGATGTTTCCTTTCTCAATGTTAATCAAACGATAAGATCGATCGCCGTTGGTTGTCTTAAGGTCAATTCTGAGGCCGATGTTTTAATTCTCGGAACACCAACTAGTATATTAACTTACGATGTCATCAATAATGTTGACATTTTCTATCGCGAGGTAAACAAAATAATCGTTATCGTTAAATGATCAAGTTGATTTCTTGTTTGTGTTGAACAAGATTAAGTATCTCTCTGATTATCGACTCTGATTTGTTGCAAATTCTTACCATGATAAATTAATCAATTGACTTTCCATTCATTATTTTTATCACAAATTATCACTTGAAGATACCTGACGGTGCTAATGCCTTGGTGGTTGGACACATAGGGTCAATCGAAAGCCCTCTGGCAATTGCTGGAGGTAATTGTGCAATCCAAGGGTTTGATTATGAAGGAAATGACTGTTATTGGACAGTCACTGGAGATAATATTACCACCCTGGCTCTTTGGGATATCGATGGTGATAATCACAATGAGGTAGTTTAAATTTACCAATGTGAAAATCAATTCATCAATTTTTCAAATCTTTTCTTGTTTTCTTGTTTACTTGTGATCATTTTGATTCTCGCCATTAATGGAGAGTTTAATTTTTTTTACAGCTAATTGTTGGATCGGAAGATTATGATATCAGAATTTTCAAAGAGGAATCAATTTTCCTTGAGATGTCGGAAACGGATTCGGTTAAATGTGTTTGCCCTTTAATGGGTGGATGCTTTGCTTATGCTTTGGTCAATGGGACGGTTGGTGTTTACTCAAAAAAGGAAAGACTTTGGAGAATCAAATCAAAAAATCAAGCAATTTGCATCTATGGATTTGATATCAACAATGATGGTCGACCAGAGTTAATCACTGGCTGGTCAAGTGGTAAAATAGATGCTCGTAATATGGAAACGGGTGAGGTCATTTTCAAGGATAATCTAAGCTCATCAATTGCCGCAATTTTATCCGCTGATTATAACCTTGATGGTCTAATTGAATTGATTGTTGTGAGTATATCCGGTGAGATTAAGGGTTACCAGGCTAATTTAGGTACCGAGAGACCTCAACCCTTACTTGATTTAACTTATGAACAAGAAACAATTAGAGATTTAATGAAACGCAAGCAAAATTTGCTTCTCGAACTGAGAAATTACGAGTCAAATGTTCAATTTAGTACAACAGCCGACACAACGATTCATGGTAAAGCCTCAACGGAAGATGATCAATATGGTGCAATTCCAGCCGATACACAATTGAAATCAGCATTAATCCTCAACATTGAAGATAGTAAGGTAATTAAATCAAATCAATCGATAAATAGATCAAATTTTCATTCATTAATCATCAGAACTAATCAATTCTAGTCTACTGATTTACATCTTACAAGGTAAATTTAGTAACTATTAATATAATCTTTTGGGAAACAATTAACAGCTCAAATCAAGTCATATTTAATTCATAGACAAATTGACAATCAACCAACAACCTGATTTAGTTGAACAATTTGATAACAATATAAACAAACAATTAACTGTGATTTAGATTCTTGTTTTCAACCAGAAAAACGACACGGATGTTTACATAGAAAACGGAAATGGACTGTTTATCTAAATGATAATTAATAGAAACAAATTGAATTCTCTAAATTGACTAAAGTTTTTCCTTTCTCGATTCTTTTTTCCGCTCATCAAAAGCCTTCAGTTGATTTGACACTTCAAACAACCAACGAAACAATTATTCGAATGGTGGTCATTTTCGCCGAGGGAATTTTCAAAGGAGAAAGTCATGTTGTCCATCCTTTAGAATCAGAGGTTTCGGGTACACTTAATATCCCGTTAAGGCCACCAAAAGATATTCCAATTGATTTACACATTAAATCAATCGTCGGCTATAAGGGAAGTTACCATTTCCATGTATTCGAGTTGAGTCGGCATCTTCCCCGTTTCTCAATGTACGCGCTCAGAAAAAATGTTAATCTTCCAGAATCAAGTAAACCTCGAGGTTGGGTTAACTTCACAATAATGGATAAAGTTGGTAAAGTAAGTAGAAAGTAATTAGTTTAATTAATAATCGTAATATTTGATTACCTTGAGATGAAAAAGTTTCTCTTTTTTTCTTATACCTTTAATGAAGATTTGCCTTTGGTTGAATCGTAATTTCCTTTTGGTTGAAGAGTTCGAATACCTTGAAAGTCTTGATATAACATTTACCTCACTTCGTGATAATAAATTGTTGATCTTTGAGATGGACGGAAAAACGGGAAGTTTCACCATACGAACAAACTCACTGGAAGTTGCCGGTGAAATTGTACAATCGTTGGCAGTTGATTATCTTAATTTAGCTGATTTAAAATCGACTGTTGATTTCCCTGAAGATATTGATAATCTTAAAAAGTTGATTAACAAAGTTGAAGAGATGCAATCGGTTCGAGCTTCGATTGATGCTGATATTGCAGAGAATTCGGTTGCAGTTCGTTCATTAGTAGTTCGATCTGAAGATGCTCGACTTCTTGGAGAATGGTGAGTTGATATTAGAAGGGAAGAAGAGAAGAGAAAATAAAAGAAAAAGATAATTTTAACAATCAATCAATCACAATTAATGAATTTTCTTCCCCTAATTGGGTGTTTTTTTCTTATGTCAATTGTACTTTTCATGGTCACAGGAAAATGGTCAAGCAGCTTTACATGGACCTTAATGTACTCAATCGTGAATTGATTCATGAATATCAAATACGAAGTCGAAATCATAAAGATTTAGTTGATAGTTTGAAACAAATTAATATAATTATCCAAAAGGCAGCAAATTTAAGGGGTAAGTTAATGTTTGATACAATTAAATGAAACTCGGTGCTGAGATAAATCATCACCTAATCAAACTAAATTACTCAAGATTAAGATTTCGCGGATTAAGATTATACTCTTGATCCAATCAGCTTTGAATGGGATGAATGTTACTAGCAACTAAATTCAGGCCTAAATTGTTATTTCAATTTAATTGGATCAGAAAATTGTCTTTTTTGTTAATTGCGTAAATTTAATGATTATGATGGTGAGTTTTGTACAGAGTTAATCAAGCTTCTCGTTTTTACAATGAAACGATAATCAATGTTAATTTAGGTAAATAAATTTATCTCTCATTCTGATTTCTTTTAATTATTTGTAATCAAATTTTCAAGGTTAATAAATTGTTTCCTTTTTCTCATTTTTTAGTTGGCCCATCAAAGACCAAGATTGTTCAATTATGTCGATTGGCAATTAAGGATAACAATTTAAATTCATTGGCAAGAATCATTTGTCGAGGGGAGGCCTGATTAATGAATAGAGAAACTGAGTGAGAGAGAGAAAGATAATCAAATCAAACTAATCAATTATTAATTACCACACATAATATCATCTAATTTATGATATGTTAACAGAAACAGTGATGATAATCAAATAATTTACCATAAATGAGTGAAAAATGATCATTAAATTAGTGATTTAAATGGTATGTTAACAGAAAAATTGACCAACAATCAATGAGCATCAACAATTAAACATTGACAACAATCAGGATATTTCATTTTTCCTGAGTAAATGAAAAAACAATCAATGAAATTAAACGAGCACAAACTGTTAACCATTTAATTGTTACAGAAAATAAAAATTGATTGGTTAATGATATTCACCAACAATCAAATGTTTATCAATTATCATCATTTGTGTATTGCTATTGAAACAAAAGCTAAAAGGTAAGTTTTGTTGTTATGATTGTAATTATCGATTTGTGATGAATTTTAATTGTTTGAAACTGAATTCGAGGGAATCATATTACATTATCAATGTTATTCTGTTCAGTGATAATAAACTCATGCGCTTTCAAATAAACATCCATAAGATGATAAACTTGACTCCCAGAATTACAATAGGAAACCGAGTATAAAAGGATAACTATTAACAAACTGTGTTGACATCGAGTCGAGTTACAGTTCGAGTTAGAACTTATGACTTGGAAAATTTGAACTCGAAAAGAGGAGAAAAAGAAAAAAAAAATTCGAACCCGGAAAAGATTTAAATTAATCTTTCTAATCTTTACTATCATGATATCATCATCATTAAAAATTTACATTCTTTTAGCAATTTCTGTTAATTGTGAATTAATTAGTCGCCCTATTAGACATACAATTAAGAAACAAGGTAAACTCAACCTTTCCATTTGTTTGAATAGTTAATTATTTCAAGTTTTTCATATTGACTCTCAAATTAAGCCGATTATTTTATCTTACCCTTTATATATATTAATTGTTTCCAATATGTTTCTTAATTAGTGATTGACTCTGTGAATCAAATTGATTCAATAATTGATTCTGGTGATGATATTTGCCCTCGAGCTCGTGAAGAAGCCGCTGCTCGTGGTAGAGTTTGCTTAAAAAAGTGTACATCCGATGCCGATTGCATAAGCACACGGAAGCGATGTCTATGTGATGGACTTTGTGGATGGAGTTGTGTACGTCCAGGTAAGTTAATTAAACACTAATTAAGTCCCAAAAATTTGCTGATCAACTGTTGATTTAAACTTTTACTTTTACTTTTTCCCTTGAAATAATTTCTTATTAGATTTAAATTGTGATGAAGTGCCACTCATTGAAAACGGTCAATTCAAAGTATCTGGTAATCATTTTGATGCTCGAGTGGCATATACCTGTTCAGAGGGCTACTTCATGTCCGGTCCGAGGGAAAGGGTATGTCAGGGTGATGGTTCATGGAGCGATACACCACCAGTGTGTCGGAAAGAGGGTAAGTTGACCATTACATCAAGAAAATCATCATCATAATCTGTGGATGAATTAAGTTAAATTGTATATCAGTCGATATGAAATTAACTTATGCATGATAATCAAGTTAATTTACTTTAAAAGGTAAACAGTAAACAATTTGTTACATGACAACAATCAGCATGTTGATGCATAAGTTAAATTGCATTTGATTTACATTAGCGAATGAATTTAATTCAATTTATTATTATATTTTTATGTAATCGGAAAATTTTTTTTTCGTTTGTTGATGTAACAATGACTCGACCATGAATCTCTCCTGAATCCCAAACAAAATCCTAAATTGTTATATATAAAAAAACACTTTTTTGACCAACGAAATGACCAAATGAAAATCGACAGCCAAATGCCGATCACCTTTAGCTATTCCTCACGCTCGTCACAACGCAGCTTTAGACCAAACCGAATTCCCGATTGACGATATGGTTCAATATTCTTGTTTCCCTGGCTACGATTCTGAGGGGTTTACCAATGCCAAGTGTCTCTATTATAACGGTACCGCTCAGTGGTTGGGACCTGATCTAAAGTGTATTCGTAAGTAGTATTTACTCACAGTTATTTTTCATTAATCTTTGGTCTAATTGTAACGATTAAGAATCAATAAGAACTCATCATAGGATTGATCTTTAAGATTATATCATGAAACAGGAAGGAAAAAGATGAAGAATTTTCAATTATTTTCAAATGTTCGGAAATTGAATATTTCTAGTTCATTTATCTCTCATCATCATGTCCATATAAAGAATCACAAGAATTTAATGATGAGAAAAGAATATAAAAAAATTCTCTTCGAGCAATTCAACCTTCTTCGCTCTTTTTTGTTCATCTTCTTTCTCCATCTTGTTTACCACCCACTTCCACCTTGTTCCTCATCTTCTTGTTCTGTTTCTTCATCAATATTGGAACATTGGACAAAAGAAGGAAAATCTTCAACTCCTCATGATTATCATGGTGATATTGAAAGATTTTATTCTTTTCATCTCTCCCTCTCTTCGTCATCATGACCATCAAATCTGATTTTAATAAAAATAATCAAAAAACATGAAAAGAATAGGTGAAGAAGAAGAAGAAGAAAAAAAAGAATAGAAAAAAAGATGAGAAAAATGTGACAGAACTGAAGAACAAGATGAAAATTCTGAGGTAGATAGAGAATGAACTGGGAATGATAATGATGAAGATAAAGGATAGAGAGAAATGAAGATGATAATGACAAAAGATGAGGATAAAATGATGACAATGCGAGAGATTATCATTGTTATTGTGTTGATTTTTCTGGTCAACAAAAAAAAAGTTGGAATGTGAATAAGCTTCATGATAATTTCATGATAACTTTAGGAGGGGAAAGTTCATCAGTAAGATAACAAATGAAAATGAATTCATTGAAATAACAAGAATAATTCTGTAGGAAGAAGATAAAAATATTCCAAAGGGGAAAAAATTCTTTCATTTTTGTTCTCTTTTTATTCCTTTCATTGTTGTCCAGCTAAAAGTTGTGGTCATCCAGGGGATATCGAAAATGGTTCTAAAGAGGGTTACATGAACACCTTCACCTCAAAAGTTACTTATTCCTGTGATCAGGGTTACCTGATCAAGGGTCGATCTTCCCGTTATTGTCAATCAAATGGACAGTGGTCAGGAATCGCACCAACATGTATACGTAAGTATCAAAATGCTCACAATGTTCATTATTATTCAGTATTATTACTCATCCTGATAATCACAATGATGAAAAAACTATAATCTTATTGATTTTGATTTAATGGTCAGTTTTATCATCTTATTGGTCAATTTGGTTCATGGGAATCTTGAATAAAACTATTTTGTTTTTGCTTTATTGATATTTGTGTATCATCTTGATATTATTATCATTATGTTTAATGGTCAGTGATTGATGATTTATTATTATCATTACAATTTAGTCTTAACTCTGATACATAAAGTTAATTATATGTGCTGAACGATTGGTCAACAATGATAATAATACATTATGATAATATCATCATCATCATCATCTTACTTAATGGTAATTTTAATCAATTATTGATAATAATTAATGCATGTTGAATGTACCAAGAAAATGGATTCCCAACAAAATGATGATAATCTTGTTGCTTGTGATGGTCAAAGGATGGGTCAAAGTTGATTTGTCCCTTTGTTTTTCTTGTTGTGTCAGTGAATGTAATTATTGACCATTCTCATTGTACTGGTCAAGCATATAATTGTTTTCTTTTTTGTGTGTGTATGTGAGAGGAAAAAAACGAATTTCGAAACAAAAGGAAAACGAAAACTTTTTTCTTTCTCTTTCAATCAGCTGTTCGATGTGAGAAACCTGTTGATCCTGAAAATGGAAGAGCAAATTATACATCAACTAATTATAAGTCAACGGTCACTTATGATTGTCGCTACGGGTACTCATTAGTTGGACTTGTGAGTCGAACCTGTGGTTCAGATAAACAATGGGAAGGAGAGACACCCAAATGTATTGAGATTGAATGTCAACTTCCTGGTTTTGACAGCGGCGGTGGAGGTGGAGGCGGAGGGTTGCCTAATGGTTACATTGAAGGTAGACGAACCTCAGTTGGCTCAAAGATTTGGTTTAAATGTTACGAAGACATGGTCTTCATTGGTCCATCTGAATCAGCAAAATGCCAAGAAGATGGCACCTGGTCACACCCTTTACCTGGTTGTTATGCTCCTTGTTTGGTTCCTGATATAATAAATGGTCGTATCAATAACATCGCCCCAGGGTCAAGGGTTCCTCATGGTACCATAATCAATGCAACATGTAAACCACAATATGAACTTTCATCAACCGCATCACCTTTCCTGTGTAATAATGGCTCTTGGACTCATATACCCAAATGTATTCCAGGTAAGAAAAAGATTCAACAGAAATTCAGTCAACACTAATCATGGAAATCATGATGAAATGATTTGTTTTCACTCGTGTTAATTTAACTCTCTGTCTCTCTCACTTTCTGTATGTTTTCTGGTTTTTTTACTCATTGTCTCTATTCACATGGTAATTAGCTAATTAATTGTTAGTTGACTTAATCATGGTAATCATCAGAGTCTTAAATGATTAAAATACCATTAGAATGGAATAAGATTTTTTCTCTCTCTCTCTTTCTGCTTGTTTATTAATCGTCGAACCAACAATTTGTTGATTGTAATAATATTTAATATAAGAAAAGGAAAATGATTAAAGGACAATTGAACCGAGAAAATAATAAATGATAACAAGTGAAGGAAGAAGAGGAAGAAAATAAAATGATCTTCCTCTCGTCATCTTCCACCCACTTTCTCCCTTTGTATCGAATGCAATTATGAAACAATCATGCATCTATCAATGAACGAATCAGATAAATTTGCTCAGAATCTTGATTATTACTAATATCATCATCATCATCTCTCTCTCTCTCACTTTTTACATGATGGAAAATGATGATAAATAAAAGATGTTGATCCATGCGAAAAACTTTATCATCATCTGAAACTAATTCATTGATGCATCAGCAGCACAAATATTAAGGTTTCATCTTCATTATCATCTCGGTGAAAAAATGAATGATGAAAAAAAAATCTTCATCATCACCATAATATTATCATATTTATATGATGATTCAGTCAGAATTTTTTTTTTCAATTTCATGAGTTAACATGGTAACTATTTATTACAATATTTACAATCAACAAAAAGTATACAAAATTAACATGATTAGTGTTTGATCAACACATTTCATTTAATTTCAATAATTTTATTCATCAAAACAATTAAGAAACTCAATTTGATCCTATTAACCATAATAAGAGTTTGATGATCAATTAAATGAATGATAATTGACATTTAATTACCAATCCCTCTCTCAATCTCATTAACTTTTGCTAATTATTATTGTTAATATTTATATCTTTTAATGGACATTAAATTACAATGGTCAGTTTAATTTCCCATAAGGACACTTGACCAAAAAATATCTGGACCATAAACATTATCAATATTATGATGACCATTGCTAAATATATAATGATGATGATGATGATCAAATCGCTTTGATAATATTATATTAATAACAATTAGAGTGATAATTTATTACTTAAATAACATGACAAGTCCAGTTTAACTGGATTTGAATTAATATCAAATCAAATACTATCCTACTGGTCAAGAAAACTGGACTTAACAAATGAGTGACACTCTGAATGGAGACAATGTTGATGACAAGTGATGATAAACAATCATGATTACAATTAACTTTTTTTCCATTGTAATAAAACAACAATCAACTTATAATATTAACAATTCATAGACACTCATTCAGAAAGATTATCAAAAAAACAGAGACTGACCTGAGAAGGTCAATAGGTCAAATTGAAGTTGATAATCTTGACCAAATCAAAGGTAATGATTGTCATCACTTTCCAATGATTTATTGGGATTGAAAAGTAGAGTCAATTTTAATTTTTCTCTGGATAAATTTGTTGATCACTTTTAATCTGTTGAGACTTTTTTCCCCTATTTTCTGGTGACAGTTTGTTTGGTTTGTGACAATTTCAATTCTCAGGGAAAATCTTATCATCATCATCATCATCATCATCTCATCATCAACTTTTAACTCTTACAGTTAGCAAACATGTAATGTGTATATAAAGAGTAACATGATAAATTCAGAAAGTGTCGTGAAAATGTAATAGGAAATGAAATAGGAATAGGAATCAAGGGAATTCGTAATATAACAATTTGAGATTATTGTTATTACTATTATATAATAGTATTTATAATATATATCATGAAAATGAACATGAACTTTTACTGAATAGCAAAATTTGACAAAAAATTCAAGAGAAAAGAATATAAAACTTTTCTTCTTTATTTCTCTGTCAACTTATATCATTATTATTACATAGACTTTAATATTATCAGTATTGTCCATTTGTAATTTAGTGTCAAGTTGAAATTTCACATCTCAACAGTTTCAAGTGAATCTTTTACAGGGTGAATTGAGTGGATGAAGGATGAAGATGCTAAATGTTAAAGTTAATTTAGTTTTTTCCATCATCATGAAAAGTTGATCAACTGATCAAAGGATCAGATTTATAACCCTTTCGTGTTAATTAAATTCTTAGTCACCTATTAAAATGTAACTAAATTAAGATTATCATGATTACCAGATTTTGATACTCCTTTGATTACAAGTTAACTCAACCATTGAATTGTCTCATCCTACCAACAATTTAACTCTAATTACTTTACATTGACAATAACTTGAAGATGAGTTTTTTGTTGTTGTTGTTGTTGTTGTTGTTAGGATCAAATCACAATTAACTAATCAATCAAGCTTTTACACTCTATAATTAGTATTATACACATGTAGTTAAGTCACATTTTCTTATTGTTTCTCTTAATTGTTCATCAGCTCGATGTAAAAGATTACCTGATCGACCTAAAAATGGTATTGTCATTGCCCCCAAAACTGACCATGGGTCAAAAGCTTTATATAAATGTTCCGATGGTTACAATCTGATTGGCTTTAATACAACTCAATGTAATTTTGGTAAATGGACAAAAGCAACACCAGTTTGTCATGAAGGTAATTGATTAATCATCATAATCTTTTCCCCTTCTACAAGTAAACTAATTAATTAGACTAATTAATTAACAAAAGTAAATATTACAAAATTTAAATTAACTTTTTCTTTCATTAAAAGTTAATTGTTATCATTATAATATGAGAATTATATCAAGTCAAGTGCGATTTTATTGATTGAATGTAAAGTTTACAATCAATTTCACATATTCGTATATGTTTACTGGTCACTACTGGTCAATGATTAATGTTGTTACTTTAAATGAAAATGTAAATACAATTAATCAATTTAACTTTGGGTGAAAATTTCAATTCCCTTCAACTGGATTATCACTCCATTTATTTTCATATTATATACATAAATACAACTCTTTATAATCCTCTACACTTTGACCTTTTCCTTTTCTTTTTTTTTTCTTTGACCTTTCGTTAGTTTATTGTCCATTCCCTGGATCCATTGATCGCGGTCGAATCCTATTGGTAGGTCACATGGGAATGTATGATTATCGTCCATATGTCCGAAAGATTATGAATAATAAGCAAATTGTTTATGAATGTGATAAAGGATTCTTGGTCTCAGGTCCCCCTGGGGCTACTTGTGTTGATGGTCAATGGTCACCATCAGAATTACCTAAATGTTTTAAAGCAAATTATCCTAATATCCAATTGGAAAATCCTAAGAGAAGAAAACGAGAGAGAATTTAATTGTTATCATATGATAATCGATGTTAAAAGAAAATAACAATCAATCCATTAATGAGAATTGGATCTAAATCATCATCATTATCTTTATCATCATATTAATCTTCATCTTCATCTTAATCTTTGAGAGATAATCTTTTCTAATAACATAAAATAGTTACTTCAGGTTAGTAGATGAAAACTTTTTCTCCTCCTTGTATTGTGAGTTAATTGTTTCTCAACAATTAAAGATAATTTATTTTCTATTACCTTTTTCTTTTTGATTATCTTTCTCATAATAGATTAACTTTTAATCTTTTAATCAAAATTGGAAAAGGATTAGGACAATTACAAGTGAAGGTGGAGAGGTGAGTGGGTCCATGTTAAAGGGAATTGGAACTGAATTTTCATGAACAAAATGAATCAACAGATGAACTAAACAATTCTAGACCTTAATTGCTAATTCTCATTCTAATTGTTTCCAAATTGCACTTGCTGATAAAACAATTAACTGTTGATCTAATCAACTAAGTTGTTTCTCACTTTAAATGTCAATTTGTCTTTTCAATTTTTCTTAGTTTTGTTGATTGTAATCAATTGTTTTTCTTTTCATATGTTGATATTATCAGCTGATTGTAAGCCAATTGAAAGTACACCTTGGATGGAGGTGACCACTGTCCAAGGCTTCCATGGTTCCCATTCAGCCAATGAAACTAATCCTCATGGTACATTGATTCAGGTTTCATGTAGTTCAAAGTATTCACTGAATATTGGCAAAAATCGGACAGTCAAGTGTATAAAAGGCCAATGGAAACCTCGAACTCCTGTTTGTCTATTAACACCATGTTCAATTCCAACCCTTGACAATGGTCAATATTTTATGGTCAATTTAAATTCATCATCATCTCTACCACCGGGATCAAAAGTTTCATCGGGTGAAAATATAACAATCATCTGTAATTCAGGTTATCAGATTATTACAACACCTTCATCACCTTTATCCTCATCACTTTCAACAGCATCTTCATCTATACCTTCATCTATTAATATATCTTGTTCATCGGGTAACTGGCAAGTAGTTAACGGTACTTGGCCTGAATGTTATCCATCATCATGTCGCTTACCTGAAATTTTTCATGGTCAATATTTGTCTGGCTATCGGGCAGGAAAAACAGTTTCATCTGGATCTTTTGTCCAATATCAGTGTTTATCACCTGATTATTCAAGGTCAACCCATCGTCCAATCCGTTGTATTGAAGGTCAATTTCGTCCTGAAGCTCCCGCTTGTATTAAATTATCAACAAGTTCTCCCTCCTTATCATCTGAAAGTTTCAGTAAAACTAGACCAGAAATGGACAGTTTTGCAAGAAGAGGTGAAGAAAAAGTTGCTGACACAATTGATGAAGATGAAGATGCAAGAGTTGTGGCAATAATTGAGGAAGATGCTAAGGAAGAGAAATACTTAGATGGACTCAGTGATAGTCTAAGGTCATTTAAATGGTGTCCACCTCCTCAAAATTATAATTCATTGCTCAAATTTCCCGATAATCAATTGATAACCATTGTGCCACCAACAACATCCCCATCACCTACAACAACAACACCATCATCTTCACAATCATCAAAAAGTTTCACAAGTGATACTATTGACTTTTCATTATCATCAATTGATAGTTTCACTGAATCATTTATCAACAGTGCCAATGAAACAATTAACTCTTTGTTCAATATTTCTCAATCATCAAATGAAACACTGAATGAAACTCAGGGTATCAATTACTATGAACAAGGTTACTTACCACCGGGTTCAGAGGTTATATTTAAATGTATCCCACTTGCAGGTCCTGGAGTTAATAAGCAGCGTACCTTTAGGAAAACCTCATGGAAACTTATCTGTGATTCAAATTCAGGCTCATGGTTGGGTGTAAGTTTACCCTGTATGGATGAAAATGATGATAACCTGAATCTGGATTCATTGATGAATGCAAGTTGTACCTTTGAATATGGTATAACCATTGGTGACCATGTACTTGCTTTCATTGAAGATACTCAGCCAATTCATGAGGCCGATTATCCCTCGGGCACTGTAATCAAGTTGAGATGCCTTGATATTGGTAAATACAGTTTACAGGGTAGTTCAACAAGGAAATGTGTCTATGGTGATTGGGATGGAGTTAAGCCCGTTTGCTATGGACTTTCACAGCAACATGATTATGCACGTAAGTTTTTCAATTCAACATAATTAAGGTTAATTGATCGACTAATTTTTTGTCCCTTTTATTTAGTTGAAAAACCTCCGACAATTTTATTCCGTCATCTGTCCGGTCCAATTGCTCAAAGTAATGATGGTCACCTAATTGTTCATCCTGGAACAATATTACATCTTGAGTGTCTTTGGATTCGTAAATTTGGTACACCCGTTTGGGAGGTTGACCATGGTCATCGAGCTTACCCTCAAGGATGGACAACTGACCCCGCTCGTGATTCGACCCTTGAATATCGTCTGTCCATCTATCATGCCGATGAAACAGACTCAGGTACTTATACCTGTGTTACTCCAGTTAAACACCGACATTCAGTTACAATCATAGTTAAAGGTAACGAAACAAAACATTCGAATAACCATTTTGACCTATTGATCGATTTTTTTCTATTAATGAATCTTTTTCTCAATATTTTCGTAGCAATTTTTTGTCCTGAACTTCAATTACCTGATGGAATTCAAATTAACACTAATGAAATCAAAATGAATACCAAAGTTATCTTTAATTGTGCCAACAATCATCTAATGAAATTAAATGGAAGGGATCAAACTATTTGTTTACCTTCTGGACGTTGGTCAAATCCAGTTCCAATTTGTGTCCATAATTAACTCTAAATTGAATCAATAATAATCATAATGTAAATTATCTAACCATTTGTTCAATGTCATTGATGTAATTGTCACGAAATTTTGACCTTCATTTTTTCTGGAAATAAAAATTAATTCTTCCGTTTATTCAATTGTTTAACTTTTTGTTTCCTCGAAAAACAAAATTGACGAAAAAAAGTTCGAGACTATTTAATTTTCCCTCACCAGATGGAGTTAAATAGAGTCTCAATTGTTACAACAATTGAGATTAAATTAGTTAATCATTTGTTTCCTTTTCTATTCAAAGACCAACCAGTAATTGTCCAATTATGTCTATTAACAATTAAGAATAACAATTTAAATTCATTGGCAAGAATCATTTGTCATAACATAAAGAACCTCCAATGGCTAATTAGTTGAATTTGAGAGTCTAAATGATTAGTTTTGTTCACCTGATCAGTTGAGTCTAATTGATGAGACCAACAATTAAATTTACTCGCCGATTGGGCCAAAATTGATTCCATTAATTGTAATATACAATTAAAGGGCAATTTTGGTAATGATTGATAAATGAGAGTAATGAAAAAATGATCAAATTGTCGAGTGACTTTTTTTGCTGCATTAATTGTATGTGAACACGATTCGTTACTATGATTAAGTATGGAAAGAAAAAAATTAACTGATTAGATTGGTGAGTAAATTAAATCAATCAATTAACCATCCGTGTCAATTAAGTGTCACAAAAACGTTTCCATAATCATGAAGCTTAAAACTTTTGATGATTTATAAATTGTTACTTATTGGAAAATGATCAGAATCTGATAATCAACAATTTAAATGTTGATACATTGACCGAGAAAATCAATCGATCATCAATTGTGGTCATAAATATAACGGTGAATAACTTTTAATCACAATTAAATGATGATGTTAACATTTGTGTATTCATTGATTAGAATCCATCTCCTAAATTAGTTGGTTAATTGAAAGGACAAATGTGAAAATAAACGAGCAATTAAATTTAATTTGGCAGAAACAAAGTGTCTCTCATATTGGATTAGCCAAATTAACTTTCACCAGTCCAATTTGATTGACAATCAACTTAATTGCCAAATGTAAATTTAGTCATTTTAAAATTAAACTCACCTTTAAATTGTAATTTAATTTGCTAATCAAGTGTTTCATTTGATTGTTTTTACTCATTACTTTTTTGCTTTGATTAGCCTCATCATTTGTTTTAATCACAATTAATTTAATTGATGATCATGTTGGTACAATTATTGTTTCCATTGTTATTAAGACAATCAATGAATGTCAACATCATATTGATGTTTAATTGTTGTTAAAATTAATCAACTGTGTTCCTCTTTTTCAATTGTCATAATCAAAATCCTTTTTTTTGTTCATTTCGTTAATTAAATAATCCAGCAAATTAAGTGACAATCAACGATAATTAATAAGCCAAACAATTTATGGAAAGGTTTAAGATCAGTGATTTGTTATTAACCATAGTGGACATTGTGTTGTTGTTGATAATTGTTTTCTTGTGGTCAGTTGATGGATATTCAATTGGATCCGATGGTTCATCGAGAAACAATCAACTGGTCAAGAAACGTCTCGATTATGTTCAGATATAATTCAGGTGACTCGAAAACTATTGGAAAATGACCTGATGAGAGATGTCATTTATCCTAAATTAACGGAAGATGGGATGTTTGGTAAATCGACGAAGATCATTGAGAGCCGATCACCGCCTCGTCGAAATGTGATCCACTTTCCGAATAATAATAAGCAATATTATGACAGAGTAAATAGTCAACAATTTAACCGTTCAGAGAATTCACGATTTAAACGTCAACATGGTTTACATGGAGAGTTATTAGTAAACAATCAACAATATAATCAACAGAAATTGTTTAATCATCATGAATATCCGAAAATTGTTCAACCCTTGCCTAGTCAAACAATTAACTTGGTTCCTTTTAATGTTCCTTATGATGAGACCGGACAATTAGATAGACAACCTCAAGCTTATATTGTTGATTTAACTTCACTTAATGATCATCAATCAACATCATCAATTGATCATGATGATGGACAATCTCATCATCAGATTGATTTGACGCGACAAATTAGACCACGATATTATGGTGATGGTCAAGAGGAGATTAATCTGGAAAGAAGGCAAGATGAAGAGGGTCAAGAAAATGGTGCAGGTGAAGGTGAACCTGTGGCCGATTCAAAGGAGCCCAATGTGGTCAAGAAAACTTTTGGATACAAGGTGACCCTTTACAAGAGTCCAAACATTAAAGGTAAGACGGACAATCTTTAATCATCTATTTTGTGAATGAATCAATAAATTGTCAGGTTAACATGCAATTTAAATCAAATAAACCAATAAAGATGCGGACAAAATTCATAAGACAAAATGCAAATTATTAATATAATTATGCATAAAAGAGTATAATTAACGAGCATCGTCTCGAGTTAGAACTTACAGTATGTATTAATCATACAGCCATCGACTTTGAGTTTGCAACCACTTTTAATTTACTCGCGGCGATAATGATAATCAATGAGAGATTAAGCTAACCCAAAAATATGATAATAATCAATGTCCTCTCAATTAACTGGTGTTATCTTTTCAAATGGTCATCCGATTGATTTATCTTTGACTAATTATCAGTAACTTAAAAGTACGAGTAAATTAAAAGTGATTGCAAACTCAAAGTCAATGGCTGTATGAAATGAAATCAACCGATAAAAGTTAAACAGGGCTATTCAGCTATTTTTACCGATGTTTTTTGCGATTTTCTCAGCAATTAAGAATCAAAGAGACTTGAGTGGTATGAGTTTGAGCGATACTCAATTGTCATATATAAAGATCAAGGTAATTCAAGTCATTGTTGAAAGAGAGCGTTTCAAGGTCATCTGAAGGTAATTTAACAAAAAACAATGTTCACAGATATTAATGGCAAGTTTTGAGGTTTCTATGAGCTTTGCTATGCACGTTAAGGTAAATTTATTGGATAGGAGATTAGCAACAGTTATTCAATTGAATTGTAATATCTCAAGAACTGTGACAAGTAAAGTGCAACTACTTTTCAGACTGTATTTGTTATTTGTTTGCATTACAAGATGAAAACCGCAGGAATTATTTCCAAAGAGTTTTCATAGATCAAATGGAGGAACGATGAATTTCGTTGTAACTGATATTCGAAACTAATAACTAACCTAATGAGAACCTGCAATTCAGCAATTTCTTGAAATTACTAGATGACCTTGAAACGTCTAACAATGATGAACTAACATGATCTTTATGACAATCATGACTCAAGTCTTGAGTCGATTCTTAGTTGCTGAATAAATCGTTTAATATTCGTAGATACTTAATATTTATGAAAGAAATATCAAATTCATCTGATTTTTCAGTGCTAAAGATTAATTAGTTCAAAAGATTGAAGAGGTTAATTGAGATAAAGTTCAATACAGGGCATCTCAACTTCATTTTACGCACGTTTATGTACAACTCGAGAACCATTTGAACTATGAAGCTCAAACCTCGTACAGATACAGTTCAGAGTTGAAGGACTTAGAGTGAAAATTTTTATGGTCATTTCTCGATAAGCTCATTTGATTTGAAGGTTTTTTTGTAAAGAAGAATATCAGGTTATCCCATTTTCAAAGTTCGAATAGATTATTGTAATTAATGTAATCTCAGGTTATTAATCGTTCTTTAGGTGGTCAGTCTACTTGCGTTCTCTCTTATTCTCCCGCCTTTCGAAAAAGGTATAAAACTAAATTAGGCAGAGATATTAATAGACAAAACTGTATGAAGAAGAGTAATTCCTGTTAAATTCTCACCCACAAAGTCCATTAATTAATTTGTGTAAACTTATGTATCGTTTTGTTATTCACTAAGCTTCGACATTGCAGTTCATTTAACCAAGAAGATCACTTTTGAACATTGTGCTGGTCATACTTTATATGACAATATGAACATTAAAGTCTGATCATTGCGTCATTTTTCAGAAAATGACGAAACATCATACGCTCATAGAGCTTACATAATGAGGCAGTTTGTTCATCTGTCACACTGATTGTATCGATGGTCTAGTTGATTGTTGAATGTTTTGATTAAATGCACATAATTGAATTTTGTTTTGGAAATATTTTAATTGTCTCTAATTAAATTAATTGCTTGTGAATCTCTTTCTAGAGCCTCAAATTTTAACAGAGGAATTTTTTGGTGATGGGAAGAAGAAAAAAGTTATCAAAATATTGAAAAAAGATGAGAATCAACCTGAAGGACAGAAAAGTCGATCAGAACAATTAAGTCAACAATCAAGTTCATCTTCAGGTCGATATGTTCCACAATTCATTGCCGCTCCGGTTGGAACTATGGACCAAGTAGATGAAGATGAACTTGAAGCTAATCGTAAATTGTTATCCGCAGTTCGTAAACAATTAGCTAGTGAAAAAGGTATTGAAGCGACTCGAACCATCTCGAAATCAGGTGATGAAAAGCAACACGATAAAAAAGGGGCCAGAGAAAAAGCTCTTCGAGAGAAAACACAAATCGAATTTTTTGAGAGAGGTATTCAAGTGTAACAAGTTCTTTAAAATCAAGTATAACTGACCACTAATATTGACCTTGTTTCTTATTTTTAAAAATGAATAATAGAGAAAATTTTTGACGATCAATTTGGTAAAAAGTTGGAAGAACAACCGAAACAGCACCAGTTTCCCGCTATGCAAGATCGACCAGAGATCATCCGTTTAACAACAGCGGCACCAGAACCACCACCACCACCACCACCGCCTCAGCGAAATCGTGATCGTGATCAGATAACTGTGGTCACTCCAGATGATATAAGTAATGCGGGAAACACTGAAGGGATGGACTTTCAATCACTTCATGATCTTTTATTGAAACGTTTAAAAGGCTGGAGGGAAAAAGGTTATAAGATCACAACTGAACTTGAGATTGTCCAAAGAGGTGAATAGAATTGACCTTAACGATAAACAGATTATATGAATAATTAATTTAAATTAATATTTCAGGTGCAGTCCATGATAAGGAAAGGTCAGTGAGAGAACGAGGTAAAGGTCAACAAACATTTCAAAGGTACGAAAGTGGAGGTGCAATTCGAGGTAATAGTAAATCTCCAGATTCTTATGGAGGAGGAAATATCAATGAACAAGGATTCGGTCAAATTGAACCGTTAACGGTGACCCATGTTTCTCCCGATAACGATAAGCCTCATCATCTCACTCACCATAATCATCACTCTCTTCCTCATCATCATCATCACCATCAAAACAATATGAAAGTTAATGGAGGTGCTAAAAACACTGATGAAGAAGAGGAAAACAATCAACAGGGAAACTTATTCAGTAGTTTACCCAAATTTTTAATCGACCCACCAGATTATGAGGCAGCTCTAGATGGACACAACGGTCAGAAAGTGGACCCAATCATTGAAATGGTTCCTCAAGACCCAAGGCAGCAATTACAACTGCATCAACCAGCACCACCTCATCATATTGTCCATGCACCACCCCACCATCATCACACGGTGCTACTTCACCACCATCACCAACCACATCCACCTCCACCACCAGAAGCGTTGAAACTTGTCCAACCCAACCAGAAAGCGCCACCGAAAACAAGTCAATTAGTTTCGATCAATAATATCACAAATATTTCCAATAAACCGATTCAAAAAGGTCGAAAATATTCATTCAAGGGAATGACTCGAAAAATACCTTCGACTACAGATGAGAGCGGGAAAAAAGATTCTTCTATTGATAAGTCGATGGATAAAAACACTGAGAAAACTAAAGTAACTTCACCATCGACACCGATTACATTGCTTTCTGATAAGTCAGAGAATCAGTTGAATAAAAATAACGGAAATCAAAGTAAAAGTAAACAAAAAGATGAACAATCGAATCGTAGATTGGCCGCTCAGAAAAGACTCAAAGCAAAGGCCAAACAAAAAGCTAAACTTCAGCAACAATTACAACAGAAACAATATCAAAATCAAGTGAAACAACAACAAAAACTTCAACAACAGCAACAACAGCAAATCAAACAGCAACAATTACAACAATATAAATCCTCAAATCAACCAATTAATCAATCAAATAAACCAAATCAAAATATTTTCCAATCTCCAATGTCCATTCAAGATCAGATATTATATCCAGCTTCACCTTTGACAGGTAACTCTATTCATAGAGGAATCGAGGGTGTCCCACCTTCTCGTGCTAATGGCGGTGGTGTTGATCTAACAAATCCACTGAGTTTCCTGGGTGGTGTTCATGAGGGTCTCTTCATGCCCAATGAGAATGGATTTGATGATATTTCATTTGGAAATCCAACCTTAATCACACTTCCAGGGTTACTTGATTCACCGAATGGTGAACACGAGAATCCATTGAACGAACATTTCAGATCTTTAATGAATCAAGGTGGTGTTGATGGTGGAGGTGGAGGAATGACAGGTAATAGTAATAATGATGTGAATGGTGGGAAACAAAATTTTCACAATTTCGATTTGAATGAACCTGAAAAGAAAATCCCTCATCCGAATACAATTTCATATGAAGATTCACTCAATTCTCTTCGTCCTCCTCCTCACACCGAGATTCTTATCGGTAAACCAGCACCAGGAGTTAAACAATTACCACCAAAAACCAATTCAATGACCTCAACTGGACAGTACAGAAATCAAAATGTTAACAATAATCACAAGATTCGGGATTATCCAACCTCGATACAAGATATTACAAGGGGTAAGAAAATGTCCAACAGTTATGGTGTCGAGCCAGGATTCGGTCGAGAGTCACCAGATAATCTTAATGTACCAGATAAAGAAACTGATCCGCTATTAAATCATTTTAAAAACGATCTATTCAACAAACTACCAAATGAGTGGACTGATCAACAAGGATTAACAATTGGAAATAACAATAATAATCATAAAGATAATCATCAAATAAATTGGTTGCAACATGAGAATCGAGATGTTAACTCGATTAAAAATAATCCACAACCAGTTCTATGGGATAAAAGAAGTAAAATCAATCAACCTAAACAATTGAATGTTTTAACTGATCAACATCATCATGGAATCAATCATCAAACTAATCAATTGATTAACATGAACAATTATCTTGGGAATAGAGGATTAACCCGATATTCAACTGAGAAACCGAATGTTAAACAAAAGTTAAGTTTCACTTTCAATGAACCTTTGGAATTGATTCCTGGTGAGAAGGTTAAACCGGGTGATTATCGACAATCAATTTGGGCTGAACCCGAATTTGAACAAATAAAGATCTCAAATAATCGAAAGCGAAATAGAAAGCAGAAAAATAACTCGAAAGGTCAAACCAATGGACAACAACAACAGAACCAAATGATGGACGATATTTTCTCGATCGGTTTTGACTCTCAGCGGGTTCGATCACCAAAAAATCATGACCTTATTTCCCATTCCTCTCAAGTTTACCCTTTGATTGGTGGTTATTCACCTTTCATTATACCAACAACAACGGGTGATTTTAATTCACTTGATTCTGAGACTGAGACTGATTCTGATGTTGATGATTATCATGATGAAATGACTGATAATAATTCTGGTTACTTAAATCATGATAACAATCAACCTGAAGATGAGATTATCAATGAAAAGAGGAGGCAATTTATTGATAACTCAACCGATGATAAGATTAACATTAATGGTGTTAATTACTCTTCTTCTCTTAATTCAACTATTGGTGATTTAAATGAAGATCCAACCAACAATCAACAGAAAAACCCAATCAATAACAATCTTGATATTGTGATTAAAGAGCAAATTAATGGGATAAAAGTAATCAACAGATTAATCCAAATGAAAGCATTTCCTTCAAAGGGATAACTTCAAATTCTGGGTCATCAATCTGGTCACAACCATGTCCAACATGTCCAGAAATTTAATTGTCGATTCAATCATCTAAATTGTTATTGAGAAATTAAATTGTAAAATAATCAACAGACAAAAATAAACCAACAACTTTTTAAAGACAATTAGACAAAAATAAAGTAAAGATTATATAATGAAAAAGGAGAAACAACAATTAATTGTGAGATAATTAAAAGAAATACAGACAGTGAAAGCCTTAAGCAACGTAACAATTAGTTGATTTTTCAACAGTAAATTGGATTGAACAAAATTAAAGGTCAACCATTTCATGGTTATTATAACTGTTAATCAATCATAATCGGAGTTGAATTTCATATATTGATTTCCAAGCAATTAACTTAATCAAAGTGATTCTATTTATTATCGTGATTAATTGGTGAACCAATTAATAAATAAGATTTTAAATTGTGAGGAAAATGTTTTCTATCTGCAATTTAGATACATTAAATGATCAATTTTAATTGTTAAGTTATAATTATTGTTTCTCCACCAAGATGATTAGTGTTGATGGATCAGTCAAACCGAGAGGACGATTTGCTGATAGAGCGAAAGCTAAACTTAAAGCAATTAAATCAGTTTTCTCGTCTCGATCAAGTCGCTTATCTAAAATTGGAAGTGGCCTGGAAGATATTTCCAACACTTATTGTGACACTTTGATAACAGTTTCGTTATTAATCTTGGCAATTGTCAATGCAGTATGTAAGTAATAATATAATTGTTTGCGTGCAAATAAGCATTGGGCTGGAAAACGAGGGAACTTGGTCTTAGACTAAATTTTTAACGTTTTTTTTAGCGAGCTCAAAGTGATCTGTGTGCTTAAATTAAGCTTTGAGCTCAGGTTTTGGGAAAAAACATCCTAAGCGACAAATCAGCTTAAAGAGGAGATTCCCTCGGCTATAAGCGCTTATTTAACAACTGAATCAAATTGTTTAATTTTTTTGATTTTTTTCTCACTAGTTTTGTATCCCATTTATTATGGTGGCTTTTTAGCCGTCATTTACCCTGATTGGATGGCACCCGTGTCCCAGAATTACAACGAGACAGAGGACATTGAGCTGCAATCGGCCAACTCTTTACAAGTTATGGTATCGCGACTCAATTTGATTTCAAAAAAATTGGCTACGTTTTGTTACCGATCATCAACCGAAATATCAAGTTTATGTCAAAAATAATTGATTGATTTTCTGTGTATCCTTTAATTGTTACAGTAGCAGAAATACAACTTATCCTTAGAGGTTGATTGGTGTGCCTTTGATTACCCGTTTTCTTCATAATTGTATAATCAAAATTGTTTTTCCTTTATTGATTTTCCTCTATTGGTTCTTGAGCCGTTGTGACACATTTGATGTGGGTACTTTTGCTTATTGAAATGCGACGGTAAAAGGGTGTCTCATCTTTGGCTACTTGTGTCCAGTCGGGTTGATGTTGTTTAGCAGCAAATCCTGATATCCATAAGGCGATTCCCTGTAATATCCCTCAAGATAAAAATGGTTATTGGTTAATCTACACGTGAATTAGATTGTTAATTGTTGATCAAATTTACCGTAGCAAGTCCAAGGCAGACCAATGGCCATCCAGCTTTACGATAGCCCATATTTTCAACGAGAAAACCAGCCAATGCAGGACCCACTCCATTTCTGATGAAAAATAAAACAAATTGTAAAAGTTAATTGTTGTTGAATTTTGATTTTACTCATTAAATTGAGCAATTAGTATATTCAAATTTATCATAGAGTAAAAGTATTTACCCAAAGCAATAGAAAGCAACGAAAATACTACTAATTGTCCGTGGTATCAATGGATCGTCACAATATTCACTTCGTCTAAATAATAGGAATAACAATTAGCGACTAACAATTAAGAAATTAGGTTAATATATACCCATGAGCTTTCATTGCCCCATCAAATGTACCGACAAATGCGATCGCTAGGCCGATATGTAAAGTTATTTGTGATAAAACGATAGTCCAAAGTTGACTAATAACAGAATTGAGAAATGGAATCAAATGAAAATCAATCACAATTAAAAGCAATAGTTACGCTGTGAACGGAAGTCCATGTAAAGGTCCAAGGAACCCGATTGAAAAAGCACACAGAAAAAGACTGAAAGACGAAAGGTAAGTCGGATCGTCCATTTTATCAATAATCCAACCAAACAATTGCGATGAAATCGCATAAGTTAATCCACTGGCTAAGAAAATTGATCCAGTTTGAAAAGGAGATAATTGTGCAACCTAATTGAAAAGTAATAACTCTTTCAACATATTAATTTAAGTAATTTAATCTGACAATCAGTTAATTACCTCTCTAATATGAGGTTCCAGGGATGAATCATTGTAACTGAGGAAAACACAAGCGATAGTACTGACCACCAGATTCAAAGAGATCCAATAATTGGACATTACGAATTTGAAACTATTACCAGAAGACGAATCATTATCATGTTCTAATTAATAAGATGGATAAACAATTAGACGAAATACTGCCATCTGAAGATTGAAAAGTTAATTGTATCAATTTGTTGACTAATTCAAATGAATTTATTGATTGTAAATTCGTTTGTCAACTTTTTGATCAAATTATCAGATAATTGTGATTCTTCAATCTCTTACTTGGACTTGACGGAAGGACAACAAATATAATTAGGGCGGCGATCACTTCCATTACCGCCATGACAAAAAATGGACCTGAAAAATCAGTGTACTAGGAAATTAAGAGTTAATTGACAGTTAATTGTCCAATTGTAACTATTTACTTGGAATACAAGTCCTCCGATAAATGGTCCGAAGATTGAACCAAGTCCTTGGCCTAATTCAAAGGTTCCCTGGTCAAGAAGAGCACAGAGATGATTGATTAATACTCAATTTTGACCTGAATTCATCTAATTGATCAATTAACGTACGTAAGCTTGAGCCATGTGATGATTAAATAAAACTGGTATACTTGAGTAATTACCAGTAATTAAAGCTGAACTACCGACGGCTGATATTGAGCGGATAGTGAAAGCCAATATTATGAAACTCTGTCCGCCGGGTGACCATTTAAGTAAACTGATTGAAGTTCATTACGATTGAAAAAAAAAGAACACGTTTGATTGTAATTAAATGAACGAAACTGTCTAATTGTCAATATACCCTTAATTACTTTCTAATCATGAGTATTAACCTCTTCTAATTGTCCTCATTCAATACGAATAATTGTCTAATTGCTTCTCATGATAATCGTTTATTGATTTTCTTATAATCTCCCAATTGTTGATGATTTATATTTCATATTCCTATTAGTAAATCCAATTAAAGATTAAATAATAGATTGATATATTATTACAATCAAATTTAATCACGATAATCAAATCAATGTGAAACCCTATGAATTAAGCTGATTGTTAATCAACAAAAAAAAATCATGAAGCAAAAAAGTTACAATATTAACATTTTATGGTTATTAAAGTTGATTAACTAATTGTCCCTCTAATTGTTTAAAGTTGAAAAATTTTGATCGATAATCATGATTTTCAGTTAACGAGATTGACCTTAAATGTTGAGGTCACAATTTTCTTACCCGAAGCAAGCGATACTTATTGAGGCGAGAATCGCACCACCGATCACCATCCAGCGAGTTTTAATTACAGGTAACTAATCATTGGATCGAGGAAAAATGAAAAGGAAACCCCAACAATTAAGATTAACATAGAGTTAATTAAACAATTAGTTTGACCTTTAATTTACCAATTTAACAAATACTGGACACAGGAAAAAACAAATGACCTCTTGGATTGAAAATATTAAACCATATTGACTTGGTGAGGCTCCTTTAAGTTCAGCCTGGAAACAGTTAATCAATAGTTGATTAAACACTTAATTAGATGACAATTAAATTAACTAAGGGGGCTAATTGTTACCTCTTTGGGGAAAAATGGAGCCAAGATTGAATTGGAGGCACCAACACAAAAATTCATATAAAAATAAGCAATCAACAGTTTCTTTTGCTCTGTGGTCATCGGATGTGATTTACTTTCCCCTGAAGGCATTTTTAATCACAATTAACTAATAACTATTCAATTAATCACTATGTTTACTTTTTTTTCTGGGGTAACAGTTAATCAAAAAAAACTGGATTAAAGTTTTATCATCTCATTGAAACTTGAATAAAGACTAGTAAATGTAATGTTAATTGTGAATATCGTTTCACTGACTCAATCAAATAACAATTAAATTAAATTGTCGCTCATCTATTGATTCAACGGTTTCTACTTAATTTTTTATTTACAATGTTGATTTTTAATCAATGTTTTAATTTATTTTCCCATAGATTTGTCAATCATTTCTGTTATTTATCAACTTTTTTTACCAAAAAAACTTTTGCTTGATTGTTTCAAAATATTGATCATTACGACCAACAATTAACATTTAATTATTTGTTTATTGATGAGAAAATCAAAGTGTGTATTGTGTTAACAATCAGCAATTTAATTTCAATTTTTCTCCTCATAAGTTTGTCAAATAGATTCGTTGTAAATTGTTAACGCAACTGATTAGCTAAATTGTTAACAATCAAATTAAAGGTAAACAGTAAAAAAAATTGCTGATTAATGATGAATTAATTTCATCGAAAATTTTAATTGTAATTGTTTCCGTTTTGCTGATTATTGTTTACAATTGTCACGAACTTTTGTTTTCTGCTCACTTAATTGTCAATGAATATGACAATTAATCAAGTTAACTATTGTCACATACAATAAACAGTCAGAGTATTTTGATTGACAACAATCAAGAAAATTAAATCTACCAATGGACTTGATTGGATTGAAATTATTAAATCAGAAAATTAAATCGTCCAAATAAAAAAAAAGTTAATTCAGTTCAATATGAACATTAATTTTCTTATATTATGATTATATTCAAGTGATTAACTTGTAATTGTAAATCAAATAAATAAACTAATAAATTGATTAGTGTAATTTTTGGATGATCAATAAATTGCTTGAAGCAATTACAATTAAGAAAAGTGTAAAGGCCTCAATTTATTTATTGATTGTATTCAATTCGGGTTGATGGTGAGAGATTGAAGATTTTCATTTATGATTTACCAGCAATTAAGGGAACCAAATTAAAAGTAAATTAAATACAACAAGTTGATTATGATTAATAAATAGAGCATAAAATGAATTAATTTCAGTTGATTGTTGATACAATAGTTGCAAAAAAAAGACAAGAGGTCATCGAGTGTCAGTTAATGTCCAGTTAATGTTAATCATCAGAGTTTCTGAATATATTAATATATAAATTAAATTGTTCTGAGTGACTTTTAATCATTTCCAATAGATTGATAAGTTACTTTTTGCTGTTTACATTTACAATTAATGATTAACATTACATAATTTAGCAGAATCATTGGAAATTGTGATTAAATTTGACCAATAGGACCAAATAAATGATTCACTTAAATATATATTGATCATGTTTCGATGAAATTTGTAAAAATGATTAGATTACTTTTCTCATTATTACAATTCTAACCATAATCAGAATTAATTAGCTATTAACTGATTTTGTTATCAATTATATTGTTTAATGAAAATGTGTAAATCATTTTCATCAAATTTGGTTAAATTTGATTCCAATTGTTAGGATTTTTGTAAGTCAATTGATTGCTGGAAATCATCAATGGTATCAATTATTACATTATTGTCATTATATTATTACTTAAGATGATGGTGATGATGATGATGATGGGAAGATGATGATGGAGATGATGATGGGGCAGCGTATATATAATATTTATCCATTGAAGATGAAATTGATTTGGTTTGCACCGTGATCCATGATAATTATGATACGTAAATATAAATTGATTGGTGTTTAGAGATGACTTGATTTCAATGGATTGCTTTTTGTCAGTAACTATGCCCAGTCAAAGAGCGAGATAAATTGATTACAATCAAGGTAATTCTTTGACCACAAATGATGAGGTTGATGATGAACTGAATTAGAGTTGGATTATTATTATTGTTAAATTTAATCAACAGGAAACACTTTTGTTGTTGTCACTGTATTTATTTATCTCTGATGATTACCATAGGTTCTGGGTGATGATAGATGACAAATTCTGCGAGTTAATTCAGTCTGTAATTGTGAACACAAAGGAGAGAGAGAAAGAAAGAGAGAGATTGAAAAACAGTTCTGATGATTGATTAGATTGGAATTAATTTGATTCATTGAATTTGTTTACTTACCAAAGGTTCAAATTCTTTCTCTGAAACCAGATCAAATTCCGTGACAAAATAATAGAAGTGCTTGTAACAAGTATTAACATGAGCTTCCGCACCGATGGCTACCAAACGGTCAAAATGATGAATATACACATGGACAAATACTCGAAACAATCGAGTTAATATTTTCTTACAGGTTGGGATGAAATTTTTGGGAAAAGGTACATCGGTTTTAACGGGAAAAATGTCCTCATTGTTAATTTGAGCTTCCGTCCAATCCATTAGAAAGCCAACATATTTGGGTGCTGGTTGTGGTGTCGGTTTCTTAAACTTTTTACCATCAGCCCAAAGATATTCAAATTTAGGTCCACCCGACATTCTTGGGCATGTTTCCTCTGTACAATGGTCAGTTATTGTACCATAAATTAGGTTGATTCGGTTGAAAAAATCGACAACGTGTACAGCAATCCAATCGGAAAGATTTTCTCTTGGTGGTAATTTAACCGCTTCAACTAAATTTATTCCTGAATTTAATGATGCATGGGCATGTTTATGTAAAGAGTAACGTAAAGTACCGGGTTCAAATTTTTTCTTTGGTCGAAAAGTTCTGCCTTTTTGAAAAAACTCAACAAAACTCGCCATTGTCGATATATGGGAAAATTTTGCTTCCATGGTTGAATGTTGATCTACAGTTGTTGTTGTCTTATTTTCCGAAGTTACCTTACCTTTCTGCCAGTGATATAAACACAAAAGAGGTCGATTGATGATCTTAAAGTTAAACATTAACTAATTTAACGGTAACACAAAAATAAAACAAACTAATAATCATGTTAATCTTAACTCTCAACTGATTAACCTTTGTTTACTAAAATGAAACCAAATTCATCACCAAGATCGATTTTTAATCGATTTAAAATTCCAATAGATCGGAAAGAAAGGGAAACAAAAATAGACAGAAAAGTAGACAGAGAAAATAAAGAACAGAATTTAATTTCTATTGGATCTTTTTGTCCTTTTTTCATTATTATTACTTGTTTGATCCGAAAAAAAAAATTATTTCTGATTTTCAATCAATTGAAAAAAAAAACTAATGAACAAATAAGAAAATAATTCTACTTCTTGTCGAGAATTGAGAAAATGTTCTTAACCTGTCGCCATCTATTGACAATAGAATTTAACTGTGGATTCGGATATTTGATGGATTCGAATCCAAATCAGCTTCTTAAATTGGAATTAAATTTAATTGTGATTAGAGAGATAAATTAATGATTACAAGAGAAATTGAAGTGATTAAATTTAATTTTTATTTAGAATAAATAGTAGAAAATTCATCTGGAACAATTATTCCATTGTGATTGTGAGTAATCTTCTTTTCTTTTTCTTGTAAAAGTCTTGGGACGAAATAATTTGTTTTCTCTATTTGTGTTTAATTATTTTCTGTTCATATAGAAAATTCAAATTCTTTGTTTAATAGTATTTCCTGCAAATTTGTGGATTAATTTTGCAAAAATTCAAGAACTTTATCTTGGTTTTTTTGCATCTTACACCGGCGGAAAATATCCTGGGGCTGAGCTGTTTGAATCGTTTTAATAGTTTTGTCGCCAAAAAATTGTGATTAAAATTGAGTTTCAATTGGTGAAACCTGATGTCAAAGATGCTCATCAAATTCATGGATAACTGTAAGACAATGACCATTATCACATATTGATTGTTGATGGTAACAAGAATCACATTGACAGGTAACCTTTGATTCACAATTGGAACCATTAGTGGAAATTGATCCTTGATGATTTGATGATGCTAATTGTTGTTGCTGCTGCTGCTGTTGAGAACCTGATATTACCTGTGTTCCTGGTGATGGTGACAATGAGGATTGATTTAAAGAGGCAACTGTGATACCTGATGAAGGTTGAAGGCTAACATGAGATGAACCTGATGAGGTATTTGTTGTTTGCTGAAGATTAGTATGATTCTGATGAATATCTTGAGTCGTTGGTGGTGATCGTAAGGGAGACGATGAATCTGCATGATGAATATGATGATGTGACAAATGGTGAGATGTTGTTTCCGCTGTGAATGGACATAGATGATGATTTTCACAACAAAAACCTGCATAATGATGTTCACCCAAACTGGTTGTACCATTTGAAGGGCCATCAAGTCCTGATTGTATATCTACATAACGAACTGGTGAAAATTTGGATCGATTCTTGTCAACTTTATGCTTATTAATATAATAATAAACAGCTCCAAAGATTAGCCCATTGATTGTCAATAAAACAATTCCAATGGCAATTGTTAAACTCAATGCAGTTGAATAAATGGTACGATTATTGATAATATGTTGAATTGCAGTTGATTGATTTGATGTTGGATTATCACCATTATTATTATTACCATTGTTACTCGATTGACTATTAACTTTATTCTTATTTTCTTTATCTTTATTATCATTATTTAGATCATCTAAATTGTTACCACCAGCGAATGGCTCAGATGAGGTTAAACTTTTATCTCCTGACGATGAAGATGTTAATGGCTCCTTCTTTTTACCTCCATTGATTCCAGGAGATTGTAATGATGATAGAAATTTCAATGAAATCCTTTCGAAAACGGAAACTTGACCATTATTACCAAGAATCTCCTGATCTTGAAGATGTCGCTTTAAATGATCACTTTCCTCTTTGGCGTGACGCTCAAGTTTAGGAATCAAATTGAGCCAAAAAGATAATCTATGACTATGATAATGATCACGAATTTTTGGTTTCATCCCTAATTCATCATCGTCAATTGAATTACATCCAATATATATATATATAGAAAGAGATGACAACAGGAAATAGAAATAAATTGAAAAATGATCAAGCCCGATAATAGAGGATTTTTTTATATAAGATCCAATCAAGAGGAAAAGCAATCAAATTGAAATGTTGATAATTTTAAACATGTTAATTGGATCAGTTAATCGTATCATCCGTAAATTAACCAATTGATGCCAAAATTTCAAATACAATCCAAAAATATCCAAAGTTGACATTTATAAATATCGTTTGGTGGAAATACGTTGATGGTGATCATTGGCAATGACATTTCCATTGCAACAAAAAGCAGCAGAAAAACAGGAAACAGGAAATCAAAACGAAAATCATTGGGTGGTAAACATGGAGGAAGGAAGTTGGTTAAAAAAAGGCAGAAGAGGAGGAGAAGTTTCGATTTGATTGTTTGAAAAAAAAAGTTCGAAAAAAGAGAAGAACAAAAAATTCAATAGAAAATATAAGAAGGTAAGAAAAGGAAGAAAAAAACGAGGTAAGAAAAAAAAAGATCGAATTAGTTATTTAACCAAATTAATAAGAATAATAATAGATTTTTATGAACCAAATTAGATTCTAAAATTATCATGAATATGGAAGAATAGAAAAAAAATATTCTCTCTTCCTGATTATTTTCTGATGATAATAATAATGTTAATCATCTTTCTCTCTCTCTCTATCTTAATTCACATACAGAAATCAAATTGAAATTAATGGTTTGATGTTTCAAGAATTAGGAATCAAAACTGAGACTGAATCAAGAATTGGAATATAAATTTTACCGTTAAAATTGTAAAAATATCATTAACTCAACATCAAGGAAACAAAAGAAAAATGTTAGAAAACAAATCACTGAATCTAAATTATCAAAAAAAAAATCACCTAACTAATGATTAATTATGTTACATTAGATACTGATTTATATTGAATTAGGGTGAAAAAAACTCCAAGGAAAAATCAGTAAACTTGCCTGATATTTCATGAGGAAAATTATATTATTATGTCAGGGAAAAAACTTTTCCAACTTAAATATAAGAAAAAAAATCTTAATCATCATGTTGATAATAATAATCTTAATCATCTAACATTAATCTTTCAATAATATTAATCCAAACGATTTATACGAGACAATGTATTACATATCTAATGATGGAATCAGTAACTCAATCGATTGAATTGAATGTAGTTAAGAGATTTAATGACAACAATTGAAAAACAATTGAATCGCCAGCAATTAACTAGAAAGTTAATTGATCGATCAGAAAACTGAACAAGAAAAAAAAATTGATTATTGGTAGTAAATTGTTAATGAACTTGATTTAGTTTACCAATTTCAGATGAATATTGAATGATTGATTTAAAATGTTTTCTGTTATTAACTAATATTCAATGGGTTGGAAAAAAATTTAAAACGGAAACGGAACTGATGATAATATGATATTGATTAAGTTGCTGGTGATGATGAAATAATAAGATGATATCTTTTTACTAATGAGATAGAAAAAAAAAGTTGTAACAATTTAATAGTAGCTTGATTGTTATTATAGTTAATGGTGAACATGATGATAGTTGATTGGCCGATAATGAAGATGAGGATAAAATCATCATCAGGAAATGATTATCATGATTTAGATGTGGAGAAAAAAAAATCAACTGATAAGTAATTAATGTAATACCAATAGAAGTGAATATTTATCTTGATCATCGTAATAGTTGATGGAGATTAAGATGATTGAGAAGATAAAGTTTATCAAAGTGGAAAACAACTGATCGATTATCATTATTGTAAATTGACATGAAAAGTGATGATGATAATGATTTCTATCTTCTTGTTGATGAAAGTGAGAGAGAGAGAGAGAAGAGAACCAAAAAATTAAGATAAAATTGTAAAGATAAATAGATTGATAGATTCTGGTGTAAGTTCTGGGAGTGAGAAGGCAAAAGAGATGATAATAATAACGATAATGTTCAAGAAGAAGAGGATGAAGATAAAGGATGGCGATTATGTCCAGAATGATGAGGACGAGAAAGAGAAAGACATGAAAAGGAAACAATCAATTACATTTGACTTCTTCAAAATGTCGCCAGAACAATTTATTTCTTTACGATAAGAATAATATATGAAATTCTGGTTAGAATCGACATGAGAATCGCAGGAGAGAAAAAAAAATCAATTGTCATTTTCGATGTAAATACATAAACACAAACTCGTAAAAAAGAACAGAAATTGTGAGAACTTTTTCTTTTACGAAGAAGAAAAAAAAACTGGAGAGTGTAAAGGGAAGAAAAAAGAAAATCTAATTCGATAAAAATAGCGAATAGAAAGTGAATGTTATTGTCGAGGAGAACAAAAAAGATTTCGAAGTCGAAACAGTAATCAATTATTCCGAAAAGGGAAAAGTTTTATTCTTAAGGTGGATAATGAGCTTGAACCCACCGGTGGGAAGAATCAGACAAAGAGTATTAGGAAACGAAATGGATGTCGAGGAAGGTCAAAGATCTTCGTGTGTCGTAAATGTGCCATTCGCTGGACATTGAAAGATCTTAAAATTGACATGAATCATTGGAATGATTTCTTGTCATAACTTGATCAGAATTTCCAGCAAAATCTCATCAGAATCACTAAAAAAAGAAGAGCTAAAGTTGTTTTTATTAATAGAAAAGTATTAATATGAGAGAGAATCAAACTTGAAATTTATTCTTCATTTTTTCTTCTTTTATCGAATTTTGAACATGTTCAAGGTCATAGACAATGTCACTTCAAACAAGTACTAAATGATGACATGATAATGATAGGGTGAGATTTGAGAGAAGTTTTCAATTTGTTCAATCGAAACAATAAAGAAATCGTAGCATCACAAAGGATTCATTTTCTAAGTTGAATGTCAACAAAAGGTTAGCATTGGTTTATGAGTGATTCACTATTGTTAACCCTTGACCCTTCATCGGATAATATAGTTAATCATGAAGACAATTCTGTCAAAAAATGTCAAATCCAAATCAGTCTGATTAGTTCACTTGTACTTGTTGTTCAAATGTCTCAATTCAAGTTATAAATAACGTCATCTTTTTTATTTGATTCACAGAATTTATTTGAAGATGATAATATATAAGTAAACAATGGATAATGATAAATGAAGATAAAGGTGAGTACAGTGCAGACTTAATGGTTGTTAATGTCAAAGTTTGATAGAAACTTAACTGAATCAGATTGATTAGAAGATGATGAAAGTACAAGTTGCAAAGAAAACAAGAAAAGATGACGAAAAAAAAGTTCTAGCAAATCCTAGTTTCCGTTTCCATACCCGACTATCACTTTCTCTCTGATTTGATTCATATCAAATGCTGTCAATCTCTCTCTCTCTCTCTCTCTCTCTCTCCATGTGATATCATATAATTCATCTTCATCATCTAAATCTTGATATAAAACTGTATTGAAATACTTGAACATGAATCTAAATGTCTAATCACGAAAAGATGTAAATGAGAAGAAAAAAATATTCACTCATCATGATGAAAACAAAGATGATATGAGCAAATTATTAATAGAAAAGATTATGTAATGAACAACTGACCAGCAACTAGCAAATATCCCACACAGCAAATGAGATCCAATTCTGAATCATAAGTTGGATTTCATTCATTAATCATGTGGATCGGCCAAAAACTAATCAAACTACAACATATCCCCAGCCCTTAATGGTCACAGAGCGAGGGAGAGAGAGAAAGAAAGAGAGAGAGAGAGAGTGACAGGGATAAGATATTATAAGAAAGGATGATAAAGAGGAAGATGGGGAGATAGATGAAGGAGGATACTAAATGAAAAAGGGAGATGAGGGTAAAAGTATTATATTCAAGGGGGAAAAGCTAAGAAGCAAAAAAGTCTTGTTAAGTGATCGCAATTCATTGGACAGCAATTGATTAGACCAATTTGTTACTTAGTATTATATTTCTTCATCCTCATCCTCATCCTCATCTTCATCTTCATCTCCATCTTAAAACAAATTGATAGCTTTCAAGTATCATGACTTGTTTTATTCCACTTAATTCATTGATTTCATGGTATTTCAGAGAGAAAGAGAGAGAGAGAGAGAGAGAGATAGTATGAACATAATGAAACCCAAAAGAAAATAGAGAAAAAATTGATTAGAACTAAATTTTACCCAAAGAAATTATATCGATAATATTTATTGATCATAATCACAATCAATGAGTTAAAATTAATTGTAAACCATTTGCACCTTATGGCTTAATGATGTGGTTATCATTAAGATAATTGATTTGATGATTAAGTGTTTTCATATTTAACTTTGTATTACATTGATTGTTAGTGTCCAGTGGTCACTTTTCAAAATATGAATCATTCAACTTGATAAAAGTGTAAAGCTAATTGTTGAATTGATATTGGCACCATAATCATCATCATTACGTTCTGTATATTATTGAATAAACAATTAATTACATATTAATAATTAATTGTATTATTTTGACATTTTCCTTTATTGATTTACTTTATCATTATTATTAATGATAATATTAATATATTATCACAATGAAATAGCCTGAGGTTAAGTTATTACTTGTACCAAACTAATATTATCAATGGTAAACAATCAAGTAATCAGTAGGCAAAACATAATTAAACCATTGTTCTTGATTGTTTAGTTATAACAATTGTGTTTACAATTAAAACTTGTAACCTACTTTCTGATTAATGTTAAAATAATTTGATTAATTTGATTGTCAAGATAAAATCTCAACAACTAATAGCCAAACAATCAAAGGAAAGTTCAACGGAAAATTTAGATTAAACTAACTCATTCTCCTTTGGACTTGAACATCAAACCAATCAATCAATAAGATCATTGATTGTTAATTAAATTATATCGCTAATCTTACCTAACATTAGATACTTTCTTTGGACAGTATCATATTCAGGCCAAATGAGACTTTCGATTCGATCCTTGGATTGAACTTTTATACCGTTTGGATTACTGATTGGAATACAAATTGAGATGAATAATTGATTAATCATTTTGAATGGATCATATTGATTAGTAGCGTTCAACAAACTTACCCAAATTTTACAAAGTTCACCCACTGGTTAATGGTCATTTCGGACAATACTAATTCAGGCTTAGAGTAATTGAGACGAAAGTGACCTAATGATTTAGATAAATAATGTTGAGCAAGTGGAGCACCAAAAAGATATGGTAGCTCATCCCCATGGACACAACCCAAACGAGCTGAGTAACCATAAGTTTCGGACTTGAAAATAATGATAAGAAAACAGAATTTTAAAAGTTCATCAATTAAACTGATAACTGATATTAAAATTTACCTGATAAACAAAAACATATGAATATATGGAAGGAGATTCAGATTTAATTGTCTTCTCAGTATTAGAAGGATTAACTGGATTAACAGGAGATCCTCTGAATCTTTGTAAGGCTGAGGTAAGTTTCTTATAATGTAATGAGGCTGTTTTGGTTATCGGTGCGACGACAAGCGCATCTCCAAGTATATCGATCAATGAATCAAGAATATTGATCGGATGCTCTGAAGGTACACTCCAATCAGTATATTCATTGATAAGTGTTAATGAGATAACCTAAAGGTATAAGAAAAGGAAGAAAAAAGAAGAGAAATTTTTTCTATCAATAGACAATTAAAACTATTACCTGATGAGAATCAGGGTGATCATTAACGATAATGATGATTATTATTATCAAATAACATTTTTACCTCTTGATAAAAGTTAACCATGTTTCGAACCAGAGTTCTCAATATGGAATCTCTTTTATCTAAATCGATTCCTTGTTTCTCTTCATCTTTACTGAATAATATTGGTGATTCGACTCGAGTTACACCAAACATTAATTGATAAGGTCTCATTTGATTACTACCAAAGGCAACGGTTGATTTAATTGAACCAGAATTTAAATTCTGAGGTGCTAATAAGGTTTTCTTATGATTGATATTTGCTGAAGGTAAATTGGATAATGATGATGATGAAGATGAGGATGATAATGATGAGGATGGAGATAAGTTAAATGAGGAATTGGATGTTTCCATTAAGATTCTGGGATCAGCTGGAACCACTAATCCATCAATTATTGGTCCAAATCCGGCAAGATAAAAATCATCATCATCATCTTCAATGTCAACCTTTAACAGCTCTTCCATTGATTTATCTCGTAGACAATCAACCATAGCGGGATTATCATAATTGGGACAATTAACCGCTTTCGATAAATATTTTGCATAGTCATCGATTCTGTGGGAAATTGCCCATGAACTTAATGCTGATCCCGACATCAGGATAACCTTATCAAATAAACCTATTGGTGTGGTTGATGGGTGACAAAGTGGGTATTAAGATTAGATTAGGAAGTAATCGAGAAGATGAAAATATTATCACTATTTTGATAACTTTTCCCAAAACATTTTCTTGATCAACATCACAACTCTAATCATATGTTGTTTCAGCTCTCGAAATGATTATGGATTAAATTAGTTTCGCTTAGTTTAATTAGATTTGATTAACATTTTCCCAACATCAATTAATCATCTATGTATCAGTATCATTATTGTAAGTATTAAATTAGTGATTATGTTTGCCCTTCTCATTGAATATTCAATTAACCAAATAATTTATTTTTTACTTGATTGTTGACAATTTATCGCAATTATTGCACTAATCATGTTAATTGCTTAGATTTGGACTGATTATTATTACTGGATGTGTCCGATTCGTGAGGATATTTGAACCTTTCAAATTGCAGTACAATTTCAGGGGAAATTTATGATTTTCTGAATATTATTTATCCGCTTTATTGTTTATTGAATTTTTACCTTTCTCTTGAATCATAAATTCTGATAATCAGGGTGAAATTATCTCTCTGTTTATTATCCTTTGAGTTGTGAGAGAAGAAAAAAAAGTTTATTGATGAAGGAAAAGTTCTGAGTTATTTAGTTTTAAAACTGAATTGTAACCGAAAAGGAAATGAGTAGATTTATAGTAAAAGCTCATGAAAAACTTTTCCCTGTAGAAATTCATCTCAATCTGATGATTACATTTTTTTCCACCTCAAACTTTTTTTCTTACTCGAGGAAAAAAGACAGAAAATCTCATTTCTCTGAACTTGAAACATATTATTCAAGCTACTAAACTTTTCCAATGGAATTCAGTTTATTCAGTAAACTTATTTCACCGAAAATTGAACTTACAGGAGAGAAAAAACTTTTCCACATTCATGGTAATGTAATAACATTAATAGTAAATAGATATGAATCTGGAGATAGAGAGATGATAAACATTTCACCCTTAAAACTAACACCAAGGAAAAATGAAAATCCTGAATTACTCAATGATATTGTCATGATGGAAACAGAATTGTCAATCTAAAGGTTGATGGTCTTACCCTGACTCAAAGGCGATACCATGAGCAGATTAACAAAAGCAGCACCTCGACTGTGTCCAACTAAGGTAACATTTTTTTCATCTCCCCCTATCTCCTTAATATTATCATGGATCCAATGGAGAGCGGCAATAATGTCCATAAGTCCATGATTCCCTCTAGTAGTACCATCAATAACGGTCGGTAAAAAACCTTAAGAAAATGTTTATTATCCAACAAGAATAGAACCCAATTAGAACATAATCTTATGTGATCTTCAATCAATATCATTCGAATTTCGAAAAAAAATTCTAATTTTAACTTCAATGACGAAATAAATCTTGAGAACTCTCTCTCTCTCTTCTAACAACAATTAAGATTAATCATCATCAGAACTTTAGATTGAAGAAAGAAAAATTTGATAATAATGATAATAGTATTTACCAAATAATCCAAGGCGATAATTAAGAGTTACCACAACAATATTCCCATAAGCTGCCAGAATTGTTCCTTCATATGAATTACCTGAGCCCCAATTGTATGATTCACCATGAATAAACACCATTACTGGAAGTCTGGTATCAGAATCCCCTGAAAAACAAATGCCACAACAATAAGAAGATAACAAAAAAAATATTAGAACAATAGAAGAGATTATTGTTAGTGATATTAATAGAAACAATTATCAAATATTATTAAACTGCAATCATATTAATATTTATCCATTGGAGTTGCTGTTGAATTTTCAATACTCAAAATTTCATCATTGAAAATGTTTACCTTGAATTAGCATTTGTAGATTCAACTGATTAATCAAATCTTGGATTCGTTTATCAGAATTGTTCATAACCATGTTTTTAAATTTCCATGTCTTGAATTTCAGGTTGTAAAATAATCAGAAACCTTGAGAGTTCAAGTGATTATCTTTCCATCATGAAATGAGATAAAGGTTAACTTTAAATGTTATTTCTCAAATCAACTCATTAAGTTTTATTGAATTGGGAGATTATCATGATAATCTCATGATTCAGTAGCTAATATCTTTCTCATTTCTTAGAAATTCAAAATCTTTATTCATTTTCATGTAAAATTCATTCATAGAGTTATTATTATCTAAAGTTTATGTTATTTTTTCCCTTACTAATTCAATTTCAAAGTTCTAATATCGACTGCGAATCATTGAGTAAGGAAAAATTTTTCATTCCATTAATCTGAATCTCATTTAAATATCATGTTAATTTGTAATCAACCTGATAACCATTTAAAGTTGAATCAAAATTCAACTAATCAATGAGAACCTCAAAGAAAAGTTAAACTTAACTGACATCAAACGATAGCTTGCTAATCATTATATCAAAATTTCAATGATTAACTAAATTGTTTCATGTTTTCAAGGATGAGTACGAAAAAATTTCGAAATCATCAAAACGATTGAATAAACTGAACACCCTGAGGATACGAAAGTGTTCAAAGTGAAAACAATAACTTGATATCTTTTTGGATATAAAGATGAACCGAGAAGATGAAGAGAGGGAATATTTTATTACATGGAATTAATTTCCACCCAATAATAATAATAATAATCTAAGAGTTCTGATAATTCTGAGAGTGAGAAATAACTATTAACTCAATTGTCTACAATTGGCTCCAAGTTATTTAAACATTAACAATCCTTTCCAACAATCAAAAGGTTAATTCTCAATATTAAACGTGATTAAGATTATATATTTTCCTCTGAGTATTTCCAATCCTTAAGGCTGAATTATTGTTACCTTAATCTAGTTCCATGGTGATTATTAATTATGATTATTGTTATTGTTATTACTCAATGTGTTGAATTATGATTACAGTTAATTGCTTTGTTAATTAGTTACTTTCTCAATGATTTAATAACATAAGTTAACCCTGAATGACAAGAAACGTGATAATTATTTTAATTGAAACAAAAATATCATTTCCTTTATAATATCAATAAGATGATGACACTTAATTATAAGCAATTAAATTTTAATCAGCACGTTTAATTGAATGTTTATTGATTTAATTTCAGCTATTATTTGATTGATTTGATTACATATTAGATATTAGAAATTTAAATTTTCTTTAATCAAAAAGGTTTTAAATTAATTTCTCTCACGATTGAAGCTTATTAATGTTTCTCATTGACAAGTTAATGATGATAATGATTCTGATGATGAGTCTGGTTTCATGATAATTGGATAAAATTCATGATCAATGAATTAGATAGATTAAGTAACTTATCAAATTATTGTTAATGGATAAAGTTATTTAACCAATTCTCAAGTTATCATGATGGATAATTTTTTTCTCCTTCTCTACTTACATGGGGAAGAGAAGGAAAAAAAAGTTCCAATGAAAATTTATCACTAAAAGATGAGGAAGATTGGAAAAAGTTTTTTTCTCTCCTTTCCTGAACTCAACGTATTTGAACTTATAAATATAAAACTTTTCTCTGTTCATGATTTCTCATGAAATTTTTTTCTTCTCTCCCATATGATAGAGACTTAAGCTCAACACTAATAACAAATGCTTCAAGGAAGATGAGGATAAGGAGAGAAAGAAAGGGAAAAAGTGGAGTAAATCCTGAGGGAAGAATCTCTTTCTTTTCCTTTTCTACTTGAATTCCACGTCTTTAATTGACAAAAGGAAGGCTAAAAGGAGAAGAGTATATGAAGACGCGAACCATGATGATGATGATAAGGAGGAGAAAAAGTAAGATGATCATAATAGAGGGATGATGATGTTGATTCTTTTTTTCGGATTAACTGAAAAAACAAAATTTCATTGAAAATGGATGAGTGACAATTGGAAATGTAAACAATAGTGTGATCATGATAAGGATTCGAAATGAAATAAGGAAGAGATTGAAGCCTGGAAGAGCAGACCGAGAGAGAGAGAGAGAGAAACGGTGATGAGGATGGAGAAAAGTTGATCAGAATTGTATTCACCATCTACAGGGATGTAACAGTAAATAAGCGATAATTTCTTTGTCTTCCGAATTGTTTTTTTTCACAGTTATCCTGTTCTTTTCTATTCTGAAATGTCAAGATTTTTTCTTTCCTTTTTCATCATCATCAGTCGATATCAATGTTTTATATCATTTGTCTTGAGATTCTGTTAATTTTCAGATTAAAACGTTTCTCTCGGCTTGAGTATTCATTTCACAGGGGGATCAGTGAGAATAGAATCCCAATAAAACATAGAGAGAGAGAGAGAGAGAGAGAGAGAGAGAGAAATAAAGAGACACACGAAATAAGGATGCAAGAAAAAGCTCATTCACAATATCCCATGAAATCGATTAAGAATCATTCTCATGTAGAATTACCAATAAAAAACGAGAGAGAATTATTCTCATCGACGCCATTTTCTTCCACATTTGTAGAGCAAATCTTTCTTTTCCTCATTGTACCCGAGAGAAGATAATCTGTCAGATACGATTCGATTTTTTTCTCTCTTTTATTCGAACCGTTCAAAAACTTTATTCTAACCAATTCGATAGAAAACAAATTATAATAAAATAATGAGAAACAATAAAAGTCCAATGATCAAGACTAACAGGTAAAGTCTATTGTGTATTGAGTTCTCAAAGTGTTAAGTTGAAAAAATCTTTTGAAACCATCGAAACTTATTTTCGAAAAAAAAAGTTCTAATCCTCTAAAGAAAATGATTATCCATCTTATATGTAAAAGATTTACCTTGAGAATCTAGAGATTAATCAATCAGTGATAACAATTGACTTGATTAGAATTGAAATTAATCAGAACAATCAATCTAAACCAATCCAATCAAAGGCAAATAAAAGTTAATCACTGAGCTCCACTCAAATTAATTATCAATTTAAAACAACAATCAATTGAATAACATTATAATCCAAATACTAATATTGCTTCAGTTTGTTAATTCATAATTAAATTATATTCATTTATAAGGTGCAATTGGGAGTTTAGACTCAATCTGATTATGATCATCTTAATTTTTCACAATTAAAGAAACACATCTAGATAATAATAATTAAAATAAATTGCGAGTTAATCATTGGATGAATAATTTGACTCGAATTGTATTAATTTGCTAATTACAATTTTGTTTGGAGCTTTTTTTTATACTGTTATTCATTGAAAAACATTAGAATGACAATTAACTATTACAATTGAAAATGTCACTTGGTTTTTATTTGAATAGTAAGATTAGAAAATTAGAATAACAATTTAATTTCAATTCATCCCAACAATTAACTTGACAGATAAATAACCTCTAATTGTTGTCATGTTTTAAATTAAATTGTCATCAATAGATTATCAAAGAAGTGGAATAAGATAATATTGAGATATTGTCCACCTCCTACTCATCAATTTATCGTTCACTGGGCTGAAAGATGATTATATTAACTACTACATTTCATGATGATAATCATCTTACATGAAGATAATTATAGTTGATTATTGTCATTTCATGGTAATGATTTGAGGAAATGAATGCATCTAATCATGTTAAATGAGTCAAAGTCTCAAAGGATAATGAAATTGTACCAATGAAACCCGGAAATGAGCTCACAGAACTTACTCTCAATCTTTTCAGTCACAATTTTCACCTCAGTGACAGAGAAAAAAAGTTCTAACTCTACATTTGATCCAGGTCAAGGTGGAGAAAATTATAGGAATTAATTAATCACCCCTGGAGGTTGTTCTCATCAAGATTCTCGAGCAATTATTATATAAGAAGTACAGATCAATCTCATTGATCTAAAAATCTTACAATCAACTTTTGATGAGCTTAAAATAGAGTTCAATCAATGAATCAGAATCAGAATTATCATGAAAAAAAAAGCTGAAAGGATTAGATATGTAATTCCGTTAATTATGTTTGGAAATTCAGTTCAGGACAATTCTGACTTGGTATCAACCCTCATGTCACACTTGTTATGATTGCAATGATTCAAGCATATTATTCATGGTGATACTCATGTAAAAGTATTATTATTATTTTTATCCTTTGTTATTATTAGCAATAATGATCAACAATAATAATGAATAATAATAACAGTAAATTCAATATGATGATGATAAGTAAAGATTATTGGGTTGACCAAAGAAAAGGAGAGCGAGAGAATGAGGGAAAGATGAACAATTTTTAGAATGTCCAATATTTTCATCTTCATGGTAAGAGGATCATGTTAATAATTCTGGATAAGATTCAAAGGGAAAAGTCAAGTGTACATGATATTGTTAATATATCATCATCATGGAGAATAGGAAGTGGGTGGGAGAAGTGAAAAAGGAAATGTAACATGTATAATTAGAGGAATAACTTTCTTTTCTAGTGATATTCTCAATAGAATCAATCCTGAGCAAAGAAATCACCATGAAAGAGGCGGTAGATCGAGTGGGAGGAATCATCATTTACTGAACAATTATCCGAGAAAAGAATAAAGAAAAAAAGTTATAATCATTTGAAATAATGTATTGACTTATAATTCCTACTCAGATACTCATGATTTCTGTCATGCTAAAGTTTATATCTCAATATAAGTTCTGACCTCTCTCTCTGTCTCTTTCTTTCTTCCGAGTCTA